CTACAAAAAAGGCACACTTACCTCTGTCTGAACGGCTTAAAAAATAGATCCCGTTAATTTTCTTGGCGATAATCGTCTTCATCACTCTTCTTGGCGATACCTACAAAAAAGGCACACTTACCTCTGTCTGAACGGCTTAAAAAATAGATCCCGTTAATTTTCTTGGCGATAATCGTCTTCATCACTCTTCTTGGCGATACCTACAAAAAAGGCACACTTACCTCTGTCTGAACGGCTTAAAAAATAGATCCCGTTAATTTTCTTGGCGATAATCGTCTTCATCACTCTTCTTGGCGATACCTACAAAAAAGGCACACTTACCTCTGTCTGAACGGCTTAAAAAATAGATCCCGTTAATTTTCTTGGCGATAATCGTCTTCATCACTCTTCTTGGCGATACCTACAAAAAAGGCACACTTACCTCTGTCTGAACGGCTTAAAAAATAGATCCCGTTAATTTTCTTGGCGATAATCGTCTTCATCACTCTTCTTGGCGATACCTACAAAAAAGGCACACTTACCTCTGTCTAAACGGCTTAAAAAATAGATCCCGTTAATTTTCTTGGCGATAATCGTCTTCATCACTCTTCTTGGCGATACCTACAAAAAAGGCACACTTACCTCTGTCTGAACGGCTTAAAAAATAGATCCCGTTAATTTTCTTGGCGATAATCGTCTTCATCACTCTTCTTGGCGATACCTACAAAAAAGGCACACTTACCTCTGTCTGAACGGCTTAAAAAATAGATCCCGTTAATTTTCTTGGCGATAATCATCTTCATCACTCTTCTTGGCGATACCTACAAAAAAGGCACACTTACCTCTGTCTGAACGGCTTAAAAAATAGATCCCGTTAATTTTCTTGGCGATAATCATCTTCATCACTCTTCTTGGCGATACCTACAAAAAAGGCACACTTACCTCTGTCTGAACGGCTTAAAAAATAGATCCCGTTAATTTTCTTGGCGATAATCATCTTCATCACTCTTCTTGGCGATACCTACAAAAAAGGCACACTTACCTCTGTCTGAACGGCTTAAAAAATAGATCCCGTTAATTTTCTTGGCGATAATCGTCTTCATCACTCTTCTTGGCGATACCTACAAAAAACGCACACTTACCTCTGTGTGAACGGCTTAAAAAATAGATCCCGTTAATTTTCTTGGCGATAATCGTCTTCATCACTCTTCTTGGCGATACCTACAAAAAAGGCACACTTACCTCTGTCTGAACGGCTTAAAAAATAGATCCTGTTAATTTTCTTGGCGATAATCATCTTCATCACTCTTCTTGGCGATACCTACAAAAAAGGCACACTTACCTCTGTCTGAACGGCTTAAAAAATAGATCCCGTTAATTTTCTTGGCGATAATCGTCTTCATCACTCTTCTTGGCGATACCTACAAAAAAAGCACACTTACCTCTGTCTGAACGGCTTAAAAAAATAGATCCCGTTAATTTTTCTTGGCGATAATCATCTTCATCACTCTTCTTGGCGATACCTACAAAAAAAGGCACACTTACCTCTGTCTGAACGGCTTAAAAAAATAGATCCTGTTAATTTTTCTTGGCGATAATCATCTTCATCACTCTTCTTGGCGATACCTACAAAAAAAGGCACACTTACCTCTGTCTGAACGGCTTAAAAAAATAGATCCTGTTAATTTTTCTTGGCGATAATCATCTTCATCACTCTTCTTGGCGATACCTACAAAAAAGGCACACTTACCTCTGTCTGAACGGCTTAAAAAATAGATCCTGTTAATTTTCTTGGCGATAATCATCTTCATCACTCTTCTTGGCGATACCTACAAAAAAGGCACACTTACCTCTGTCTGAACGGCTTGAAAATATATCCTATTAATTTTCTTGGCGAGCCACAAAGTCACTTTTTCGAGAAATCACGATTTTTTGAAAATTTCTCATTGAAATCTTATGGTTTAGTTTGTACATTTGTGGTACCTTGGGTGACCGAAAATCCCCTTAAGAACATTTTTGGATACAGCACCTAGTTTTCGAAATATTCGAAAAATTGAAGTGAACCTACAATTATGACCGAATCAGAGGAAAGGAGAGATGGGGGCACCCCATGGGTAGAAATGAAAAAAACGAGACGGCAATAAATGAAATGACTATTTCTGCCTTTATATACCCATGTGGGGGTGGCCATTCTAATCAGTGGGCGTGGCTACTGAGTGTAATTAGTGGGCGTGACCACTGCACTTGGCTTTTCCTTCTTCCCACGGAGCCATGACGTTTCAAAATCCCAATCGTACTTTCCCATCAGACTCCTTTGTCGGAATTCTTATCACTAATCTCCACCGGTAATTAAGACCGCAGGTGTGGGAATGTGAGCTTCAAGCGGATTTGCGGCAAGTTTCATAGAAGCCGACTTAATTACAGACGGAGATTAGTGATAAGGACGCCGACAAAGGACTCCGATGGGAAAGAACGATTGGGGTTTTGAAGCGTCATGGCACCGTGTCGAGAGGATTTGGAAAAAAAGTGATAAAGAATTGAAGGATTGAAATTGTCCAATCTGTCTGTAACGTTGACCCCAGTGTTGAGCGGAATTCCGTCTGCCGTCTTCCGTCTTCCGTGATTTTTTTGTCCCGTTTTCCGTCTCCCGTAAAAAAGTGTTTATTCCGTCTGCCTTCTGCCGTCTTCCGGATTTCAAAATTTCAGTTCCGCGCAACTCTGAACTGCGGCATGCCTTTTTTGCAAGGTGTGCGCACGCAATATTCTTTTTCCGTATTCATGGCCAATTCTGTGGCCAATCGGAGAAATTCTCCGGGAATAACTTGAAGAAGAGCTTTACAGAATTGATAAAAAAACAAAAGAAAGGAGCATTTGACAATTTATCGATTGAGGCGCGACATAGCCCAAACTTCCGATTATTATCAGCCTATTTCTTTCTGTTGCTTTAAATTTGGCTGAAATGTAAAAAAAGAGCATCAGGAGAACTCGCAGAGCCAAAACAGTTCTATAGAAACGTTCGGTTAGCAGGCAGCAAAAACAATGCGCGGCACGCGTTCTTTCAGTAGACGCGTGCACAGGAATTGCTTTTAATGCACATGAAACCGTTCATCACTTCCCTTGCCCGTAATCCATTTTGTTTCTCATCGTTGCCATACACAGAATACTCAACAGAAGATCTCTGCGTCCGTAGCCCATTCTGACATTGTAACGAGCAGAACTCGTTCGATTTCCGGAAAGTTGATGCTGTTAACTTCATGCTCTGAGTATGCTCGGTACCAGAGGGAATAAAAGGTCCCATGAAGCATAGAAACCGTGTAAAGAGCAACGATGATCATCTCGACGGTCAGGAAGAATTGGAGGGTGAACTGAAAAAGTAATCATTATTTTGTTAATAGCAAAGCAAAGCACTCACTCCCATATCGCGTATTTTGTCCATCCTTTTGAAATAACTCAGAAAGCGCATCATTTCGACGTTTGTGCGTGACGAGAAGCACTGGAAATCAAATTGAATTGACTTGAAAAGCAAAGAACGAACGGGCAACTAGAAGAAAGAGGCGAATGGTGTGACCGATGAGAACGTAAATAATGGGCGGAAAGGGAAAGAGAGAGTTTCCCTCCAAAAAATGTTGCGGGTCAGTATCGCTGAGGCTGAGCAATGTCTAGACGGTATTTGACGTTTTTGTTGCGAAAAAATTCGGTGTAAGAAAGAAAGCTGGCATGCAATGAGATTGCGCCCGAAAAATAAGAAACAGATACGTGATTCAAGCGTCGGCGCGTCATGGCAGGGCTCATCGTGTTTGTGATGGTTGTTATGGTGATTATTTGTGAGATTTTGCATGCAGTGGCAAGCAAAAAGACAAAAGGAAAGACTAAAGAGCAGAAGAGCCTACGAGGATAAAGTGGATGGGGAAAGCGGCAGATGATTGGAAAGTAGTCAACCTGCGGAAAATGCAATCGCTGCGGACATTCGGCGGTCGAATGTGAGAAATGCCGTGCATCATGCCGAGCCGAGAATTTTGTGGCATCGCGAAATTATACATTGGTACTATTGATAGTTTGTTCAGGAATCGACTGATGTTTTTTCATCACCACTGAATGTGAGCCGGGTCGTGTCGAACTTTGACAAGTCTGAGTCATTCAATTACAACTACATAGTTCTACCGCTTCAATTTTTTTAGACTCAACTAAAACTCCCCAGCGATTTGAGTCATTTTGCTCCCCGTAAACATCTGAATCTGTCACGCGTCGTTAATGGCTGCTCTTTTTCGGTGCTGTACTTTTTTCTTTGATCAAACTCCTCTACTTCGTTCCCGGAATCGTCGGCCTTATCAGTTGGTGTCAACCACCTTTCCAAGCGCGCGTAAATATTATGCTCGCTCTGTTTCCGTTTCCTTCATAGACTGCGCTCGACCACAATGTTCTTTAGTGTCGATCAACTTTGTTTCACGTGCTATTTTGGTGTTATACTATCACTTGGATGAGGAGTTTTCATGAAAGATGACGTGGCGTCATCGTTAGATTTTCAGTGCGTCAGAGAAGGACGGCAGCGTGTTAAAAACAGCAATCCAACTTCAAACTTCTTGACCATGCGTCTAGAAAAGACCTGCGGAATAGACACCACCATTTGTTGTGACACCTGCTGGCCTGACTCAAAAAAGTGCGTCGTCTACTCCTATCTCTCCCTCTCTCCCTCTCTTTTTCTCTATCTCTACTCCATCTGTTCTGTCTACCCATTCTTTCTCCCACTATCTCACTCGCCACACGATTGTTCTGCCGTTCAAAGGAATTCTGTCCGCATTTTACTTATTCTCATTTCGCCCGAGCTCTTAGTTACTCTCAATCAAAACTTTCTCGGCAGTGGCACGCGGAAAAGTGCTCACCTCTTCGAATGCCACTTTTTTGGCTCTTTTGTGCCGTCAAATCTCGAAATTTCAATCATTTTCCGTGAACATTTGCTATGAACCGAATTCAGTAAACCAAACGAAAGAGTGAGTATGCAGGCCTCTTGTCGATGCTCCGAAATGGGCGCTAAAACGTGTTGTTGTGGTCGGACGGAGCGAAAGGAGGACGAGCATCTCACTGATAACCTGCTCGCCAGGCAGCCGCCTCTCCCAGGTTTGTTTTTTTTCAATTTTTTTGAGAATTTTAGTTGAAAGAAAGCAAAACAATAGATGCTTCATTAAAATTTTCACTCAATTCGAAGAAAATTAGCGCCCATTACCTTACGAACTTTGGATAGACACACTTTCTGATAACAAGATTGATGAATGGCGGTTGGCGGCTAGGTCTAGGTCTCTTCCGTTATCTCCGCGGCCGCAACCAACCTCCTTCTCTTTTTGTCGTCGAAAAACCAGAAAAATGGCGCGACTGAGTGTGTGACCATAGGCCTGAAAAGTCGATATGCGCAGTTGAGGAGAAACGGAAACGCCATCCACCGTTCATACGCTGCCTCACCGCCGCGCCTCCACCAACATCAGCAAAACAGTGTTTATAAATTCTTCTCCTAGTTGTCAACGTTTTCTGCTCACAGAATGGAAGGTCGAATTTCTTCTTTTCTTGATTTGGCACTTTCTTCTAGTTCGGTTTTTCAGATGCCTGCCGAGGAACGCTGCTCGTTTTTATCAATCCGCACAGTGGACTAGGAAAAAGTTTGGAAACTTTCACGCAGAAAGTGAAACCGGAACTCGAGAAGAACTCGGTTCATTTTGAAGTTGTTGTGACAAGTGAGTAAATCTAATTATTCTGCATTTGCAAAAATTTTCAAGATAGCAACGCGCTTTGTAGTGCTGTGTTTTTAAACTTGACGGAAATCCTTTCGATCACAATTTTCCCCATTTTCTAAGAGTTAATTGTACACACGCAGTTTTTTGTATATTTTGCTAACATTTGTCTCTACCGTATCCCCCTCAAATTTAAAGGCGCAGAACTCCGACTCGTGTTGCTGGCTTGAAAAAGTTTCGCTCCTTGCAAGACCCCGCTCCGGCAAATGCATCATATTTTTGATTTAAACGAGAAAAATTATTTGCAGCTGGCCCCAACCACGCGAGAAATGTTCTCAAGACAAAAACGGATCTTGGAAAGTTCAACGGAATACTCATTTTGTCGGGAGACGGACTCGTGTTCGAGGCGTTGAACGGAATTCTCTGCCGTGATGACGCGTTCAAGATATTCCCGAACCTTCCGATCGGAATCGTTCCGAGTGGCTCTGGAAACGGACTATTGTGCTCGGTGTTGTCGAAATACGGGACAAAAATGGAGGAGAAGTTAATTATGGACCGTGCGTTGGAAGTTGCCACGTCACCCTCTCCGAAAGCCGAGTCTGTCGCACTGCATTCTGTCAAAACGGACAATCAGACGTACGCCTCTTTCCTCTCCATTGGATGGGGACTTATGGCAGATATTGGTGAGTCACTGTCTTTGTAATGAATTGTTTTCAACATCTCACTTTCAGATATTGAAAGCGAGCAATGGAGACGGACGTTGGGTGCGCACCGGTTCTTCTGGATGGGTGTTATTCGCAGTATAAGTGAGTTTACCCAATTTTTGTCAAATCCTAATAAATAATTTAGATCTGCGCACTTACAAGGGTAGACTGACGTACCGTCCGTACAAACCAAAGTCCTTCAAACCCTCATCAAATGTGTTCGACATCTATGAGAAGACCACGCAGCAAAGGGTAAGTATCTAATCGCACGGAGCGTTCTTGTTCATAAGCTAGTTGAGCTTTCAGATCGATGACGCTAAGAACCAACCAAAACAATGGGAGCTTCACAATAAGGAAAATGAGTCGGAGGAGGACCTGGTGACGATCGAGGACGAATTCATCAACGTTTACGCGGTGACTTGCTCTCACATCGCGTCCGACGGCCCATTCGCTCCGAGTGCCAAGCTAGAGGACAACAAAATTCACCTCTCGTACATTCTGGCCAAAGATATCACCACGAGAATCGATGTCGCCAGATATCTTTTGGCCATTGAGCAAGAGTCTCACATGTTTCTACCATTTGTCAAGGTACGTAGCCGATCTCGTACAATCTGCTAGAAAATTTTCAGTGAATAATGTAGCTAATGTCTAATTGTAAGCTTTTTTAAATTTTAGATTGTGGAAGTGTCATCGATAAAATTGGATGTGTTGAGCGAGGGATCGTACGTGGTTCTCGATGGAGAAGCTGTCGACACCAAGTCGTTGACCGTTTCTGCCACCCACAACAACATCTGCGTTTTCTCTCCTGGTTCATAAACATTTGTCTGTACTTTACTTAGCACATGCTTTTCTTGTCAATCGTTGACTGGTTTAGTGTTTAATTTTTTATTTTCTTGCTTGATGTGTGGCATAAAAAGAAGGTTGTTGTTGGAAAACTATAATTGACTGTTTTACGTGTATTCGTGTTGTGTCAAAGGTTACTCTTCTAGTCTATGGTGGTAAGTGGACTCTTGGTTTTTCTGTGATTGTTTTGACTGAAAAACATCGAGCAGTCGTTTATTAATTCTTTCCCAAAACTGGGGCGCACAGTGAAATTTTTGAGCAGCAATGAGCCTGCTTCCCAATCCAGTTTTTGTAATAATACATGAATTATTCACACAACCAATTTTAGATCAATCCGAAACACTTTGAGCAGGACTCTCTGCAGATGTCACAAATCACGTAGAACTAACGCAGAGCCGTTTCTTCAGATTATCGATTGCGACGGCCGAACGCTGATGGTTTTTTATTGCCACGAGGCACAAACATGGGCAACAGGGACGCAGACGCAGCGTCCATCATCCAATAAAGGCGCACAGATTTCTGTGGAGCCGCGGGTCTCAGCACGATATGGACATTTTGTAGTTTGCTGACGTGTTCCTGAAAACGAACACGTTCAATGGCCTAAAATATCCATTCTACTCCTTATTTCGTGCAGAGACTCGATTTTTCACCGTTTTTGCGGCTGGATCGGATGCACCAACGACTCATTTCTACAGGAAATCAGGTGAAATACTAGCAAATCTATTATAGTAATTCTTGCTATTTTTCAGCGGCAAAAAGAGCTGGCAGGGTAAACTTCGGAGGATCGGGAGTATCAACAAGTAACTCAAAAACACATCAATTCATGTCTGCAGTGGACCTGATTCCTGTCCGTGACAAGTCAATGATCGTGAAGATCGAATGAACCAGGTATGATTCTGCAAGGATTATTTACTCATTTTACAGGTATCCTACAGCGACTTTTGTGCCGAAGGCTACTACTTCACGCTTTGCATGTCCCATCTACCAGGCATCAAGACGAGGCAGTGATTTGACAGACAATGCTACAAACACGCCTACGTTCTGATGCCTGGTAGCTGGAATCACTTTCACGGACATTCACTTCTTTCTGCTGAACTATTATTTGCCAACATTCCTGCCGCCATCACCCAATCCACAATTTATGATCACCGTTGTCAGGCTGATGAAAGTTCAAGGTAGGGTTGATGGTGGTAAGGAACTTTTTTCTATTACTACTACTTACAGGTTCGTGAGGAAAATCACTGATTCTGGGAAAGATGAGGGATAGCCAGAACCCCCGTGAGGTAATGTACTCCTTTCTCTGGCCTGGTGGATGAGTACTCCGTCCGCTTCCTGAGAACTTTCCGAGCGGTCAATCCGCTGATGCTTGTCAGACCCAATCGAAAAGAGGTTGATAAGTGAAGCGATTGGCCGCTTGGTCAGCAATCACAGTTTCATTTCCACATCCATATTCCCGATCGTTTACAAAAGAAAGTAAAACCACCGAAGGTTTTGTGGCATATTGGCGGTAGACATATGCAACTATGTACATAAGAATGATAATAATCAGAGCGACGATTCCGAATCGCCGAGTTCCTAAGTTTCCAGAAAGCCAGAAGGGAGGGTCACTTGGCCAGTAGCAACCCTGTGAGACAGCTGGGTGTCCACGGCAGAAAAAAAGGAAGACCTCGGAAACGATGGAGTGACGACTTGACGGAAAACTGGTACAAAAAATTTTCAAATTAGCAAATACAAAAATAGTCAGATAAATTGCCTTCTTCGTTTAGACTTCCGTATTCATCTGATGCTCCTGATCCGGCTCCAAATGGTGTTCTCCATCCCCCGATCCAAACACCTCCGATTGCTCCTGGAAAGAGTGCGATTCGTTGCCTTGCACGTCTTCCATCTCTACTTCCTCTTCATTGTCCTCATCACTCTGTTCGTTCACGAAATCCAATGCCTGTTCTTCTTCCGCATCTTCGCCTTCGTACTCCGCGACTGGAATGAGCTCTAGCTCCCCTTCTTTCACCACAATAATCAACTTCCGTTCCATCCAGTCGGTTGAACGATCAAATGGATCGACAGTGACTACGTCGATTTGTTCCTCTTCTTCTTTGGCGTCTGCCGCCACTTTGACACCCTTCTCTTCGATTTCGTCTCCTTCATCATCAGAAATCTCTTCATATTCATCGTCGGCGTCATAGCTGTCGTCCGTCCATGTGTCCGATGAGTAGACTGAGCTCCGATCAAACTCAGTTTCCCTCGGCTCCTCTTCGTACTCGATTTCGACTTCATTTGAGTAATAGGGATAAAAGAGCTCGTAGGACTCTTCATGTCCTTCGAACTGCTCCACTCCCCGTACTGTGTCATCATTTTGTATGACATCGTTCTCAAAATTAGACACAATTGTGCCTAAAGCTTGGGCCGGAGTTCTCCTTAGATGTTCTCCCGACCACTTCACTGTGATCGGAGTTTCGTGCAGATTTTCAGAATTGATCGTAACTTGGTCGCTCATTTTTTCACTTCGACTTTACTTGCCTGAAAAAATGAGATTAACAAACATAAAATGTACTAAAAAGCAGTGATTTCACAGAAGAAAGAATCGAAACAATTCAGAGCAAAAGGACTTGTCTCCTCTCCTCATCTGAATGTATAAGAAGAGAGGGGAAAGAAGAAAGTGAATGAGTGTCTCTGTTCTCTGCCTCGAGCTCGGTGGGCCTAGATTGTGCGCGCTGCGTTTTCCTGCGGTCCGCGCAATGCGTATTACAGGCCCGCGGTGTTCAAAAAATTAATAACGTAATTATAAGGAAACCAACCATAATTACGTCAAAAAATGAATCTGCAAACTTCATTTTATTTTACCTAGAAAGTGACCCCCGTGATCGCTCTAGATTTTTCTGAAATGGGCATGGACCCCTTGACGGTCACGGGTACGAGGAAATTTTTTAAAATTGGAATGGACCCCTTGACGGTCACGGGTACGCGGAAATTTTTGCTAGTCGAACCGACTACCCACTGCCCTACACAGATAAAACGCGATGCATGCATTATGCGAACACCGTGGAGAAACCGTGGAGGTGCATGTATATGTAGAGCATCTATTATGAATCTACAGCGCACAGAAACGGAACGGCACCGAAAGCAAAAAAGAAATCCGTCGAGCCGGATTCGAACCAGCGACCTAAGGATAACCACTGACTCTACAGTCCTCCGCTCTACCAACTGAGCTATCGACGGCACGCTGGAGAAACCAGCGAGTGTGATGAGATAATGACACGGAGAGGAGAGAAAGAGAGAGGTGAGTGGCCACGGCGACGGCAACTTGGTTGTCGGCGGAGGGGCGAGAGAAGGAAGAGAAACCAACTGCGACTTGGCCTAGTATCCGACAACTGATGAAGCTAACATGGCGACTAGAAAGACTCTGACGGAACACATAATGCTTATTATTAATATAATTTATTATCGAAACATAGCAGCAGTTGTCAGCTATCGTGATGTCCTTTTGTGTCCGGCAGCATTAAGTGAGCTTCACGAGGACGAAGAATCCGGCGATGGTGATGGCGATGAAGACGAGGAAGGCGGTCAGCTCCTTTTTGGTGTTCATGTGGGCGGCGGCGTACTGCTCGGCCGGAGTGTTGCACTCGATGAGGATGACACTGTCGGTGGGCTTCAGCTTCTGCTTCGGCGAATTCTTAGCAACAATGACGGCTGGAGACGGCATTCTGAAAATGGGTAAAATCAGAAAAATCAATGATGCTAAGCGGAGCGTAATACGAAAACGAGACGTGGAATAAGAAGAGGGATGCAAATGAAACTGTGCAGCGCTGTGATGCGTTTTATAGCCCCTCTCTCTCTCTCTTCCCACATCAAAATGCATGTACAGAGAAAAAGACAGATATTGATCTAATCTGCCACGTCATGTGGGGTGAGACGTGTCATGTCTTCATAGTGTGCCTCTCTGAGCAGACAAAGGAGGAAGACGGAGGGCGAAAACTGTTGGTTGTGTCAAAAGACGGGAAAACGTACAAATCGGGGAAACTGAATGTGATATCGGAAGGGAATCGTAAACTCGATTTGATGCTCATAAAAATCTGCGTCATGTGCAGGAAAACTACAATACAGTTCACTAGTTTAGTAGACGGAACGTTTTTGATATTGTGAACTCATAACTTTCAAAACGGACATCTTGACACCGCAATTCTTCAAAAGATAGCTTCCGCGGTTTTGACGTTTCCGAGTGAAACTGTCTGAAGTTATTTTAGTTAAAATTCCTTGGTTTCCCCTATAACTCTATTTTTCACTCTGCTTGACCTACACGGAGTGGATATTAATAAACTCGGCAAAATTTAATATCATTGTGAAAATTGCGTCAACTCGATTTCACTGACCTAATCATAAGAATATGAATTTCATCCGTTTAGTCTAGAAAACTATTTGCACTATTACGAAAATGCTGTTGAATCGGAAAAGTCCCGCAAAATTGTCTAATCTAGAGACTTTTCGACCTAAATTGGTGGTTTGAAATCGAGCGGAACCCCGTAATTACGTGAATGAAGTCAAAAACTACACAAATTCTGAACGGGGACCAATTGATTTCAAATGGATCGAAACGTGCACAACTGGACAACGTCATCATACCACATTCATTGAACGGCCGGCCAGTGAGCCGATCGCGGCAAGACGCGCCCTGAACATAAAAACCAAAAAGTGAATCTGAATGTGAATGCAAAATTTACAGGCCATGGGAAACTGTTGTGAGCGGAACCAAACTGAGAAGAGAAGAGGGATGCCAAAGGGTCTCCGGGGAGCGTCAGAATAGAGTAAAAGTATCTGTAAACAGCATTCCAGGACAGTTTGAGAAAACAATTCAAGTATTCAATTCATTTTTATTCAGCGAAAACCATGATCGCCGAAGACACGAGTCGTTCTGTTCTGTACATACAAACAAATTTCGAAAATAAATCACATTATTAAGGTATTGATTAAAATTCAAAAAGACAGGCATACACGTGGTTCCCCCCGGAAAGAAATTGAAAGAAAATAGGGTTAGATTGCAGGTGTGACTAGACGATTTCATTTCCTCCGTTCGCCACTTGCTCATAGTTCTTGTCCTTCACATATCGCTTCCTTTTCACACTGTATGCACCGTGATACGCCGACTTTTTTGTCTCCGGTTTCCTTCTGCAACTTTTCAAAGATTTGTTTACTTTTTGCAGCCGTCATGAAACCATTTGCCACTTTTCATTAGTAATTCATTAGTTTTTGAACAGAGCCACATGAAATTTTCATTCGAAAATGTTCCTACGTATGTAAGTGGTCTCCCTTTTTTCTAAACATATCCCAAGTCATCTCCATTCACTTGCGTTCACATCTGACTCTAATTAACGTTCATTTGATGGATGATATTGTGTATTTTCGTTTTCTTTTCCGTTTTCAAAAGAATCTTCTCACAGAAAACGCGAAAACGTGGAAGAGCAACAACTCACTTAATCTTGCGATGGTCGAGCAGCACGAGCACCACCTCTCGAGCCACAAATACGCCGATAATCCTATAATAATTGGGGTGGAGGCTCTTTTTTTTCTCTGTCGACGCGTGTTGATAAGAAGAATAATAGTGCATCTCGGGCTAGTACTAAAACTTACATCCAGACGATGAAAAGGAAGAAGAGAATGGTTGATTGTGTAGTGTACGGCCAGAGCACATAATCCATCAGGCCGACGGCGACTGCATAGGGAAGACTTGGCGCCGAAGAGGCGGTCGAATTGTCGGACGAAATCCTGGATGACGACGGGATGGTGTTCTTCATAAAAATGGAAACGTGTAGACTGGGCGAAAGAAAGAGCAGGTGGAATGAATGAGAATTAAAAGAGAGGCCCATGCACTAGGCAACGATGTTCATTAGCAAAATGAAACGGATGCAGAGTGTGAGAGAGACTTTTGAGATGAGATTGAGAAGCACAAAAGGAGCAGAAAGAAAGAAGAGGGGCAGAAATTTGAAACTTTTTTTTCCTAGTCTATTCTTTTTCTTTTTCATTTTCATTTCCATTTTCATGAACAATGAGCTCAAGCTCGTTTTGCTTCTTTTCTTTCTCTTGCTTTCCGCTCACATTCTCACACAATCAAGAATATGCCAGAACCCGAGAAAGAGATAAGCCCCAACGACTAGGCTACGTAAAAGTGACCAGACGCAGGTGGCCAGCTGACCACAATGCGTTAAATGAACGAGAGAAAGCAAGTAACAAAATAAAAAAAACTGACGGGACCTTTCGTGTAGGGGCAGGTAAACGACGTGACGGAGCAGGGACGGGTGTCATGAGTGGTTGCTTTTGTGTGTTTTTGGGTGTGAATATTGAAAACTCGCATTGTCTTTCTCTCCTCGTTTGACGGTGGTTTCTCTCTGCGTCTCAACTCGCCCACCCCTCGATTTCATTGGAATGTTCATGGCATTCTGAATGGAATGAAATGCCGAAAATTGGTGTCTGTGCGTGACATTTGGGTTAGTTTTGAGGTTTAAGGGAGCCGGTGTAGTTTGAATGTGTGCAACTCATAAGAACACCAAATCCTCACAAATCTAATCTAACTGATCCGTTCAAAAACCGGCGGAGACGGAAATCGGAAAAGAAAGAATAATATGTTAACTCAACTGCCAAGATCAAAATGCTGAAGAATCAAAATGAACTCTACTCTGGAGTCCCGCTAATTAGTCCGAATTCAGTCCGCTAATACAACTCGTACAAAACGTTTTCTGATCACTCTTTAGTGTTAGGTGGGTGGGTGGGTGGGTGGCCCCCAAATGGGAAATAGCCTCTTCTTTCTCAGGACCCCAGCCCTCTTTGTATTTGGATCCGAGCCAAGTTCAAGTATGTGTATGCATTAGAGAGTAGACCTAGCTCACTGATCATTTCAACATGTCTATTGCGAATTTTAAAGAAAAAAGTGGTTCGGAGAGTTTTGCAAAAAGTTTATTCTCAATTTAGTCGCACTGGGAATAAACAAAGAGAAAACAGCAAAGTATGTGACGAGTGGAATGGGATGAATGATGAAAAAAAAAACAGAAAAGTGAAAGTTGAAAGAAGTTCGAGCCCACGTGGTCAGCTCAAGCCAGAACTCGATTGGTATCCACAAAAGTGAAATTCTCGAAATCGTGATCACGATGAGTGACAGCGAGTTGTTGTGGCGCCAATGAAGCTGCAAAAAAGGAGCCCAATTGGGTGGCAAATATGAGGAAGCGAAGAGGATAATGGGCGTGGTCTTGGTTCATGAGCTCAAAAGAGAGGTGGCTCTGGCTCGTGGCCAAGGCGCTCAGCAGCGTGTGACTGGAAGGCATGCGGGAGAAGCGAGAGCTGAGAACCGAGCCCGCGTCTAATTAGCGGTGTTGTCCCGCCACTCCCGAGACGATCTTGTGAAGGTGCATATTCTTCGCACTACGAAAACCGCAAACCTACCGGGATCAATTTGAATCTCCACAAACTCCTTGGAGATGTTCGAAGTGTCCGTCGCGTTTTTGACTTTCGGAATGAACGGAGCCTTTAGTTCACGGTTGAGCAGTTTGTCCCAATCAACCGGAAGGAAGAATGGGTGGTCTCGGATGTCGCGGAAGTCGTTTTTATGGCCGAGACGCTTAGAACGGTCCTTCTGGAGGAGACCAGTGATGAGCTCGCTGCACGGGACCGAAATGGTGTGCTTCAGACGGAGTGGCTGGTTGATGATCTTGTCGTACATTTCATTGTGGTCCTTTGAGTAGAACGGGGGCTGAAATTATGTGGTTAACTGTTGTCTTTACTATACTTGGGCCTACCAATCCAAAAATCATCTCATAAAGCACGGATCCCAAGCACCACCAATCCACAGTCTTGTCATACGGTTTCTTCAAAATAATCTCTGGAGCCAAGTATTCGGGAGTTCCACAGAAGGTCGACGTCGTCTTACTTCCCTGCATATCCTCCTTGCAGAGCCCAAAATCGGTGAGCACCAGATATCCTTTGTCATCCAACAACAGATTCTCGGGTTTCAGGTCTCTATAATACATCCACATTATGTACACACTTCTCCTGTCGCATTCATAATGAGAAACCAATTTCGAGTACCTAACGGATATGTGTTTGCCGCCGAATGTAATCACTTTTTCGTGTAAAAACTAATCAAGGGGTTTGTTTGAAGGGAGGAAAGGAAAGAAAGGAAAAGGAAATTGGGAAGAGAGGAAGGAAGAGTAATGAGGAACTACCTGTAGATGATGTTTTTCTCGTGAAGATAACCGAGCGCACATGCAATTTCCGCCGCGTAGAAACGGCTTCTCGACTCGCTGAAGTGTTTTTCGCGTTGAAGATGAGAGAAGAGCTATAAGAGACGAAATATTGCTCGAATTTCATGTCGAATGTGAATCCAAACCTCTCCTCCGTTCAAGTGATCCAAAACAAAGTAGAGTTTGTCCTTATTCTGGAAGGAAAAGTGCAAAGAGACGAGGAATGGGTGCTTGAAGTTGCTGATGAGCACATTTCGCTCGGCCATGACATGCTTGACCTAAAAGCCATGCAAAATAAGTACGAATTGTCGGAACACTTCAGAAAACCTCATTCTTCTTCCTAATATGCTCCTTGGACAGCACTTTCATCGCATAGATCTTTTTGGTCTCCTTGTGACGTACTTGATATACCCTTCCAAAGCTTCCCTTTCCGATAGTGGTGAGGAAGTCGAAGTCACTGGCGGTAGCACTAAAAATACATTGATAATAGCGGTTTTCTAATGAGATGCCTCTTTACGTTTTTCTCTCACTCGGTCCCAAATCAACATTGTTCTCATCGTCATCCGGCGCTTCAATGTGCAAAAAACGACGCACGTCCTCACTAAAACATACCGATATGGTGGGAAAAGGAGAACATCACCCACTTTCTCATATGATTGTCAACGAGATGTTGACTGACCGCAAGGATCCACTGCCGTCGTTTCTCGTAAAACTTACTATCCGCCTGAAGAAACCTTTTTTTCGGAGCAGATGCGATTGTTGCGGGAATCAGCTCTTTGATCTGAAATCTTGTTGAGAACTGAACAAAAACCTCTTGAGTGATTCACTGATTTGGTTTTTTAGAGCGTGATACTAAAAATGTAAAACCTCCTATGAAACTGGTCAAAAAACGATGATACAACAACGTTTTCCCCTAAAAAATCTGGTTACAATAACTTACAGTGCTGAAGAATCGGTCATGCTCCTCAAATGTTCGTTGAGTCGTTGGTCCGGTACCGAGGCGAAGAGCATAAACCTGAAAAACTATCAAATTCCATTGCAATTCGTCATTCATTCCAATCGATCATCGACACTCACCACAGTTTTCTTATCGTCGCCTATAATTACATTGCACGTGAGCTCGTCTTTTCGAGACATTCTTAAATCTGAAAACAATATTCTTTAATCGAATTCTCTGAAAATAGGAAAAGGAAGGAAGAGCGAGCAAAAATCAATTTGTAAGGCGGAAAAAGTGATCGAAGTGGAAATTCGGGCGATTTCCGGGATGCAAATCATGCCCTTCTGCTGTGCGCCGTTATCAGTGCCTGCGCATTCACTCCATGACACTCCGGTTATCGCGCCAACTCTTCTGAATGAGCACTTTGCCGACGGTCGAGTCGCTGATGAAATGGATAGAAAAAGTGTGGGGGTTGGTTGAGTTTAAGCGAGCTGTTACTCCTGCTTCTCCTTTTTTCCATCCATTAGAGAAATTACAAAGAAATAAAGTATCGAAGGGAAGCGAGGGGTCGGATTTAATGAAATATGTAAAGAAGGAAAAAAGAGAGAGAAAGGAAGCGAATAATTTTTGCTTCCTATTTCGTTTTACCCAAAATACCCTTGTTGTTTATTCTTCAGAAATTGTGTCTAATAAGCTTAGGGGGGAAGAATTTTAATGAGAAAAGCACAAATGCTGAGGTTTCAAAAAATGAAAAGAGAAGAAGAATTTTCTGGACAATATCACATCATTCTCTTTAAGATGGTTTCTATTGAGAAAACGTCTTTCGATGTTTTTTTTTTGAATTGTGTGATTGCTATACAAAGAAAACCAGAAAAGAATCATGACCGATCAGTTCTTTCAATTTTTTTTTTGAAAAATAAATCAAGCAGGAAAATACACGCTGCCCATTTTTCAGCTCAGTGAGAAACTACTTCAAGTTGAGGACGAAATAGGACGAGTGTCGGCCAAAGTTGGTTTAGGGTAATTCGCCTCGTGCTCCGATAAGCAGTCCGCTTGGACCTTCTCTCTTATCATCGGCTCAACTCCTTCTCTCTCTCTCTCTCTTTCTCTCCTCGCTGTCTCATAATGTGTTTGCTCTTGATCACGTTATCATATTCGACCCCCAACGCGAATGACACGCACACTTTCCGTACAAATTGACCATTGACGAGTTTATTTTGCACTAAAAAGATCAAGCTTGCAACGAACCGGGTCAAAACGAAAAATCACACTGGAACTTATTTTTAGCAACCTTGCCGCACTTCTATAGACTTTGCCGCCCTCGTTTTTCTTTTGAAACTCCGAGCCAGCAAAATTTTCAGCCCGACTCGTAATTTTGAGAGTCTAAAAAAGGTCTGTTTTTAGAGCCAATATCTTTCGAGCTCGAGCTCTTATCATCGTTGATTCGTTGGGGACGTTGAATGGTGCAAGTGAGACACATTGTCATGCAGGTTTGATCACCCGGGCATTATCCACAATCCTCATTCAGCTGGTTGTTGGCGGTGGAGAGAAAAAGAAGGGAAGGAGCGTTCTTTTATGTTCTGAATGTCTGAAATCACAAAAACTTTCAACGTTTCTCGATACGATATGAAGTTTATTCGGAAAAGATGAAAACATGGAAGGGGGCAGCATGAATGTGGATTCAGATTCGGATTCGGATTCAAATTCAGATTTCTGGTACAAAGAGAAGAAAAAAGGTGGTGACGAGCTCAAGCAATAAAATGCTAGATACAAAACAAATAATGAATTAGGAAGTGGTCGTCTGTTGGCTCTGGCGTTGAATATGGGTGGCACGCTCCTGAAAAAAATGTATGATGATAAGGGAATGTCTGTGGAAATGCATGTACCTCTCCCTTGTTGTTGTAGAGAATAGTCTGGACGTTGGCGCCAACTCCGAAGGTGTCATCTCCCTCGAAAACTAGGGCATCTGGTGGGTTCGAGGCTCCTTGACCACGGGCGAAGATCTGGAATTTTTTGAATTTCCAACGGGTTCATCTGTTTTCTGACCAGTTTCCGACTATTGCCCATTCTGCATCTTTGGTGTCCAAAGAATCCCCCCGATTTGTTTATCACTTCTCTTTCTCCTCACTCTCCGACCGTTTCCCGTCGTCCCCGTCCCCGTCATTACGGCCAAATGACCTTGCCACACCCAAACGCAATCGCGCATTAGATTATCAATTCGACACACAACGCACATACAACAATCCACCCATTTTCGAAGAAGACACCATCAAATGAGATCGAATGAGATGTCAAAGGTGTTTTACTTACCTTGACAGTTTTCAATGGGTGGAGGACGAAATCGGACGGGAAGGTGAACACGATCTCGCGCTTTCCGTCAATCTTTCGCTTCAACTTCCAGTCTCCGAGTGGCTCTTCCTTTCCACGGTGCGTGTTCTCAAGGACAACGAACTTGCCGTCAGGGGAGGTCTCCTAAAGTTGAAAAATAAAAAAATCAAATAATAGAAACAGTTTCTTACATGAATGGCGACATTTCCCTTAGCGGAACGCTGGTAGGAGGTTCTGCTCGAGTGCTCTCCCTTGACCACTCTCATCGTTTCGGTGTCAGCGACCTCGTTGATGGCCGAGGTACGGACAACCTGCTCGACGAGCTGGCGGAGTCCGCTCTGATCCTGTTCTCCATCCAACATCTTTCTGTACACCTTGAGTTCTCCGTCCAGAGTTTGCTTGGTATCAAGGAGCATTTGAAGTTCGACCATGAGGGCTTGGCAGTCCTCACGTAGCCTGCGGATCTGAGCGTCCTTATCGTTGAGGGCGGCTTCATAGGATCTCTGGTCATCCTCAAGCTGGTAATTGAGCTCCTCAATCTGCTTCTCGAGGAGAACGTTTCTCGACTCGAGGTCGGAGAGCTTTCCACGGAGCTCAGAGGTCTGACTGCGGAGTCTCTTAACCTCTTCCTTCTGGAAGTTGTTCTCGGCGTTCTGTCTGTTGGATTGCGTGTTGATCTCCTGCACTCTCAACTGATACCACGACTCGAGGTCACTACGGTTTCCGGTCATCATCTGGTCGTACTCGTTGCGGATTTCACGGATCGCATTGGCCAACTCGTTCTTGAAGTACTCACGGTTCTCGCTGGTGGTGTCGCGAGCAGCCATGGCTTGCAGCGACTTGAGCTCATCTTCGAATCCTCTCTTCATGAAATCGATCTCCTCAAGAATGGTCTTCACCTTGTTCTGGTTGTCAATGCGGAGAAGGGTCTCGTGATCCAAATCCTTTCTGACTTTTTGCAACTCGAAGGTGAGTCTCTGGTTTTCCTTCTTGAGGCGGAGGACCTCTTCTTCGAGAAGAGCGATGCGTCTCTTAAGAAGGTTGATCTCGGCCTCAAGTCCCGAGAGTTCCACAAGAAGATCGTCAATCTTCTGACGGTCTTCAACACGACCGTTGGTGGCCTCCTCAAACCTAAAAAGCGGGTCAGTGATAGTTCAAAGTCCAGTTCTAACTCACTTCTTGCGGATCTCGCTCAGTTGCTGCTGCAACTTCTTGATCTCCTTCTCTGCCTCTTCTCTATCCTTTCCGGTTTGTTGGATGACAGTAGTGGCAGTGGTGATCTCCTGCTCGTACATAATCTTCACACTTCCTGTGCTCTTTCCAAAGCCTCCTCTCAAGTTCTTGAGGTCTGCATCCAGTTTTCTGTTCTGAGCCTCCAAGAATCGGACCTTCTCGATGTAGCTGGCGAGTTTATCGTTGAGCTCCATGATCTCCTTCTTCTCGCGCTCACGGTTGTCACGGATGGTCGAAGCGGCATTCTGCGAGTACGGAGACATACCGCCAGTCACCGAAGACGAAGACATCTCGGTCACAATCTTCAGCACACGGTTTCCGGATCCTGGCGTTCCGTAGTTCTGAGTGCTGCTGGTAACCGTTCGGTTGAACGATGGTCTGGATGTGATTGAGCTGCGGTAGGAATCATGATCGGCCATTTTTCCTGAAAATAAACGTTGTCAAATTGAAAATTGAAACAAGAAACAAAAAGACGACGGTCGGTAACCACGGCCACACCCAAACAAGAATGTGAGGAGAGTAGGCCACACCTTAGCTAGAAGATCGAAAAGTGATGAAAAAACAGAGAAACAGGAAAGTTTCGAGAAGGAAATTTGAAGTAGAAGTAAGTGGTGGCGGTGGCCGTCTTCTTCCGAGATTATGAAGAAGATGTGAACTAGGCGAAGTAGGCGGGCGAGATTGTTGAGGGAGGAGATGATGGAAGGGTGCGGTTTCCTTCCATTTATCTTTTCTCTCCTTCTCTCCCATCGCCCTGACCACTCGCTCTTCCGTTATCCGTCCAGAAGCTCCGCCCACATTTCAATTCCTAATGATGGAATTGGACACGTTCCTTTCGTGAATTATTGTTCTAGCGCCAGCAGAAAAGGGCGTAGGTCCTATAGATTGGAGGAGTGAGATAAGATGAGTCAGTTGAAAAATGGTTGGGTGTGGTTGTGATTCACTACTGCTGACATATTCTAATGATGTTGTCTGACTGAATGACACAAATCAAGGTGACTAATTGATAGATAAGGTGATAAATATCGCGGAAATCGATGGATGTGATTGGATGAGACGTTTTGGAGACTTCATGAGTAGGTGGATCTCTGATGATTGAAAGTGGAAGACTTCAAACGCGCCGATGACACTTTTAATCAGAATTCTGCTGAAAAAGTTGTTTGTTTGGATTTGGAAGAAAGAGAACTACCTACTAGCAACAAAACGCCTGGCAACTGGTTCTTACCGATTTGAACACGACAGTTAGCCGTCCGTCTCAACGGATAACATGATCAGACGAGACGAGATCGTTAATTCGGGAGGACTGAGAAGGTCACACAGGCAGCCAGCCTAATGGGACAAATAAATGTTATTGTACGTTTCACATCCGAATGAGTTCTCTTCCCGCGGCGCAAAAAAGAAGGAAGAACGAAACGGAAGCCATCAATTTTCAAACTGCGCTTCTTATCTTGACGCTGCGGCTGCAAAAAGCAGTCAGACAGCGAATGATCTGGTTAGTGATCCTTCATTTTTCCATAGAAACACTGAACACTACAAAATGATCGATTCTTTGAAACACGCAGAAAAATATCAATAGCGAATGGATAATGTACGTATGAGCACGAAGAGAAACAACTGAATCACAGTCCTCACCTGTTTTTCGAGAAACAATGGTCCAAAACCGATCGAGTGAGGTTACCTGATCCTTCCTCTTCGGTGTCACCTTGACCGTGTTTTGGTGTTTTTTAGAGTTGTCGTTATCAATTAATGTGATTTTTCACGCGATGCTAAGCGCAAAGCCAATAAAGGGTTCTTCGGTCTTCTTAGTATGACTTCCATAAACACGTTTTTTTGGCCCGGTTGCTCTTCTCTAAAAAAAAGTTATAGCGGAAAAACCAAAAGGGGATATTTCAGTGGCCGCTACTGTAACTGTACAGTGCCTAGTCTGCAATCGCAGTTCGTATGTGCGAGAATGTTCAGCTAACTGAAGCAAATCGGTGAGATTGTCACCCACGCGGATCCGAAATGAACCAATCTCCTCCAATCTCTTTAAGAGTGGTTGTATGATAGACTATTCACTTTCAGTTATATTTTGGAAAATCTTGAAAACCAGGCTCGTTTGTTTAAACAATGCGAAAAAGAAATCAGAAGCCAGAATGCAGGAGAGTCCATTTGGTGCGATGATCGGCACTGGCAAATGCTGGGCTCTGACGATCGGAACACGAATAAACTGAAATCATAATTACAAACTGAATTTAAAACTGATTAGACATTGAATACCTGAACTCCAGCAGTGAAAGCACTTTCTGGTACATTGATGAAATCAATTGTTTTCATATTGTACAGTCGGTATCAAATCTCTCCAATTTGAGGGTATAACTCTTTGTAATCCATCTTCAAACACTCGACACGTAACCTTTCCGACCTCGCGCTGTACCAATTCCTTGTCATTAAAATAAATAAAAAAGAATTACCATTGTTTCATTCTGGTCGGTTAAATTAGTAATGAGTTTGTTCATGAATTTCAACTGCTCATTGGCATGCTCATTAAAAAACTTTACAAAATGCCACTTACCCGCTCCGGACTTTTTGGGAAACGAAAACAGTGATGTCCAGTTTTTCCGCGCATTCAAAAAAGGTCTCCGCTCCTTCCTGTCTTCTTCTGTGACTTTCTTGTGCTGCAAACAAGGCTTCAGTCTGGGTGTGTTCTCGTTTCGCTCACATGTTGCCCAGATTTAGGACAACTTTATTAATTATTTTTTGAAACAGAGCCTACTTTATCATTCGTGATCGTCACATAAAGGGGCGTGGTAGCGGTGAAGCATAGCCGAGTGGGTGGGAATGCAATGCAAGAAGCTCTTCCTCTCTTCCTCTCTCTGACGTTATTGCAATGCAACAAGTCAGCTCCTCCTCTCTCCGACATTATTGCTATGCAAAAAGTCGAAATCTCAACCCTCTCTCTTCTTCTCTCCGACATTATTGCTATGCATGACATTGTAACCGTTCTCAGCGTCTTCCTCTAGAGGAATGTCCAGAAAATCTATATTTTTCCAGAGCTAAGAATTAGTTAAAAGCGGAAACAGTCTCTCACTGTTACAACGTGTAGAACTTGTGACAGAGAAGCTTTCATAAGAAGAATACCGTAAAAACGACATCCAGAAAAGTGAGCTAGAGCAGTTTGAAGTCGTACATTGAAAAACAGAAAGAAATGAGTCATTTGCTTGTTCGCCAGAAAGTCGATAAACAACCTCAAAAAAAAAAACAAAAAAACCTCTGCTGAATTATCTAAATAAATAAATACAAACAGAAATTTATTCGAAGCAATCTGTTGTTGTTGGCGAGTGCAATACACGAGGAAGCCTATGTATTTTTCACAAAAGCAATCTGAGAATGAGAACCGATGAGAAAGTGTCTAGACCCGGTATTAACAGACACACGGTGTCGTAGCGTGGACGTTTATTTGGAACAGTTGCAAATAAAAATGACTTGCAAATCAGTTAACAGCTGGGATTATAAAAGAAGGAGAGAAAACTTGGTGGGGGAAGGGGGTTCAGTAAAAATTTGTCGGGGGGTTGAAGACGGCAAATGGAGGACGGAGAACGGGAAACGGGGATGCAAGGGTTGATACTTATGGTTAGCCGGATGCTAAACCATAAATCAGTTGTACGGTAATGCCATTCAAAGTTAAAACTTTTCAAGTTTTGGGGTATTGTGAGAGGGACGAAGAGATGGGGGGAGGATTGGGATTGGAATCTGGAAAAAGATCACAGTGACACATTCTACACGAGAGTTCACGGGAAATGATGCGGGACGCTAATGACGACGGGGATTTAGAAGGAAAATGAAAATGAACATTTAAATTAAACAAAAAACACATGAAACATTACTAACTATCGTATATGCCACACTACTGATGATTGGAGCAAGACTAGCAGTGATGTGAGAGAGAGAGAGAGAGAGAGGAAGAGAAAAGAAAATGCTAGGAGGGAGTAGGAGGCAGATGAGTTGTCTATGATTTTGTCATAATTGTGGCGATGGGTCTATTCAGAAGAAAGTTGTAGTTGAATGTAAAAGGTAGAAGGCAGAAGTCGTGAACAGGGAAGTTAGCCGTGCATGGTTCGAAGGGCCTTGCGTTCCGGGACGTTGTGGCTGTCCTCGCGGTAGAACATGCTGAAATAACAAGTTGTTGTATGTACTTTTAAAAAACGTTGTTTCATAGTTCCCCTCAACGTGATCGTATGTAATTGACCACTAATGTTTGAGACTTTTGACATCTAACACCACTACTACTGATCAATCAAAAAAGTGGGCCAGACTTTTCCGACGGTTTGAGGTCCCAAACTTTGCAGGCTTTGTCATTATTCCAATCAGACAACCTGGTCCCGACACATCTGGGGCGGAGTCCAAAGAACTGCTATTTTTGGATTAGCTCGTCTTGTGCCCAAGATACTTAAAGTGTGTAGGCGAAATTGGCGAGGTATAAGACCAACACTAACTGGAAGAAATTCAAGTCACAAAAATTTTTTGTGGAGCGTAGACGGGACTCCTTTAGATAAAGTTCCTCGAAACAGATTGAAAAAGAAATTGATGTTGGTCAAAACACGTTTATCGATTTCTTCCATCCCGAATCCTAAATGTTCTACCCTCTCGAATCTTTGGATGGATTGAACATGCATTCAACCAACTCCCTTTCCCTCTTTATGAAAATCTCTTACCATCGGCGAGTTGGCGGTCTTGGTGGCGGCTCCTCGTAGCCCTCTCTCTTCGCGTCCTGATTCTGATTGTCTTGTGGCTCCTGGCATAGTTGCTCGAGCAAATCGTTGAAGTTCTTGTTACGGTTTTTCTTGGCGTCCATCCTTTGACGTGTTTTGACTGCTTTCTGAAGAGAAACATTATCAGTTGTTGTTGTGATGGCCCGATGAGTACAAAGTGAGAACAGAAGATAGGAATGAGCGAAAATGAGAACATCAGTCCTCGCTACGCCTTTTTAAATAGGCAAAAAGGAGGAGGAGGAAAAGTCAGTTTATTCGGACAATGAAAAACCGCGCCACGTGCAGGTGGAATTCGGCCGACTTCCAGCCCCCACCACTTCCTTCCATTTTATGACGTTTCGGTGAGGGTTATCTCACTGTCTCCTCCAGTCACCGATCAGGCCTATTTTATGACGTTCTGTAGAACCATTTCGGCTAGAACTAGGTGGTAAAAACTGGAGATGAAGAAACAAAATAAAAAGAAGAGGAAGAAGAAGAAGAAGAAGCATATAAAATTGTGTGGTAAATCGATGTGTGGCTGTTTGACGACTGTTCAAAAAAAATTATAGGTTGACGATAGCGTGCTGAGTGCTGGGGACGCTTTGTTTTATGGCTATTGCCCTTTTCTTAACGACCCAAGAAGGTCTCGTGTTTCTGATCATCATCTCGAGGGATAGAACATTCGAGGCTGTCATTATTTAGAACACACAACACGCTCACGCCACGGTCTCCGACTTTTTACGGTGCTGATGACAACCGCCACAAGGCCCTTTGGAGAAAGGGAAGAATTTGGAACTATTACGTCAGATGACGAGTGATCACAAAATGATAGTCTGCTGACGGCGTTGAGACCCAAATTGCCACGTAAACCTAGGAATGTACGCAAAAGGAAGAAGAAAAAACTAAGTGTCTCTGCAAGTGAGGGGGAAGTTTCGAGTTGGAATGCTTCAATTTCCTTTGACGGAAATTCAGTGGGAGTTCGAAAGCTTTGCTCCGAAAAAATTTGCATCTGCCATTCGGGAAGCGCCTAGTAACCATAGACTATGAAAAATCGTCATTCTCTCCCTCCATTTCAATATCCATCTTTTTCTCAAGGATCGATGGAAAAAAAAAGAAAAGCAAAGAGGTTCATTAAATGGGCGAGCAGGGGTAGAGGCAGGGGGGCAAAGTGCGAATGAGATTTGAGAGAGCCGGGCGGCTCTGAACGGACGGGACACCCCACTAATAATGTGCTTTTTGTGAAGATGAGCCCTGGGCGGAGCGGAGAGCCCTTCGTCTTCAAAATGTATGTGCATCAGATGACATTAGCGGTTTTTGTGTTCGTACACACACGCACACGCACCATTACGAATGATTCATATGGCAAACCTACAATAATTGTAGAAGAAGCTATCAGAACTGTACATAGTTCACCTCAAACTAAGTATGCTCAAACTCGGTACTTTTCAGGCTCATTACATATGTGTTGAAAATTGTGAGGAAGTGTGCGGTCTTCCAGATTCGCACGTCTCATAATAATCTGCTGTTCTTTTTTCCTATTTCATTCCAATGATCACAAGTTTCTTGGAAAAGCGGAGAAATGTGTTTCAGATTCTGTTTCGAATCTTTTGAGATAAGGGAATAAAAGGGTGTCTTATGGGCCTCGTTTATGAGAAAACGTGTCCTTTTCGGAGAAACTATAGAGATTTACACGGAACTAGAAGATTAACGTTCAGTTCTTGGCTCTGACACGGAAAAGTTGGACACACACGCCAGGAATCATGATTTTTGGAGTCTGACCGGATAGTCAAAGAGTTTTTCCCATTGTTACTATCCAAAGGCACTTTTTTTGTGAAATGATTGAAGAAATCAGATCAGTTGATTCAGTAAAACTGATTTAACGGAAGTAGTCAAAAAGTTCCGAAACTTTTTGCACATGAAAAAGGGTGGCGATACTCCTTCCTCCCCCCAATTCATCTACCCAATCCAAACAGTTTTCATGGACAAATTTGTTTAAAAATGCCAGTGAGCCAACAACTGTGCAACTGCTGCGTGGGGGTCACCAGTGGTTTCATACAAACCGCGCCTAAGCCATTGTTTGCAAATGGCGAAGCGAAACACAGAACGACTAAAAATAGGCTTCAATGCGAAAGCGGGATGGGGCGAGATGAAAGGATAGAAAAAAGAGGTACCGAGTGAGTGGGTGCACTTTTTTATGCGATCGTTTTAGTGCTACCAGAACATCGGAATGTTCCATAAATTTTTGAGATGGAAGCCGTTTTGCACAACGGCACCAGTCACGCCGAAACGGGAGCGGGAGGCAAAGAAAGAAAGAAGCAACAACATGATATGTATGAGATGTTTTTCTGGAAATGTGAGGGTGTTCGCAAAGCTCAGAGATCGACTTGTGGAACTAGAAAATGTCTTCAACCGACTGAAAAGGAAGTGCACCGACCACACAAAAGCTGTGCTGCAGGGCGGGAAGAGAAGGCCAATCATGACTCATTTGTCTTTTCTTTTCATCACACTTTTCATTTCATTTCCGTTTCAGCCCCCCATGGCCGATCCGATTGTCGTAACGTCTTCTTCATCAATTCATATTGTACGAAACGAAACGAAACGAAACGAAACGAAACACGTCAAACCGCTCTCGGAACGTAAGGAACCAGAAAAAAAAGGAGGAAGGACAAGAGAGAGAGGGGCCAGAAAAAGTGGTGGCAATGGGGTCACTTTTTGCAACGCAACGCAATGCAACGCGTCTTCTTCTCCAGCCATTCCAACACTTGTTCAAGGACTAATTTGTCTCGCGCACGACGATGAATTGCTGATTGGGGTCTGGGTCTTGAAACGAACATTTCGACGACGACGACGACGACATTGGCGACTACCATTTAGGAATGTTACAACGTGACCTTGGGGCTAAGGGGCAGATGACCACGTGGAAGGAATGAGAAATCGGGCAATTGGACTTGGAATTGAAATTTCAACGTCAACAGATCGTCAGCGATCGGTATGGTATCAAACGTTCAATGTGATTTTGATTTTGCAAAAGAGGAGACGTTTTACCTAACTTGTCGCAGGGTTTTAGTACTAAAATTCGACAAGTCTGACTGATTTTAATAGCGTCATCACACGGTCTCTGAACAATGGCGTACACGAAACGATTGCTAATCAAGTTGTTTTTCTTTTTTCTCTGTTTTTTCTGGCACGATCACTAAAAGGACTGTTTTCTGGTTCTGCAGTCAGTCAAAAGACAGAAAAAAAGATAGGGATATTCAGTGGTGATCCGGTGATTTGTCAAAGAAAAAAATGTGAAAAGAAACGAAGAAAAGAGATTGTGAATGTGAATGATATGATACTCGGGAAGGGAAGCAAAAGAAGTGGTTTGTGATCTGATCAAAATGATCGTTCTGATCTACCAACAACAATTGTATGCACTCTTTTTTTCCCGCCACTTGCCGCTAATTGCCTACATTCCTTCTCTTCTGACTATATGTTTTGTACGACAAACACCTCCGCGGGTTCTATGAATTCAGATTCACCAACCTTCACGATTTTGCGAACTGTACGACACGCATCATGATTGTAGTTCGCCTGAAGCGGAAAAACGCTCTCCATGCGACGGCGGTTTCGATTTCGGGTTTCACACGTGGTACGGGTGCGTGGCGGGGTAGTCGGTGTTGTGGATGACGTGTCTAGTTCCTACAAGATTTTTTTTTGTTGAGAAACGCAATCACTAGCAGGTGAAACCAAAAACGGCCGGTCAGTTCGCCGAAAATGGACTCCATTTTCATGCCCTCCTCATCAAATCCCTTGTACCCTTTCCCTTTTCAACCAAACGCACCATAATCCCACTGTCATCAGATTTGTTGTCCTCGTCGCTCGACATCGCCGTCAGAAGTGTCGGAGTCTCCATTTGTGCCGGTTGATGACTGAAGAAGCAGCAAAAATGGGATTTTATGAGCTCCGGCCATACGAGAAGAGATTAGGAGAAAGGGAAAGAGGAAAACAGAAAGAAAAGAAAAGGAAAACGAAGAAAATGAGCACTTTAAAGGAACGAGGAGAGGGAAAGGGGTTGTGGTGAAAAGAAATGGAAACGGAGAGTGGAGCAGGCAGCTGACCACATTTGGTGGCGGCAAAAAACAGAAGTTGAGGTTGGAGCCCGAAGCCAAGGGCCAAGAGCCAGGAGCAAAACTCGAGAAACCAAGAAACTAACGGGAAGGGAGGGGGGATATAATATAACATTTTTGCGGAATTTGGGCTTGTTATGTTTGGGCGGGCGGGCGTCCACGACACACGGATGCAAGGGGGGAAGGAAGAAAAGAAGAAGATGGGCGAGCGATGGATATGTTATGCTAGTGCCCGAAAGATATCTTTCCCGCGCATCGAAATTGAATGTCTTGGAGATGTATCCTTTTCGGGATTGAATCGCAATCGCGAATTACGGGTGTGCCGTAGTAGTAGTAGTAGTAGTTCGTGCGGATTTGGCGGATTATCCGGGTGTGAGGTGAGGTAAGCAGGCCGAGCACACATCACTTTGCAGAGAGACCAGAAACCAAGAATCGGGAAGCGAGAATCAGGAAGCGGCAGGAGGATGAGGGAGCGGGAGAAGAGACGTCTAGGAAAAAGGGATATATGAAAATAGCTCGGATTGTTGAAAGTTTTTCCGACGTTTTTTCTTTGTACTTCAGTAGTCTAGAGATAAAAAACTGTATATAGTTAGTCACTAATGAACATCGACCAGTCAGACAACTACAAACGAACCGCCAAATGTGTTTTGACACGACAGTTCCCAAGTCGTCTAAATGTCCGTGTCCGACGTTGAAACGAGAAAAACAGCGAGCGACGACGCGCACAGGTGTGACGACGAACAAAGCCGAAAACATATTCAAAAAGTGTGGGCGTAGTGAGTGTATGTGTGTGCGGGAAATTGTTGGGGACGGGGAGGGAGAGAAGGAGGAAAAAGAAGAAGTACGAAAGTCTCATTTGTCGTTTTGGCCTCCCCTTTGTTACTTTCAGGTGGTTAGACATGAATCTTTTGTTAGGCACGACCGAGGGAAGAAAGAGTGATCAGTCAGAAGGGCGTTTTAGGATGGCCAAGAAATTGAGGAGAGCATTAGTATTCCTGGACACATTTTTCGGTTCCTGTCTGACATCTTCTAAAAGGAACTTCTAAATTTGAAGTTTCTCTGATGGATACATAAAAGCCTCGAAAAAATTGTGGCCGAAATCCAATCCGATTCCAATTTTGGCGTCCCAAATGAGGGAACAACGGTGTGTGTTGTGTCTGGCCCAGTGGTGTTTGTCTCCCCTCAAAACGTGAAATGCAAACAAGACTCTCCGCTCTTTTTTTCCGCCAATTGTGTCCCCACACACTGCTCCGGAGATGAAATTGTGCGGCGACGCTTATCAGTTCGATCAGGCGGGGAAAAAAGACAATGATCACACAATCATAGACAATGTTGACACATTTTAGTTACCACTTTTAGTTTTTTAGTTTTATCTACTCCTAACTAGAACAAGTTTGGGTGTCGGTTTATCGATGAGATCGGATCAAAAAGAGGTCAAATCGTGTTGCGTAGCAGTTGACGTGTGGTTGGTATTCCCTACCCCCTACTCCCGGATCACGGACCGGACGAATGATTTATAAATGTGCCATCAATCATGCGGACGGCGAAGAGGAAATAAAGAACAGATACACCTAACCTTAAGAGGAATGTGGAAATGCATAGATTTTACGGGAAACAGACTGAAAGGGAAAAAACCTCCAAGAAGGAAGCATGTAATGAAACACGGATGTTTCCATTGTTCGTTCACTGAATTTTAACGCAGTGTGCATGACTAACATGAAATGAGCGAGAAATTGCAGAAGAAATGTTTACGTTTCCGACTGGAAGAAGGGCATTTCGATCGAACTCATCTCACACGACAAGACACTTGACACAAACCCACCTCTTTTCCGACCACATGACCACATTCCTCTCTTCTTCGTCTTCCTCCTCCTCGCCCGTCGCTGAAGAGAAAAACGGCCGGCCGCGTGCACTTCTTTTGCCGCCGACCCTCTATTCTCCAGCGATCTCGTGGTGTAGTGGTTATCACATCTGTCTAACACACAGAAGGCCGGCGGTTCGAGCCCGCCCGAGATCAAACCTTTTTTGCTTTTCTATTACACGTTTCGATTTGATAGAAATTAGGATTTAGTTTGTGGAAAGCGAATTTGAAACGCTTTCGAATAAAAAAAGGGCAAAACTCACTCCAAAACGTGCCGAAAAAATTGATACCGCATTGCGTGTTTTCACTTTCGCGGATCTTTGTTAGATGATGTAATATTATCGGAATTGAAAAATCAGTCGGAAACAGATTTTTCGGGTTCAAAACACAAAAATATGCTGGAACTCAAAAATTAATACCAGCTTTTGTGTGTTTGGAGAGGATTGAATATTCAGAATAACATTACTAATGCTGTCAAGGGAGTCCTGAATGCATATTTCTGGAGCAAGTGTTTTTCTCACGCACATTACTGCCCCCCACCAAAATAACGCATGAATTGCGCACATTTCGCACATTTTTCAAGCAAACATTTCTTGTAGTAGGTAGAAAAACTGCGGAGATGTCACTTTTCATTTAGGAAAGGTCGAAGAATTTATATTTTTAGGAGAAAGATAACAATTTGTTTCAGACGCACTGGAGTTATCAATTGCGCACCGACTCAATGTCTACACGCTTATCACCAGAAGTTGCCAGCGATCTCGTGGTGTAGTGGTTATCACATCTGTCTAACACACAGAAGGCCGGCGGTTCAAGCCTGCCCGAGATCAAACTTGTTCTTTTTTTCTATTACACGTTCTGGAGCGGACTCGTGACTGGCTGGACCGAAATTAAATTTTTAGAGTCGGCTCTTATGAAGTATTTAGATGTGGATACTGTTGGGAAAATTCTGGAAAAAAAGGGAAGACGAGAAGAGGAATGTGAAATTTTTAGCGTTTGTTACAATTCCCATCGGTTTTCTGATGATTTCCTCCATTGAGAACGTCTCGTTTCTGCAACACAAGACTTTTGGGGCCGGCGACGACTTTTGCCTCCATTGTTCCGTCTTCCAAATGTTTGCTCCGAGATTTATCAAACTGACCGTCGGCCACTTTTCATCGCATCATCATCATCTTCATCCGAAACGGCGATGCGCCCATCGAAAACAACAACGCCGACCGAGGGAAAAATGCTGTGAGTCTGTCTTCTTCATTTTCTGCCGTTCTGTTCTTCTACAGTTCATCATTTTACAAAAAAAAAGATAGAGAAATGGAATCGGCGCGGCCTTGAACGCTCCTCTCTTTTTTGCGAACGATTGTCTAGCTGGTAGAAGTAGAAGTGAAACCGGTCGAGAATGGAATTCATTCCAATACTAACCGATTCTGATAACTTCTTTGAACTACGACCTACACACAAATTCCTGCTACCGATTAAGAAAAATGGACAAAGAACTTCTGGAACGTAAAATTATTGAGTAAGTTGGTAGGGGTGGGGTGCTGTCCTGTCAAAAAGACTCTCTATCGTGCTTGCTCAATGAGCCGGTCGTTCGTGTATTTGCCAACATGACTTTGCAAAACGTCCGATTGTTATCATCAACCTCTTTGGTTTTTCTTCTCCTCCTCGTTCACTCTGTTCCACTTATTTAACCTTGACAATAATCAAAAAATCTTAATTGTCTAGAGTAACGCTTGAACAACGTTGAACTGCACTATGAATATGCTAAACAGACACAAGAAACAGAAACATTTGCAAAAACGAAACGTTATGGTTATTGTCCCATCCTGACCATTATTCAACGACTCAACGGCGTTGAAATTCATTCAAACACTTCTGATTTCGGTCCTGACGGCCGGTGGAAATTGAAGAATTGAATAGAATTAATAGCCCTGTTTTTACAACCTGTATTCTTCTATCTTCCCGTTCGGAAGTGATACCCACATCCCTTCCCGTTCCTTCCGTTCCTTGTTTTCACTGTCGTCAAGTGAAAGCATGAAATATGGAACTCCCATCAGTAAACTACCAGTACACTGATACCGTCCCTTCCGACGATGATTCATTTTACTATTATGATAGTGTCGACGAGCGGTTGACACTTCGGTGAGAATGTGGGCTGAAAACTGATAAGCGCCAGCGCCAGACAAGACGAAACCCAATTGAGCATCTTTTAGCACATTTTCCTCCTTTTCTCATCCTCTTTCTCGTTTTTGTTTCAGAAATCAGGAGTATTCCGATGATAGAAGCATGCAGCGACGGCAACCGATTCGTCGTCAGCGCAATGTGCTGGATGATGAACAGACGAGGGATGCGATGAAAGTGAGTTTACAATATTTCTCCTTCTGTAGGCTGAGATCAGAATTGCTTCAGTTGCTCGAGAAATATGTCCGAAAGAAGTACCGTCACTCTGCAATTTATAGTCAAGATAACAACGACATTGAACAGGCTGCCACCCCAGTCGGGCACACTCAATCCGCGTGTCAATTTTCGAGGTGAGTTTTTTGGTTTTAGATTGAAAGATTGAACACGAACACATAGATTGAACACAACTTTGACTGTTCGCTGTTCCGTTAACATTTTTATAGTTGACATTGGGGCAACAGATGTTCTATACCAAAATTTATCTTCACATTACCATTTACAGACAACTAACACCCGCCGAACGTCTCTCGAATGTCTTCAGCTCAACCCCTCTTGGTCCTGTGCCGGCAGAATACCACTATCCGCCAATTTCTCCACCATTACATGAAACAACGTTCAGAAGTGAGATGAAGTGAGTATACAATACAAAAACGTATTAAATAGTTGAACTATTGCAGACTGAAAGCGAGAGAGTCCTGGTGTGCATGGTTCATTCGAGTTGTCAAATTTCTGTATCAGTTTCTAGGTAATCCATGGAATGTTATGAGCTCAACACAATTCCCTTCTTTTTCAGGACTCCAGTACATCATTCTCGCAGTGCTGATCCTCGGATACGCGTGTCTGGGCGGATACATCTTTCAAACTTTGGAACAGGAGAATCAGTTGCTCGATTTGGAACACGAGAGATTGACGAAGATTGAGGAGTCGACAATGCTGGCGGAAAACCTGTTGAACTATATGAAACGATGGAATTGCGTAAGTTTTTTATCGAGTTTTCTGTAAAACTTGTAAAAAAAAAGTTTGTAGAGCCAGTCAAATGAGAAGAAGTGTTTGGAACTTATCACGAAAGCGTTTATTGAGAGAACTAATAAAGTTGAGAATAATATCAGAGGAGAAGGTTGGCGATGGGATTTCTGGAATTCGGTCTTCTTTGCCGCCACCATTTTCACTACGATTGGTTAGTTTTATTAAGGATTTTAAATAGACTTAAAGAAAAACGGAACAGATTCAAACATTTTAGGAAAGATGTTTCCTTTTTCAAAATTTACCATTCTGTCCCAAGACAAGTCGGGTTTTGGGAGATCTTATACAGTTTTTTCTCAGGATATGGAAACCTTGCCTGTAAAACGAACACCGGGAGAATCGTCACCATTATCTACGGTCTAATTGGCATTCCGCTCATGCTGTTCGTGCTGAAAGTGTACGGAGAGCTCGCAATCAAATGGGTTCAAAAGATACGGTATTATCTGAAAAGAGTCATTCGACGATGTGTGAGAAGATGCAAGAGGAATGGTCTGAAAAAAGCGGATACCATTGAGTCGGTGGCCTCGGATGAAGTGCCCGATGGGAAAGAAGGAGGCAGTGAGGGTTCGGTGAGTTTTTATATACAGAAATTAAAATAATGCCTCCTCCCTCTGGGCACAATCTTTAGTACAATTTTCAGGAAGAAGAGGAGCGAATCACGACATTTCCAGTCAAGTGGGCCCTTTTCATCGTCTTCCTATTCATGGTGGTTTGCTCGTTTATTGTTTCATTTTGGGAGAAATGGGATTTCCTCACCGCCTTCTATTTCTTCTTCGTCTCTCTCTCCACCATTGGATTCGGTGACGTCATCCCTGAACACCCACGGACCGCGTGTGGTAATTGACGCCAATGAATACGAAAAATATGCAAATATCGGTGTTTGTTGCAGGCCTCTTCATCCTCTATTTCGTGGGCCTCGCCCTTTTCTCAATGGTCTATGCCATTCTTCAGGTGATTGGAAAAATTGGGAGATGAATGACATATACAAAAAACAAAGAAAACTTTTTTAGGAGCGAGTAGAGAATCAGTACATGTGGGCGTTGGAGTTGATTGATCAAGAGTACCAGGAAAGTCAAAAAATGGAGCAAAATGAATTGGAGGATCAGGATCACATTGATAAACCATCAATGCTATTCGATAATCCGATAAGCAATGGTGGTGGAATGGGCAAGATGAACTCTCAGAATTCGATCAGATGGAGACACAAGCAAGGTACCAATAGTATGGAGAATATGCCGGATCGACCGGCGAGTGAGAGAAGATTCAGTGGTAAGAAACGAAAATATTAGCCATCATGAACTCATGAACTTTCAGTTTTCACCCCAGGAGAGCCTATGTGTGCTCCCCCACCTGTTCTTGGAACTTTTATGCTCCATAACCTGTCCTTGAAGAAAAAGTTGTTGGCCAGATCTGAAAGCATCCTCAACCAACAAGGGTATGTCACATTTTTTGGTTCTTTTTGATACTAACGCCATCTTTTTGGTTTTGCAGCACTAAACGTCCGTCCACTTTGTTTCCAAGCAATGAAATGCTTTCCACGTCGGCCAACAGCTCAAGAGGGTACTAATAAAACATGATTTATGAGAAATTGAGACATTTAGTGCTCTCCCCCACATACATACATCATTCTAGGTCGCCATGGCCGCACGCAGCCGACATGAATCATCCGCGTGAGCCGACGACATTAGGGCCGAACAAGCCGACGCCGGGCGTCTCTGCCCCCAACCTGACCATCACTGGAGGCAACGGAAACCGCTCTCCGTCGGGCGCCTTATCGGTGATCACCGAGGCGAGCGACGAGGATTCACGGCACCACTTCAAAAAGCATCGAAAGCAGCTGGCAAAGACTGTGGAAACCGACGAGGCGATCTCTCATCATGGTACACAAAAACTGTGTTTTCTTTCTTTATCTTTATCTTTATCTTATCAAATCATTCACTCGGATCAAAGCGAACCGAATCGAATTGAAAAGTTTCTGATACAAAGACTTGTCACGGGTTTTTCAATTTTGTCTGGCGATTCCTGCACTTGTTGCACGCAGTTTTGCGTGCAAACCTTTTCATAATCATTGAAAAATTAAAAAAATGACGTTTCTGGAATCCTGGAATTTGACAAGTCTGGATACTGTACATTTTAGGTGGGAGTGCCGAAAGCCTGGACCAAGTGATGGACGAACTGCAACTGGACTCTCAGGATCAGTCAATTACCCCCAAACCTTATCGAGATCCGCACTCAACCACAAAATTCCGCAAACGGGACGAGGCGGTGGCGTCGCGTGCCGAAAAATTGCTATTGTCGCCAAAAGAACCGCTTGAAGAGGAGGACGAGGATGAAGATTTGTAGATTTTTGTAATAGTTGCTCTTGTTTTTTGTTCAGGTACTTTTTCATTCATAATAACACTTCTCCCCCCTGGGTTTTCAACTTTTCTCACAAAATGTCATTTATTCATCATCATACAAGACAGTAAACATAATCTTCAAATAAAATTTGAGTCGTTTTCCATCTGCTACGGGCACAAAATAATACTCTTGTAACAACCGTGATCGTTATTACAATTATTAGCGAAAAGTCGACTGGAAAAAGGAAAAAAGTTAAGTATTGTGTATGTATGTGGGAGGGACAGGCAAAGTTGCTCTTCTGTGGAAGTGGTGTGGAATTTTGGTAAAGCAAACACGCATTTGGGAATAATATAATAATGATGGGTTGTGTGTGTGTGTGTGTGTGACAAAAGTTTGTTTTATCTATGAAACATCCTCGTCACTCGACTCAATCAGTTGCTGGCGATCTTTGGAGCGACGCTGTTTCTTGAACCGCTCCATTTTCTGCTTCTGTAGGTGGAAGTTTCATGGTATCTTATCACATTAGATGCTTTGTTTCATACCGTTTCTTTGAATCTCCCGCCAGTCTTCTTCTTCTCTCCCTCCTCGTGTTCTTTATCCTTGGACGACGACGACGAACTGTCGTCACTGAATGGCGATAACTTGCGAACGACGGCGCTCATCTGAATTCGAGTTTCTCTTTGATTTCTGCCGAAACGAAACAAAAAAGCGAAAGGCGGTCAGTTGGTCGGGTCGGTCGGTCAATAAACAATTTCGATCCGTTGGACTAAGATACAACACACACTGACCTTTTGCGAGAAGATGCTTGGACTCGACTTCTTTTCCACAACCTCAACTTTGGGTTCCGGTTCGACGTCGACTTTGAGCGGCTCCTACAAGTATCATTTGGGCACACAGGTACTGGTTTCTTGTCTGACAGCTCATGGAACCGCATAGAATAAACAATAGCGTCACTCGGTGTGTGAATACAACAACAACACACGAAGGGAGGGCAGGCAAAAAAAACTTGAGCGCACTAGCACTTTGCGACCGGAAAGTCAGGCTTTTCGAGTCTTCTGTAGGCTTCCCTTTTGCGGTATGGGTGCGGAAATGCCTGTTCTGTGTGCGAACAAACATGCTGGTTGTAGGCAATACTTATCGTTTTTTTTTGGTAGCGTCGCTTTCAAAAAACGTAAAAGCCACTAACACTATTATGTACCTGTTTTTGAGCCTGATAGTCTTCCCAGATGATCTCCGGAGGAATGATGTAGTTGAATTGGCTATTAGACGATGGCGATGGCTCTAAAATGCACACGAATCGGTTGTGGAGCGGTGCGAGCGAAACAGAAACGTACGCTTCTCGCTCGTCAAGCGTTGTCTTCCATTCGTGAGCTCGCTGAGCCGTGAGGTGACGGCCCTAGTGATCGAGGACATCTGAAATGTCGCACAATATTCGATGGAAGAGTTTCGACAGAAAACAACGGAAGGAAAAGAGAAGATATGGGATGACTTAGCGAGTGGGGCAAGCCAGAGTGTTTCAGAAAACGGCGGGCATCGCTCGGAGGCGTTCTCTCTTCCTCTCTCACATCTCTCTCGCTTTGGGCCAAGCCATAAGCAGACGCCCCGCCCACTCTTCTGAGGTTCACAGCATTTTCCTTCTCATTGACGCCTCTTCTGTGTTTGATTTCGGACTTAGAGCGACTGGGAGCTGAGAATGAACAACAAATTGATGGGGGGCGGATTAGTTACCTGTGGAGAACTGAGGTGGGCACTTGGGAGGAAGAGAGGAGAGAACAGAAGAGCGAGCAAAAGCAGAAGCACAAAAAGCGAAAGGATAGTTCAGTTTGAGTTTGCTAAAGGAGAGATGTTGAATCAACAAGTTGCGTCATTTGGAGGGCGCAACCACGCGGATACCTCGATTCCAAAAAAATGAACGGAAGACAGTAACCGAACTCCTGAAAAACCTTTAAAAAGCCGGGATGTTATTATGGGATGCAAATGCAAAAATATTCATAACATTTCAGAAGACAAAAACAAATTAGGCAACGACGCCTCGATACTCAATACACGACCAAATTAGCTGCGGTTATTTGTTTTATATGTATATTATACACAACGCAATCGCGCCCCACAAAACTTTTATTAGCGCCAGTTTTCGAGAAAGATGGAAGACTGCGTTTGTTATAAACATGTTCGGTTATGTACAATGCTTTCACAGTTTTGAGAAGAGAGAGGGGAGGGAGCTGTGTTCATGTGAATGTTCATGACAGTTAGTTATTGTTGCGTAAAGGAAAAGAACAAGGTGAGAGAGAGGAAGGGAGTAAAAAGGAACAAACTAGTTGGTGAGTCAGGGAAAGATCCGCATCAGCATAGGAGACGGCAGAGACGATTGGGATCTGGCAGATCCCAAAATTTCTCGCTTCTCTTGGTCATCTCATCACACGTCAAAAACGGTGAGAGAATAGTGCATTTATGTGTGTGTGTGTGTGTGTGTGTGTGGCGCGGAGGAGTCAATAGAATGCGCAAACATTTGGAACATATCGATGCGCCTGGGCAAATCACAAATCAAGGAGCCGAGTCTGGCTCGCTTGGAGCTTTGAGCTTGAGCTGCAGCCTATCAACGAAAATTTTCTTTGGAAACTCTTCTTAGAAGAGACCACTGAACCCTTTCATGTGTCTCGTCTTCCATTGCAACATGTCCTGTCTAAATTCCAACTCTCAGAAATGAACAGCGCACAGTCAAATTTGTGGCGACGACCCACGAAATTTAGGTATGAAAACTCCACTTTGCCGGGCTCTTGATTTGTGTGAATGTTTGACAACTACTGAAGATTGAGCCGAACGCGAAAAAAAACCCGGAAAAGATTACATGGCCACGGATTTTCTAGACCACGGGTACAAGTTCGACTGGGCGCTGTTCTCTTTATAGGCATTTCTGAGAGGATAAGAGTGACACAGACACATGAACTTGGAAACATATTCTGAAAAAAATCAAGATGGTACAAAGACAATGAGAAAATAATGAAATGTTGTTTGGGGTTATCAGAATCTGCTAGAGGATCCTACTTGATTTTATAAGAATTTTGAAGTATGTAAAACAAAACAGGGTGCCTCAAAGACCAAGGTTTCTGATCAGAAAAAGGCCAGTTCCACAATTTTTTAATCGCTAACTCGAAAAAACCAATATAATCGGAAATCCGTTTGTTCATATTTGTATTCGCCTGGCTTATGGGGGGATACAGTAGCCTAAAAAGTGTTCAATGGAATGGAAGCTAGACATAACAAGCAGGTGAAAATTAACTTGAGAATTGAGTTGGGGAATAACAAAAGTTAGAGTCAGAGCTATCATTAAATTATCTACTTTCACCTCCACACCACACAGCTGATCACAAGACTCGGAAGAGTGGGGGGAATTTGTAACAGAGCGGGGTGACACATGTGCTACTTGTTTTGAGGCAGTCAGCCCAGCTGTTCACCCTCTTTCTTTTCCAAAACTTGCTTTCTTTCACACCTACGCAGCCTTCTTCTTCCTCTTCTTGTTCATCCGAGAAGTGTGTCAAGCGAAAAAGGTTTCATCCTCATCCCGTGTGTTCATTTCATTTCAACAAGCAATTGTATGTTAGGGCGCCGTCTACGGCCAGATAATGAGGTAATATAAGACGAAAAGGTCGGAGACAGGTTGTGAATTGAATTCTAATGAGTGATTGAAACACAACACAGTTACTGTTATTCAAGGACGGAAAACGAAAGGAATTAGAAGAAGGGGAAGGGGAACATTTGTACGTCATAACTTGAAAATGAAAATCGGGATTGGAAATATGAGGGGAATTCCCCTCTCACCTCAGAATTGTTTTTCAGCTCGTTCGCAAATCGAAATTGGATTCAATTTCCCTTCTGATCATGACGTGACGCTTGAATTTGTGTTCCGGCTCCGATCTAACCAGCTCCCGGTGTCAGCCAACATTCAAGAGTAACGACTTTTTGTGTATTTTTGTGCTTGTGAACTATGCTCGAATTGAATTGACCCGAGGAGAAGAAGAGAAAAAGAGAAGAGGAAAAACAACATGATTAGCTCACATTTGGTAGAGGAGACAAAAAAGTGCAGCAAACCAACCGATTGTTTTTTGGTGGAGTTTAAAGGAATTCTCTGGAAAATATGTTGTAGGGGCGCAGACTTGTTACTTTGGTCATACCAAAAACAAACTATTATGATTATGATTCGATTAGACTCAAACAAACCGATTCTCGGAAATGATTGTCAAATATGAAATTCTTTAAGTGTGCGTGGGTAAAAAAAACTGAAAAAACATTTTGAGACAGATTTCCATGCATAAACCTTTCAAGTGGAGCTCAAAGTTCAGCTAATCTCGGTAAAGTGAAAATGAAGAGAAAAGACAATTTTTGCTGTACACTTTCTTCTCATCTAGTCAGAAGACTCGCGAACAACCAAAAGTCATGGGACATTAGAAATTCAGGATGTACCCATCGCTCACCAAAAAAAGCGTGAAAGAAAAGGGAAATAAGGAAAGGGAAAAGCTGACCGAAAAAAGTTTGTCCCCCCCCCTCCCTCTCTCTCTCTTTTCTTCCTTGTCAGGTCAATGGTTTTCCTTAAAAGACAAGTTTGGTAAGAGAAGAACGCGCAAGAAAACGGGCGTCCTCTCTTATTCACGTGTTCGTTCAGCGTAGCGCCTCTTTTTCTCTTTCTTTTCACAATTTTTCTTTCGTCTGGTCAGCGCACAGCAAAATTTGACAAGCAGAGATGTCAGAACTTAAGACCGGGAGAGGGAGGGCAAATCTAAATAAACAATTTAGGCGGACGAGCTAAATTTATTTGGAAAAGGAAGAAAGTTGTTCTGTTTTCCTCACATTCATTCTCTTTCTTCTTGATGAAGATGAAGATGGAACAAGGGGTGGAAAACGAATGCAGAACATCTGGAAATTGGAAAAGAGAATCGGGGTCGTGAGCGGAGAGCGCCCGAAAGCTTCCCCCCGCTGGATATAAATAAATTTTCGGACGGAGCACACTGCCAATATTTCTGGGAGATGAGAAGAAAAGGGATGAAAATATGAGAATTCTGGAATGAGTCATGGACACGGTTGAAATGCATATTTTCATGAGCCCCGTCCGGAAATCCGTCTACTAATTCTTTCAGAAAAATCTGAAAATCAAAGAGAAACTAGTCGACACCAGTGATTCAATGTGAATGAATATGAATAGGCCGGGGTGAGAACGAAGCGGTTAAAGGGAGGTTGAGTAGTATTTGAAAACCGATCGCATGACAGCAAATACTAGTGAAAAAGCAAAAGATGGGGCGGATTCAGGCAGAATATGGATGGAAAAAACGACATTCGGAACAGAACAGAACACAAATCGTTTTGGAAACAGGATCAGCATTTTTTTACAGAAGTGAGGGGAAAGAAAGAGCGAGGAAATGGCAGGGGAGGGGATAAAGCGGCAGGGGACACAAAGGGATCTGTATTGGAATGCTTTTAGCAGTAAAAGTGCACATCCTGGTTCACAGAACTGCGTGGGAGGTACTGTGAGGTTAAACTTCAGAGAGCACCGACACAACAAATGAACAAAAATGGAACGAATAGAAACTCGGCCGATTCATACATAATGTGTTCCGGCAGCAGAATCAAAACTCATTTCTAATTTGGGCCGAACGTGGATGAATCAGACAGACAATTACAATTCGAATGTTTAAAAATTGAAATGACTCATTTGTAAATGATTATAATGAAAATCTCTGGAGGGAATTGATGAGGATGGAAAGTGCACTAAAATCTCATCAATCTGAATGTAATACATAGAGTATTCTCAGTCTCACTCAGTCTCACACCAAAATATTGACATGTTAGGCTGCTAATTAGTCGCAGAGCTGTCGGAGAAGCAAATAGTGAGAGAATTAATATTCAAACCTCTTCTTTCTGTCCATATCAGGCAGACTTGTCCAAAAATTGAAAAAATGATAGACTTTTCAAATGTTTTACTTGGAAGATTGTTTTCCTGGCCCGAGCCAGAAAAACCTATCGCAATCGTGAAAAATCCTGCAAATCTGTCTCAAATTTGAGTTCTGGTCCGAGTATTGCTCATTCACACTGTGCATGGATGCAAATAGTGGCCGTGCTCTTGAGAAAACCCCCAAGTACAAAACTTGAAAAATATTTAATTCTAGAGTTTGTTGCAAATCTATCCGCGCAGTAATATGACCATATAATATCAGTCTAGGGGTTTTGGTTTGACCCCTGCCTGGTGAATCTCTTTTTTTAATTTTTTTTAGACGTTGCGTTAACACTGCTCCCAACAAGCTGAAATCTCTGCTCCTCATTCTTCCCTCTTCTCCTGTGAATAACATACACTGCGCCCAATAAGTATAGGACCCCCCTCAGTTTTGGGTGTTCCGAGCAAACTAGAAGAGATATCAAAAATCTGTAAGCGCCATTCGATTTGGAATACAAAATAACCCCCGGACCCAAATTTTTACAACCTGAGAACTATTTGTACCCGTCCACCATCAAAAAGTCACTTTTTCCACCGCCCAATAAGTATAGGACCCCCTCACAATTTTGACGGATTTTGGCAAATTGAAGGGAATTCAGCCATTTTTTTTCTTATTATTATTATAATTGTTGTTTTTTTATTGTTTTCATATTATTTCGACTTTATTTCCCAACTTTCTATCATTTTCTGATTGGATGATGAAGGATCTTTGAAAGAAAATGGATTTTTTCAAAGTAAACATTTTTTTCTCAACAAAATCAAATGATAACAGGGAAAAAATTAATATCTGGTCTCGCCTCCGTTCTTCTGAATGACTTGGAAAAGTCGATTTGGCATGCTCGATACCAGATTCTTCAATTCCGCGGCTGTGACCAAATTCCACTCGATAAGAAGGGCATCTTTCAGATCCTGGACACTGGCATACTGTTTGCCATGGCGGTAGACACGACGAACCAACAATCCCCAAACGTTCTCAACTGGATTGAGGTCTGGGCTACACGCCGGCCATTGCAGAACCTTGATTCCTTTCGCAGCGAGCCAGTTTTGTGTCGAAATGCTTTTATGAATACTGGCATTGTCTTGCTGAAAAGTGTGACTGCGGCGACGGTGACGGAAGAATGGGACGATGGCGTTTTGGAGCATGACACCACTGCGATTGATAACGTTGAGAACAGTACTCTTGCAGACACTCAAATTAAGATCACTTCGAACGTCGTTTGCACTCTTCATCGAATTGGAAATGGATCTTACAATGTTCCGTTCATCGCGGGTTGTCACTTTCCGTGGTCTTCCTTTCAACGCATTCGTTTTCTTTCCGTAGTTGACCGGATCATCAAGGTAATGGCGGATAGCATTCCGGCTTTTCTTGATGAGTTTCGAAGTTTCATGGAGCGACACACCCATCTGGCGGAGAACGTCGATTTGTGCTTGCTGTTCAGAAGTGAGAGCAGGAGCCCTACCCATGGTGAGAGTAGATGATAACTGACTGGATATTCGGCAAATCTTTAGGATTCATTTACAATTCAGCTTTTGAGTACTGTACCTGAACATCTAACTCTCGACAAGACCGATTACGGTAGTCAAATTAAGCTGAGCAATGTCAAACCACACTGATCCTTTAGAAAATTCAAAGATCCTTCATCATCCAATCAGACACTGATAGAAAGTTGGGAAATAAAGTCGAAATAATATGAAAACAATAAAAAAAACAACAATTATAATAACAATAAGAAAAAAAATGGCTGAATTCCCTTCAATTTGCCAAAATCCGTCAAAATTGTGAGGGGGTCCTATACTTATTGGGCGGTGGAAAAAGTGACTTTTTGATGGTGGACGGGTACAAATAGTTTTCAGGTTGTAAAAATTTGGGTCCGGGGGTTATTTTGTATTCCAAATCGAATGGCGCTTACAGATTTTTGATATCTCTTCTAGTTTTCTCGGAACACCCAAAACTGAGGGGGGTCCTATACTTATTGGGCGCAGTGTATTTTCTCACCGAGATGCCAGATTACTTTTTCTCTTGAGAAAAGGGCTAGGTACATGGAATGTACAACATACAATTATCCGCACCACATCGGGTATTAATTCGTGTGCTCTGTGTTGCGCGGACCACTCTATTTACATGTAGGATCTCTGATCGATATCAAGGACCGTTGCTGGCTGCTCGACATCTTCTCCTATCTTCCCATCTCCTCCCTTTTTTTGGCAAGACGTCTTGAGAGACAAACCAATTGTGCTATTGACCTGACCTCGGACCACTCGGTGTGTTCAATCTCCACATCTGTTGGCGTAGGTCGACCTCCTTCAGATCAATTTTCCGCGTACCATATGTGCGTTTTCTTCGTGCCATTGATTCAAATGAATCTGGAGGGTAGAGTAGAGGAAACCTTATTTATTTCTCATTCCTCACTCTCACACTTCTCTCTATTTTCCTCCTCATCCTCTTGCTCGCAACACGTCTGTTTTCAGAAAAGCGTCGAAGCTCTTCATCTTTTCAATACCCCGTTTCTCTAATCCTAATCCAAGTCCTATATATACGTTGAATCAAGTTTTCGCCAATGTCATAACTAGATTTGTGTGAACTACATAATTTCGATATTTTTAGCCGTGTAAGTGCACAGCAGCTGCTCACATCAAATATTGTTGGCATCTTGTCAGGTTCCCATCATGAGCTCCACTTGTTCTTTGTTGCTACTTTTTTTAGAGGAAAAGATTCAAAAGGACACCTAGAATGAGCTGATGATCCCCAGGTCATCTTCACCTGTGTGGACCGCCTTTTTGTGAGCAACGATTATCTTCACCAGTGCGGGTCGGCCAGTCCATTGTTACACGAACCCATTCCATTCTCTTTACGACCACAGAGCATCGTCTTCCTCCTTCTTCCTTTTCCAATTCTCTAACACCTTTGCCCAGTCCAATGTTTTCCTCCTTTCTTATCAGTTTCTGACACCTTATCAACAATCGTCGATAGTCACTTTCGCAACATTCTCATTACCACCTTTTCTGAATGCAGCCCGGAACCTGCACGTGCTCATTGCACATTCAAACTCTCTACTGCTTATCACGTTTCTTGCGCTCTGGCTCGAGTCACAAGCTCTCGCGGCATCTTGGTCTTAGTCAATATCCCTCCCAGACCCCTCATTTCCTTCAAATCTTCAATTTTGAGCAAAAGCAGTTTTGATGAAATTCTCCGGTCCATCTATAGTATTTGAAAGTAGGTCTCCCGTTGCAAAACCAAACCTGCATTGTCAATAGGCGTCGTAATGCAAACAAGTGACAGACTCGTCAGGCAGGCAGTTCCCCATCATTCTCCCCCTCCTCCTCCTCCTCCCATCGTTTTGCTGTGTGAGTGCCTGCGACCCTTCGATTCGCTGCGACCTCTTTTCCGCGTTTGACTGTCGGCGTCTCTAGGACCACACACACTCTCTCGCTCTCGCTCGTTCCTTCGGAAAGCGGCGAGCGCAAGGTTGTCGCTAGGAGAGAACTGCAACCGCGCTCCATTGAGAAAACTTGTTTTCACATCTGTGGGCGCCGTAGTCCGCGCGGAAAATAGTTCCCTCGTCGCCGTTCGTCAACCGTTGCCGCTCCTCAGTTTGAAGTCGTCGTCGTGGTGGTGGTCGTCGTCAATATCCCCTTCCACTCACACACAAACAAGCACACACACTTACCAAGTCCCAACCTTTACGAAAAAACACCCGTTTTGACGTATGGAAAGACCAAGATGCCGGAGAGCCAGTTCATTTACATTTCGGAGGAAATCTTTAACTTGATTAAGTGTGACCTAACAGATAACGATGTAGTAGAGTGCCAGGTGATCGTTATTCCTTTTCTTTTTTCAAAACTTGTTTCATATATCATATTATCAAACATTTACTAACGGTTTTAACACGCTCCCACCCCTCAAGATGGAAATCGCATGTTTTCTCAAAAGATCTTTCCAAAAAACCACAATGCCATTGCATAATCCTTTCGGTTTTCAGGAAATGGCTAATCCAAGAACCGTGTCGGCACAGGAATTCGCTGTCGAAAAACTTCAAGACACGTGCAAAGCGATGTGTCAAGGTTTCGGATTCACATCCGTTTCGCAGCTTGCCGTGAACAAGCTTGCCGCAATTTTACGGAGTAAATTGTATGAGTATGGGCATACAACGAGATATTTCATGGAGAACAGTAAGTTTCTTTACTTATTTTTATAGTAGTATTGCTATGGACTTTGTTTTTTGTACCCTAGAAAATTCCGTGAATACTGTATTAGAAGGGCATGTCCTTCTAATCGAGGGTTCTATGAAATATGACATTAGATTTGGCAAAATGTCTCTGGAACCTTCTAGAAAGTTTGCCAAAAATATGCTTTTTTGTAGGGAGTGAACAAGTTTTATAAATTTCAATTACCTATTTTCAGCCGGCCGAACGAAACCAATTGTTCACGATGTCATCGGTGCTCTTAAGTACAAGAAAGTAAGCATAGCTGATGTCAAGAACTATGCTGAACATTGCAGCTGCACGAGGCCGAAGAAGGTAAACTCAAATATCCGTAAATACCAATAATTCATCACTTATTTTTCAGCTGCCAATATTTCCAGTACCGGATCCGGATATCGATTCGGACGACGCCTACTTCATGACACTTTACGGTCCCCGACCATCGAACCGAGAGCTGAGTGAGCGGCAGGAGCACATTCCGCCCTATTTCAGGGCCCTGCATCCCGAGTGGATTGAGGAGGAGAAAAAGGCTGCTGCTGCTGCGTATTTAGAACCAAAAATGCGCAGCGCACCGATTACTCAAGCCGACAAGGAGCAGGAAGAGTTCAACAAACTTCGGAAATTGAACCGACGGAATGAGACTCCGGAGGAACGAGCGGCACGGGAAGAGCAGGAACGGAAGGAGAAACTCCAGGCGGAACGGGAGGAACGGCAGAAACGAAAGCAGGCTGGACCACCACGATACAACGGATCATTGCTGCCCAACTTCATGGACTTTGATTATTACAGTCTTGGTTTTGCTAAGGAAGCCGAGGAAAACAGAAAAGCTGAATTGGCACTTGCGGAGAAGAATCTACAGTTGCAGAACGCACAGAAAGCTCTGGATGCTCAACGTGCGGCCACAGCAGCCAAGGCTGCTGCTGCAGCTGCTGCGGCTGCTATTGAAACTGCCGGACAAACGGATGCCGCTGTCAGCGTTACTGTAAGTTTTTTTTCAAGACGTACTAGGCAAGCAGAAAGTGTGCGGCATAAGAACGAGAATTGCATTAGGAATATATCAAATCCGCTTTCGTTTCTATGAAGTCCATTCAAAAGTTCAAAGGCTTTAATGCTAGACAAACAGTGACGTTTAGTCAAAAACACTATGATATCACTTGTTTGTCAGTTTATAGTAAAAGTCTAGTAAACTCACTTTGAATGTTGTGAAGAAGGCAAAAGATACTTGACTGGTCAGAATCTAAAATCTCAACGATTGAATCTTGGTTGGAATCAGAAAAATACAAAAAATGGATGACTAGCGCAAGGAAAACGTGAGCGTGAAGCACATGTTCAGGCACTTTAAAACCAGTAACTTTTGGTTAATTTTGCCTTTTCCTCAAGTAGAAAGACTTACTGACTTAGAGTGAAGCACTAGGAATCGAAAAGCGGAAGGTCGAGAATAAATTTACTTAAATTACAGGTCCCTCCTATCAAACCGGACGTTCTACACACCTCGTCTGAAAGTTTGGCAAACACCGCTTCGGAAGATGTCGGACCAACCTTCAGAATGTCTGATTTGGTCAAGAAGCAGAAACTCCCCGGAACCTTGTCTAATCCGGGCTCCGCCCCTTCGTCTAGACCTGGCAGCTCTCTGGGTATTCACTCTGGACCTACTGTCGAAAAGAAGTTTGGACCTGGTCGACCGAAGAAGCCGAAGCCGGAAATTCCAGCAGGACCACCAAAACCCAAAGGTAGACCACCAAAGAAGGCGACGCTTGAGAAGGTGAGTGTGCATCCAAAAAACCGTAAATTGTGTGTATTCATAAATGGATTCAGAGAAAACTTCTGAACGACGCTATGATTGCTCAGCAACAGAAGAAACTGGACGAATTCAAGGAAGAGAAGGAGAAGGCTGAAAAGAAAGAAAAGGCCAAGAAGATGACCCTCGATGAGCAGATTCGCAACCAAATGCTCAGAGCCAAGAGCCAGATGGTTCTTCCGAATGCTGCCCTTACTCAGGGATCCGAGTCGGCTACGGACGCAGTCATACCACCAACTTTCACGGCCCCAGTTGCAAAACCACCAGTGCTCTCCGCTCAAATCATCGTGGACCCTACTCTAATCTCTTTGGATGTTCCGCAGATTGGAATGACTGTGGATGTGGACGCCGCTCCGGTTCTTCTGGCCGAACCAGCTGTCGAAGTCGAGATCAAGTTCAGCGAGGCGGTCACTGCTGAAATCCCGCTTGACAACATTGCTGTTCAGAAGGAAAAGAAGGAGAAGAAGGAGAAGCGGGATAAGAATTCGGATGAGTACAAGGAGTACAAACGGCTAAAGAAGGAGAAGAGACGGCAGGAACGCGAGGAACGCAAAGGTGCTGAGTTGAAGGAGAAGACGACGGCGAAGGAAGAGGACAAGACGAAGATCACGCCGTCGAAAGACATGACGATGAGCACGACCGAGGATACGACAGGTTTGTAGCTTTCTGACTATAGTTTTTAGTTGAGTTCAGTTCTGACATTGAGACCTGAAAGTGCAGTCTGTAACAGGAAGTTCAAAGATTGTTTCTCTATAATCAACTTTGCCACATGGTTGCACACTCATGGTTGTCAGGGCATTCCATCCCCCCCAATTCTCTTCTTTCCCTCCTTTTGTGTCTCCTCTCAAAATTCGTACGTTTTTCTGCTGGCTATACCTTTTGAGACGCACATACAACATGGGACACTCTTTTTTTCAAAATACGGCCAATCAAACTTTTCTCAGTGCGCTGATCCTAGTAAGGCTTGTTAATGCAACAGGACTGAAAATGAATCTAATAATCTGTGAGTGAATGGAAACGTATATTATGCATATATATATATATGTATATATATATAACTTTGTGACATTCGAAAAAGATTAGTGACTACTGGCCGGTCAGATTATCCTCCCTTCCTGCATCTCTCATCCCCCTCTTTGCCTCGCATTTCCGCTTGGCGCCTGCCTCATCGTTTCATCCTCATCGTCTCCGCCGCCGCCGCCGCCGCCCATTCAAAATTACTTTTTATTCAACCATGATGTAGCAGTCGTTGCCCTTCCCCCCGAAAAAAATTAGACTGAGACTTTGGAGAAGGAGAAGAAGTGCCCCGACGCGGGAAGCTTCTTCCTCTTTTCCTTTTGCTGCTTTTCCGTCATTTGAGGGGGAATCCGTATTGTGAAATTGTTCTTTTTTATCAATACCCTCTTGGCTGAATCATTGGAGGCACACGCTTGTGTCATCCGCCTCAGGTCTCATGTTCCCAGCCGTCTCTCTTCTCTCTGCCAATGTTTGGTTTCCGAAATATAAACGATTCAGGGCACGGCAGGGCAGGCCGGACCAACAATTTTCACCTTCCCCCCATTGACTGCTTAATCATAACGTCTCCGGGTCCACATACCCCGGGCCGGGCACTGGATTTGACAAGTTTGTCCGTCTCCAAATTAAACGAGCCTTATCGAGCACGCACCGGGGTCAAAGTAGATATCTAGTCAAAAATCGTCCGAACTTTCTCTCAATAATCGATCGATCTTCCCCTTTTTTCACATTTTTACATTTGGCCCCACAACAATGGGGAGAGGAAGGAGAAGAAGAAAAAGAAAACGGCGGCTAATTTTTGCGGGAGAAGAGGGAGGAGGACATGGCAGTACGTTCCAATCGTTTTCAACAGTAGTCGATTCTTTGTTTTTCAACAATAGCAACATGAAAAGCCATTTTTCTCATTTGAAGAAATGACTGTTCCCGCCCGCATTGCCTTTCATTCTTATTCCCATATTCATTTCCGCACGTACAAATCTTCAACTTTTTTTTGCTCTGAATCCAATCGACATGCACACACCGAGATAAGCTCCCCGGGTTTGTGTCCTATTGGTCCCATGTCATTTTTTCTCTCTTCCTCCTTCTCTCCTCTCCAATCGACCACATTTTGGGCTGTGGCGCAAGGCAGGCTCCACGGGTCCCCAACACCACACATTCCTAGAATGTCTCGTTTTCCACTTGTCTCTTTTTTTTTCCTTCTCCTTTCGATCTATACTCGTGGTTGCCCTTCCCTTCATCCTCCTGGAAAAGGTCTTCCGGAGCAAACCCTTCTTAGAAACATGAGAAGAAGAAGAAGAAGAAGAAGAGAAACACTCTTTCAAATGATTTCTTGAGCCTTTCGTCACCCAACAACCCTCCCACCCCTTCCTTCTCGCATTTCTTATGAATAGAAATTGGGTATTTGTGGGTGAGGGTGGACGGACATTGCCCGGAAAGGAGGAATGTTTGGGCATATGTATGCATTTCCTTTTAGAAAATTACTATTTTGTTTGGTATTTCTCATTTTTTTGATTTCAGATCCAACTCAAAACCCGAAGCTCAAGCTGAAGATCAAATTTGGCGCCAACTACGCTCCGAAACCAAGCGTCGGCTCGCAAATGCACCCGGATTCGACAAACTCTTCCAGCCGACCGGTCTCATCGCGAAGCAACTACCACGAGGACCCGGCGCCGCCAATCAACCCGCCACTCAAGTTCCGTTTCAAAAATCTCTTCAATTTGGCGGACACGTCCCGCGAGGACACTGCCGAAGTCTCGTCGTCGACATCGCAAAGCTCACGACCAAGCTCTTCGACGGAGGTAATTATGGGTGTGGGAGTGTGCATTGATAATGGGCGGGTACACTGGTGATAACCAATTTTCGCTCTGTTTATGGGAAACTTGCCTTTTCATACTTTTGCGTCTATTTGCCACTATATTAGGTTAGTAAAACGCACAGAAAAGTAGAGCTGGCTCGGAAGAAGAAGAAGAAGAAGAAGTAGGTATTTCGGATTCCCAGTAGACAAATATAGCCAATTTTCTGTTTAGTCTGACCAAAATACAATCAAGTGTGCTGTGCTCAGCTCACGTGACTAATTGCGATTTTCCATTTTCTATTTCCATTTTCAGCCCTCGTCATCATCGCACAAGCACCACAAAAAGGACAAGAAGGAGAAGAAGCACAAGAAGGACAAGGAGCGAGAGCGTGAGAAGGAGCGAGAGCGTGAGGAACGAAAAGAGCGTGAGCGCCTGAAAGAAGAAGCGGCTCGGCGTGAAATGTTAGTTTTTTCTATGCTTCTGAATGTACATATCATTCCCCGCATTTGTGTACATTTCGAACCAATCATTATTTTTGTGATTTTAGAGAAGAACAGCAAGCACGTGAAATGGAAGCTCGTCGAATCGCTGCCGAAGAAGAGGAGCGCAAGAAAGAGAAGGAAAAGCGCAAGGAGGAGAAGCGCAAGGAGAAGGAGCGTCAGAAGGAGAAAGAGGAGAAGCGCGAACGGAAGGAGAAGGAACGCGAACGCGAGCTCGAGAAAGAGCGGGAGCGTGAACGCGAGAAAATCCGCGAGAAGGAGCGAGAGAAAGAGCGTGAGAAAGAACGCGAGAAGGAGCGGGAGCGTGAACGTGATCGCAAGAAAGAAGAAGGTAAGAATACATGTTCACGCGTACTTGAATTCATTTTATGATTTTCAGAAAAAAAGAAGAAAGAAAAGAAAAAATCACCGCCGCCATCTCCCCCTCAACCAGCCGCCCCAGCCCGGCCTCTCCTGCAAGAAGACGAGGAAGAGGACGAGTCGGAAGACGAGCAGATTTGGATCTGCCCCGTGTGCTCGGTCGCCTACGTCACCGGCGCCAACATGGTGTGCTGTGACCAGTGTGAAGACTGGTTCCATTGGTTAGTTTGTTTTCATGAATTTTTGGGACTTCCTCGCCAGTTTGGAAAGTTCGCAAAATGCTGCTAGTTGGTTTAATATTTGCCAGCTTTCCTTTCCTTCTTCCCTTTGTTACAACTCGAGCTTGTTCCGTTGGAGCACAAACAAAAGTGCCAGTCAGTCACAATGGATCCTTTGATCTTTCACTTTCTCAGTACACTGCTCAATTTAATGTTACCCTCGAAAAGGCAAAGCTTATGATTAACAGTTCTTTGCTGCCTCGTCATTCGTTTCTATCGCGAAAAAGTGCGAAAACGATATTGCATGATCTCGACTGACCGTCCATCAAGATCAAGACCAAAACCGAAACCGAAAAATCATATATCTATTGCAGGCACTGTGTTGGATTGACTGCCGAACCAACAGACACGCAATGGTTCTGCAACCGATGCGCTCGGACCAACAAGAACAAGAAGGGAGGCACGAAGCGGCCGGCCGCTCCCCATGAGAAGTCGTCAGCACCTAAACGACGAAAACACGACAAGAATTAATCCTTATCCCTATTCTCCCCCTCCCCACCTCCTAGCACATTTTTAATGTACACTTTACATCACTTTAAATGTCAGTCATTTCATACATTCCAAAATTCATTCGCAGCCATAATTTTCCAACCCAACTTGCTTACCTTGTGTAGCACGTCTTTCGCCGTCCCCCCTCCCAATTACCCCCGTCGCCCCAAGTCATCAGTTCGTTTCAGCCAGTCATTTTTTTGTCGATTCAACTTCAAAGTCGTCGATTGCATCTCAACTTGTCCCATCACCATCCCACCCGCCCGAAAATCCCGAATAAATTTTTGGCCCCTCCCAAAGTACGCGCCTATCACAGATCATTTATCACACAGGAAAAAATTGAACAGTTATCAGCAGACTGGTCAACCAGCCATCAGGCAGTGCGGGGTCTACCCAGTTTTACATTTATCATCAACATCATCGTGTACATCAGCATTCATGAGGAGACGCGGCAATAATCGATTTCTGTTCTGGTTCGTAAGAAGATAACGTCGCACACGCACAGAGGACAGTCGGACGGAGACACAATGTCATCATGTCATCACCGCCTCCCCACAAACTAACAGCCGCCCTTCTTTCCGTGACGATTGTTCAATGAAACAATGCGCTCAGCACATTGTACGAGTACTGTTCTCTAGACTTTTTCGCCGTTCCCCCCTTCTCCCACTGATCTCTGTCCTAACTTATCCGTTGGCTTTGTGTTCGGCACGTGCGTTTGTCACTGATATCCGTTGCGCCGGCCACTAATTGCGTTTTTGAGGTGAAATTGAATCAAATCGTCTGTCTTCGACTGATGTTTCATCTTTTTCTATCCAAGAACTTTGAACAGTTGGCTTGCTGTTGGGTACACGTTGAAAACAAGCGATTCTCGAAGTTGTCTTCAAGATCCATATCTTACCTTTTCTGATCTTTTCAACACCGCGAAATTCTTTAGTTTTCTCTCTTTCTCTCTCCCTCTCTCTCGCTTTGTTCGCACTCTTATCACTTTTTCAAAAGTCAGGTACTCCTTCAAGTCTCAAAGCTCGATTATGTCAGTTTGAATAAAACTGGAAACTTGAACATATTTTAACAAGTTTTTCGTGTTATGCAGTCTGCCAATCATTCAACCTTCGAAGAAACTTAATCCGCTTGCAATCCACTTTTTCGGGTCACCTGATCAAATTCCGTTTGATAGATCTCCTCTCAAGTACAATTCGCTAAAAGACCGGTCATTTTGCTCGGCAAAATCAAAATCCACAAAGACATTGTTTTATTTCTATCTTATCTTCTCTTGTCACGCCCGTCTCCCATCTCTCAAAATACGATTAGTACAAAAAAGTGTTTCGATGGTATTTGCAATCCATCAAACTCATACAGTCTTTTGTTTTGTTGAAGTTGCAGCCTTTTCTTTTCGTGTTGCCCTCGAAAAAAGTTTCGGTGCAACCGGTTCTCTGCACTTTTTGATCATTGATTTATGAACTTTATTAAGATTAGAAGAACAATTTTTAGTCAGTTTCTAGACGGAGGTCCTAAAAGACTTTTGAAAGTTGAACTTTTGATGTCACTTTTCGAAAAAATTCTCTCTGGACCACTTATTCACTCTCTCCCTTGATATCATCTTTCAGCCGCTCCACTCCTCCTCCACATTTTGCACTCAGATCATTACACCAAAATAACAAACAACGATGACAAAAATAATAATAAAACATTTTGAGCAAAGTGCGTTTATCGTCATTCAATATCGCGTCTCGACGACGGCGACGACGGCACTGTAAACCAGTTTTTGTTTCCGACTAACCTTTTTTTCAGTAGCCACCCCTGAAAACGTCGATTGTACGTTTCGTTCTCATGACGATGTTCTTTGATTTCTCAGCTAATCAAGCCGTCGGTCTACATATAAAAAACAGGTAAAAACTGAAAAACAAATTGCGCGTGCTTGGATAGATGGCTTTTAGTAAATGCACCTGGTGATTGTGATGAATGGACGTTTAATGTGGGGGGGAGAAATGTGAAAGAGAGATAGCGAGAGAGAGAGAGGGAAATCCTTATCAGTCTTTAAAGACTGATATTTGAGCCCTATCAAAGTTCAGTTTTATCAGTCGGTAACCAAGCCAAGTTGACGCTGATCTATTGATACTGGCTCATTAAATTAATACACACCACACGCCCACACTTTTTATCGTTCATTCTCACTCGAAATGTTTGATTCTTGCCAGACAGACGACGAGAGCCCGAAAAAATCCAACTTTCACGTGTCGTTCTTCTTCGCGCGGCACATTTTAAATAAATAGTGTAAAAAAGATTCCAAAATGGTCAGCCAACATAGTAGTGCGCCAAGAACAAGTGGAAATGTTTGCCCTCGGTCGAAGCGGGGGGAGCCCGTGTAACAGAAAGAAAGAGAGAGAGAGAGAGAGAGAGAGAGAGAGAGAGAGAGAGAGAGAGAGAGAGAGAGAGAACGAGCGTATCCAGTTAGCGAGCGGGCGAGCGAGACAGACTCAATCGAATTTTTGTACTTTTCTCCTTTGTCGCCTGAAGACTGTGTCTTGTGCCCAAAAACTCACAAGACCCACCGTATGTTTGCCACGTGACACTGAACCACATTCAGAAAATTCAGTCAGTTCATATTCATTCGTCCCGTTGGGAGGAGATCGAAGAAGCATTTTGCGTTTCGGAAATGTCAAAGATAAATGCACTTCTAGTATTCTCATATTTTCTATGTTCTAGTTGTTGTCCCCCGTCTCATTAGCACACGCTAGACTGTGCCTTGTCCTCTTACGGCCCGATGACATCGTGGTTCTCTATTTTTCGACACAAAAGTTGAGCGAAACATGTTAGGGTCAGTTGATGTTTTCCGATCACAATAACCAAGTGAATTATCTGACTAGCTATAAATTGTTTCAGTTTCCGACTAATCTCTTCCGCTATTGTAGGACTTCATGCCTCCGATCTTTGCTCTTGAAAAGTGTGCCATATTCCTTCTTTCTCTTTCTTTGTTCATGTCCTTATCAATTTCTATAATTTGTGTCTCATCCATGTGACAGACACACTACTAATCAATCAATAATCAGTTTCAGTTGTTATGAGATTTGTTTTCGAAATGTTATTTCCAAGCTCGTCCAGAAAATCAACCAACACACGCGTGTAGCACATGTCACCTAGACAAACAATGCTCAAAAGTTTCTCTGCCTCGAGTCTGCCGATCGGCAACTAACTTAACCTCCTCCGACCATGTCTGTAGAGGGAATAATCACATATGTACCACACACCGATTATTGAATCACACACTCACGCACTTCTTTCTTTCTCCTCCTCCGTCTCCATTTCACCTGCTTCTCATTTCATCCAAAGTTATTGCAGAAAGTGTTGCCAGAATGCAAGCTGGGAAAAAGCCGTGCTCGGTGTGCGGCGAGGCTGGTGATGGAGCGCACTTCGGAGCCGAAGCCTGCAGGTTTTATTCTTTCCAGAATTTGCTCGTTTTCTGGTTACCTTTAAACGTTTCTTTCAGAGCCTGCGCTGCATTTTTCCGCCGTAGTGTCGCACTGAACAAGGCCTACGTCTGCCGGTCAATGGGTACGTGTGTGATTCAAAAAAGTGAGTGTTTTTGCAAGACTACTCTTTGCTGACCAAGTTTTGGATCAACGTGACTTGAACACAAACAAAAGTGCCAAAAATAGAATCGACTAGAACAAAACATGTTTATTTTTTTGGAAAAACACTTTTGTACATATCTTACTTTTTGCTCTACTATATTTTGACCACACTTGTTGGAAATTGGCCCGGCGAACTCAAAATGACAAAATTTTAATACTGAAACCCGGTCTGGTGTTTAGACAAGTCGGACTTTAACAAAAAAACGAGAGATCTGAACTTTTGGCCTGGTCTGTGACAAAGATTGTGACCCTGACAAAAATGCTTATTTATTTTTCAGATGTCCGATGCATGTGCCGAGCGTGCCGATTCACCAAGTGTATTGGTGTTGGCATGAGAAAATCAGGTGGGTAGACTGAGCTTTTTTCAGATTCGTCTTGATTTCTGTTATTTTCAGCTGTCCAACGACATCGTGAGCTGAATGCGAAAATTGAGGGAGCAAATCAGGAAATGCACATTTATCGAGCATCTCCTCCGTGGCCCATGGAAGTCGGACCATCTCCAATCGACGAGTCGGGCATGCCAACACTCAGCAAACTGAATGAGAATTACGCGCATATGGGTGCTGTAAGACGGGTCATTCACAATTCTGGTAGTGATAACATTTTTAATGTGAGTACGGCACAAATCACACATTTTTTGTGGTTCGTACACCCACGCAGCGCGCAAATTATCAAGTTTCAGCGTCGAGAACCGAAAGCGGTGGCGTACAAAGACGCCAACAGCGTGCATTTGAAGGAAATTGGATTGGTGGCCGACTGGGTGATCAAATCGTACGTGGATTTTGAGAGACTTCATCAGGAACAGAAAGTGAGCGCAGATTTGCAAGGAAGGGGAAGTATGGGAACATTGAAAATTGCTTTTTAGAAACTGCTATATCGAAACTTCTTCTTGCCATTCATGATTCTGGAATGCGGGTATCACTGCTGCCTAAACAATAGAACAGACATTCTGTTCCTGCCCTCTGGAGATTACATCGACTGCAGCCGACCAGAGACATTTTACAGCGGCGACAGTAGCTCGTTGTTGATGAGCTCGGAAGAGGCAGTCAGGTTTGTGACGTGTTGGAACGCTTTTTTATGAAAAACTGTTCTTTCAGAATGTTCGTGCCTTCCTTTGATATCTACAGGCGTAACGTGCTAGACCCAATGCGACGCGAAAAAGTGGACAACTACGAGTTCTTCACACTCTGCTCGCTTGTCCTCTGGGACCACGGCTTAGAGGGTCAGGCCGATGATTGTGTGATGATGGCCAGATCCAACAGGGAGCGCATTCTTCGAGAAGTTCTGTTCTACTACCGAAGGGTCAAGCAGATCTCGGATCCCTCGATGAGATTGGCCAATCTTTTGGTGCTTTTGCCGGCTCTTCAGGTGAATAATTATCATATTACCCATTTTCTATAAGATTCGACCAGGCCTAGAACTGCACAACCACTTTTTACATGTTTAGTGTATACTTTTCCCGAAGCATGATGGGAAGTTTTATTTTACATAACTTCTTTCCAGAAAACTCGAAATTGTGGGTCTAATGCTACATACGAAGCACCGGGAATAATGACATTGAGTTTCATAAAAACAATTTTCTTTTCAGAGGTCCGTACGAAGGTTCCAAGAAGACATGGAAATCACCCACGTGTTCAATGTGTACTCGGTCGAGTCCACGTTCTACGAGCTGGTCAGCGGAAGGCTTTCCGACAGTTTCTTCCAACAAGCCACAAATCTGAAGGATGATGAGATCAAAAAAGAAGAAGTAGATTGTGTCTGGTGAGTGACAGACCGGAAATTGAATATACCAACAGTTCAGCATTACACAAACATATTTTGCAGGGACCTCAACTCAGGCCAAGTTGTCGACATCTTTGAGTACCCAACTCCACAGTACTCTTCAGTGGATTCCAACCCATCTCCAGAACAATTCTAACTTATTCATCATATCATAGATACAGTAATCCAGTAACCTTTCCTTGATCCTCTCAAAAAGCCAGCATACAATTCGAAACCAATGCCCACCCCTTCCACAATGCCATCAACGGTTATTCTTTCAGCTTTACTTGACACATTTTCTCAGGAATTGAAAATGTGCCCTATTATTTTACAAAAAAAAAGAATAGTAAAAAATGTGATAGTTTACTTGAAGTTTGAGTTCACAACAAGAAAACCATTCAAGTCTTTCTTTTCCCAACAAATCGATTCCGCCACTCTGTATGCTGTATCAAACGTTTTTTTTCTTCTTTTTTTCTTCCTCTGTATATTTCTGAACACTGTAATGTAATGTAATGAAAAAAGATGTAGTTGTGGTCTCAAAGACGAGACACCTGTCGACAAAAGAAAGAAGAAGATGATAGCGAAAGTGAAGAACAGAGAAAATTAGTTATCTGTGCTCTCACAGACGAATTGATCACAGGCTCCCCCTACCTCATTTTATCCGCAAAACACTGGCCACTTGATGGATGCGTCTTCATCCAAACCAACTGCCACACATCCTCCCCGTCTTCCTGCTGGGCTACTCGCGACAAAAGGACGGACGCAAAAAGTTGGGTGACGCACGAAGAGCACCTGGAAGAAGATGGGGGGAAAGGGGCGACCTCGTGCTGTGTGTGCTGCCACGTAATTGTTCTGGAGGGGATGGATGAGTTAAAGATAGGTACGTGTCCCTCTTGCCACCTTCACGCCGACCCCACCGACCCGTGACGTCAAGTACCGCCAACAAACGATCGGAAAACAAGAGAAGGGGAAGGCAAAAAACTTCCACTGTCCTAATTGAAATCAATAGTTATCAGTCACAGCCGGTCCCCACCCACCATCCACCCAAACCAACCAATTTTATTTCCATTATCGACAAGAAAACAAACAACCTAAAAACATGGCAAGTGTAGGCGAAAAAATGAATGAATGAATGAAGAATCTGTCCATTATTTCATTAACGTTCTTTCAGTATGTAGTAGTCTAATGTGTTGTTTGACAAACATCGGGCCGGCTGGGCCGTTCTACATAGCTCTCAAAAACTTTTCCTCGGAAAATTGATGATTGATAATACCGGAAATTGGACTAAGACTTTTGCCATCCATCCAACTTCTTCCTTTCCGGTCGATCCAACTTGTTTATCTCAATGCATCCTATCAATTTCAATGCTCTCTGTTTATCCTATCGCAACTTCTCAGTTTACATGCCGCACCACCACCACGAAGTCGCGGAAACAAGCGAAACGACAAGCTTCTCTCTTCATTCGTAAACTTTTAATCACAAAAAACCCCAGGAAGATGGATAGAGACTGATAGATATCGAGAGTCGGCAAGGACCACAACTGTTCTACAACATATATACAACGAAATGTGGTCGCAGGGACGGGTGTGCTCTATCTGTTCTTCTTCTTTTTCTTCTGCTTCTTCTTCTTCTTTCCTATTATCATTTCGTTTCGGACTCTCCGAATTTCCGATTTTATCTTTTTCTAATCTCTCGGATCTATCTATCTTTCGATCAATTTACCTTTTCCAAGCTCAGAATTTCATTTGAAATGCAAAGTGGCAAAAAACGCGCCAAGCTCAAAAATTCACACAAAAGTGCAAAACGTTCGCGGTCCCATGTGAACTTTCATACTTTCAAACAAAAATTGGGCAACATTTTAAACTTTCTCTCCCTGACGGATTGATGCATATGCGGAGAAAAAACTACGTGACTAGACAGATCACGTTTCCCTCTATACTACTTTTTGCAATCATAGCCCCTCCTTTATCAATCTCCGTCCCCGCCAGTGGTCTTGTCACTCGGCTCGCGGGAAGCAAAGAGAGAAAGAGAGAGAGAGAGAGAGAGAGAGAGAGAGAAGAAGCAAGAATAAGAAGAATAAGAAGAAGAAGAAAGAAGAAACCTACTCTTTTCACCACACACAATAATATCTTTCTTCACTGATCTCTACTTTTTCTCATGATCCTCCTCCTGGATCACCATATGGACCGTCGCACCAGTTTTATGATATTTTTATACGCTTTCCCGTCAACGATTCGCTTGTTTTCCTGCGATTTTGAGTGAAACGGATTGAGGACGGCGGGAAGAAGAGATAAAGAGTCATAAAATGTTGGGAGCTTTGAGCTGAAGCGAGCCCATGAGCTACAATATCGATTCGATTTGATTGATCGTTTGTTCTGTATAGTTTGTTAGCTGACGGGATCTAGCTGGAAACTTATCAAAATTTAGTCTGTGAGCATCAAAATGAAATAAACTTTGCCCTACAACCTTTCGTCCAAAACCATTGCTCATTAATCACTTGTTCTTGCTTTCTCTGCCTTCCAACTTTTTTGCGCTTTGCTCCTCCGGTCCACACGCGAATCTCGGTTCTTCCTACCGCCAGCATCGGATCATGAAATATGAGATATAGTATTGATGGCGCCGTCGGCCGTGTTTACAACACATATATACTCACATTGAACTTGAAGAGTTTAGTGTACAGTTACATTAGGCCGATATCATTTCCATGGTTAGTTGCAAATTTCGGGCCCGATTTTTCGTTTCTATTTTCGATTTCTGATGCCAAGCCTGATTTTGATCCCTTTGAAGGTTATGTAGTACGCTTTGGTTTGCGCCACCATTATCAGGAGCGGACGGACAGGAATCACTGTCTGGTTTTGTGTGCCTTCGGGCCGTGTTGGCGGATAGATAGATCAAAAGTGTTGTGTACACATGTAACTCGACTTTATCTCACCCCCATCGTCTCTTGTTCCGCAATTTTCTATTGTTCCGTCCGTCCGTCACTATCGAAAAGCCCCAAGACCCTCCAAAAAGTGACTTGGTAGCTCAATTACCGTGCCCATAAAAACCTTTGCTCGGCGCTCTCATGAAATGCTTTTTAGGCGGGTTAATGGCCCGGAAAATAGGAATATGAGGCTGGGGAGAGGAAATAGAAAGAAAAAGGAGGGCAAGGAGGAAAATAAGAATAATGTGACGTGGATCGGCACCTCATTTTTTCTTTATAATTTATGGTTCTGATCTGCTTTTGCTTCTTTTTTCTTTTCCGTTCTCTTATTTTCAACTCTTTCTTTCTCACTTCAGTTTATATCCCAAGCTCGTTGAATTTTATCTGAATCCAGATGGTCCGTTTCAAAAGCCATTAAGATCAGATCATGGCGGGCGGGAAAATGCGTTTTGTCATACGCTCGCACATGTGCACTCAAACTCTGAAAAATGTTTGTTTATATGTTTATTTTTAGACCCCCCTCCCTATACAACCTCGAATCGGCTCCTCTCTCGGCGGTCCAAGACGATTATGATTTGTTGAAGTATGCGAAATTCCCTACTATTTTTCATCTTTCTTCCCTGCGTAAGTTCAGCCCTTTTCTCAGACTGTAAATGATTTTTTGCTCTGTTCAGGTGATAGTTGCTGTCGATCTCATTCATCTACATGATGGCTCTCCGTTATTTGGCGAGGAGGTTTTGTCACCGAGTGGTAAACCGCTCTCGAGGTTTCTAGGAATCCCATTTGCAGAACCACCAATTGGAGAGCTCAGGTATTAGTTAAAATGTGCTTACTCTATTTAGTAACATCTTTCTCGTTAGGTTTCGAAAGCCAAAAGCGAAACAGTCATGGAGAATACCGTTCAACGCAACTATCCCTCCAAACAGTTGTATTCAAAGTGAGGACACTTACTTTGGAAACTTCTATGGTTCGACAATGTGGAACCCAAACACTAAACTTTCTGAGGACTGCTTGTACCTGAACGTTTACGTGCCAGGAAAAGTGGATCCTAGTAAAAAGCTGGCCGTAATGGTTTGGGTTTACGGTGGTGGATTCTGGTCGGGAACGTCTACACTCGACGTGTATGACGGACGCATTCTTCCCGTCGAAGAAAACGTGATCCTTGTCGCAATGAACTACCGCGTCTCGATTTTCGGCTTCCTTTACATGAATCGAGTGGAAGCGCCCGGCAACATGGGAATGTGGGACCAACTGCTCGCAATCAAATGGGTTCACAAAAACATTGATCTGTTCGGCGGAGACACCAACCGCATAACGCTGTTTGGAGAGTCGGCAGGTGCCGCGTCCGTCAGCATTCACATGTTGAGTCCGAAGAGTGCGCCGTACTTTAATGTGAGTTTTGAAACGTCGAGACGTAGAGTAGGATAAACTAATTTTTAGCGTGCCATCATCCAATCCGGTTCAGCCACGTCTCCATGGGCTATCGAGCCCCGAGACGTGGCCCTGGCCAGAGCTGTCATTCTCTACAACGCTATGAAATGTGGTAACATGTCTCTGATCAGTCCAGACTACGACCGAATCCTGGATTGCTTTCAACGAGCGGACGCAGACGCACTCAGGTACATCAGTTTAACACATACTCTGTCCGAAATGTTTGTCTTTGCATTTGCAGAGAGAACGAGTGGGCTCCCGTCCGTGAGTTCGGTGATTTCCCTTGGGTTCCTGTGGTAGATGGAGATTTTCTATTAGAAAACGCTCAAACGTCATTGAAGCAGGGAAACTTCAAGAAGACGCAACTGCTGGCCGGAAGCAATAGGGATGAAAGCATTTACTTTTTGACTTATCAACTTCCGGATATATTCCCTGTCGCCGACTTTTTCTCGAAAACAGAGTTCATCAAAGACCGATCGATTTGGATTAAAGGAGTGAAGGACCTACTGCCACGTCAGATTCTAAAGTGTCAACTCACGTTGGCAGCTGTTCTTCATGAATATGAGCCGCAAGACCTTCCAGTCTCAGCTCAGACTTGGTTGAATGCAATGGACAAAATGCTCGGCGACTATCACTTCACCTGTAGTGTTAACGAAATGGCTCTGGCCCACACAAAACATGGCGGCGACACTTTCTACTATTACTTTACTCACAGGTACTAGCGACCAGAAGAAAAGGGGAAAAACTCAACAAACAATTTACAGAGCCTCACAACAAACTTGGCCAGAATGGATGGGTGTTCTTCACGGTTACGAAATCAATTTCATCTTTGGCGAACCGTTCAATCAAAAGAGATTCAACTACACCGACGAGGAACGAGAATTGAGCAGTCGGTTCATGAGATACTGGGCGAACTTTGCAAAGACCGGGTACGCAGGAAATTGTTATTTGAAAAATCAACAAAAAAACACATATTCAGGGATCCTAACAAGAACGACGATGGATCCTTCACACAGGATGTCTGGCCCAAGTACAATCCAACAAGTATGGAGTACATGAACATGACTGTAGAGTCCGCCTACCCGAGCGTCAACCGGATAGGACATGGTCCCAGACGGAAAGAGTGTGCTTTCTGGAAGGCGTACCTACCGAACCTGATGGCTGCCGTTGGTATGTTATCCACTCGGAAAATGAGAAATTTACAGACTTGTTGAATCCAGGGTCGGGATTGTGAGAGTCTGTGAGAGTCGGCCTGGGTCATCAAAACATTGAAAATGTTCTAAATGTCTTGTTTTTAGCTGATGTCGGTGATCCGTACCTTGTCTGGAAGCAACAGATGGATAAATGGCAGAATGAGTACATCACAGACTGGCAATACCATTTCGAACAGTACAAACGGTTTGTCCAACTGTACTTACAAGTTATGACGTCACTATTTCAGGTACCAAACGTATAGGCAATCTGATAGCGAAACGTGTGACGGATAAAAATAGGAAGGAGTCGTTATGTCAACAATTTTTCTCGTTTTTTCCCTCTTTCTTCGCCCCTAAACCCCTCCCTTATTTGACTTTACTTTTCCTTTGAGTCACCCCTCCGTCAATGTTCCCTATTCCTGATTCAACATTCCGAATATTCCTCCAATTCTTCGTAGACCTTTCCTCTCCACCGCCACCGCTTTTTCATGTTTTTCGGTCACAATGAGCTTAGATTCGTAATTAATGCTGGTTAGATTCTTACCTTTCTTTTTTTGACTATAATTTCTAGTATTTTCCCTCCCCTGAACAACGAACAACTTTCCTAGACTGCCCCACTGAAGAACATCGATTATTTATCTTAATTGAGTCAAACACACAAAAAACATCTGAAAATAATGTACATTTGATTGATTCTGATTGCCATCCTGATGTGATTTCTTCCGAAAAATGATTGTATTGCATCCTATGTATCTATTACTGCACTGAAATAAAGTACAACAACTAATGAATGCTCACTTAACGTCAGATGATGTCATGTTGTCATTATTCAACCTAAAATGTCCTTTAAGTTGACTGAAAGTGTTCGACAAAGAAGGCATGTAAACAGGACCAAAAATCCAATTTCGGAGGAGTTTTTTCATGTCGAAAACAGAAATCACCTTTTCCTTTGTTTATCCATGTCAAAATCTGATCGCCCGTTTATTTCCGCCCACTTTTTCCCACTCCGGCTTCATTGTTTTTGATTTGTTCCCTCTCCTTTTCCCATTTTCACTTTTCCGTCTGATAATCAACTCCGAAGAGCGAGAATAAACTCCTGGCGAGAAACCCGTAAAAGTGCCATTCATTGTCGTCGTCGTCGTGCGCTCGTCCTCAATCGATAGCACCGAAAACCCCATTTAAGTTTATATTAAAGACCTCTGTTATCATTTCTTTCTCTTTTTCGTCGCCTATCGTTATCAGCTCGCTATGTCCAGCACAGAAGACGAGAGGTTCAGCTCCATAAACCAGTTAATTCTCAGTCTGTTACGTGAATTTAAGACTGTTCCTTCTTCCCCTTTCTGCCGGTGTTTTCCGTTGCCTCCAGCGGAAAATGCGCTTGTTGTGAGCACCGAGGCGGCAGAGAGACGCGCATTGATCGCCGCTGGCCTAGAAAACCCCGGTGGCCGAGGTCAGTTCACTCCGCGGCCATGCTCGACAGCGAGCTCATTCGACTCTTTATTTGGAATATTCCCTTCTTTTCTCTTCGTTTCTCTCTGTCTACACGGAAAATCTTACTTTTCCTTAGGTCCGTTCGTCAATTATTGATTTCCCAGGCGTTTGCACAATGAACGGCCAAACGAAGGCGAATTCGCCGCTGAACAAGTTGGGCGCACCAAAAAAGACGGTTAATGGATCGATTGAGGTACTTGCCGAGTCGGAACCACTTGTCAGTCAAAGTTCGGAGAAGATCGAACGTCCGAGCACTGTACGGCAGCTTCTCACGGTCACCGTCTTCTTGCTATGCGTCACACAGGTAAATCCTTGCTTTTCAAAGCGTACGATGGACGAATCAATAATTCAGTACGTCTACGGCATCACCGACCACTCCTCGCTGATGAAAATACAGTTTGCCGCTTCAGCTCTCGCTTTTATCAGCTCCATAGAGCATATTGTGCGGAGTGCGAACAGTGGAGACAGGCAAAGTGTCTATCTGCTCTACCGGTAAGCAATACTTACGGAAACGGAAGAAATACGGACTTTTCAGCACCGCCGCCACCGTCTTTTACATCGCGTGCCTCTTCATCAACTTGACGCATTGTATGGAAGAGATCAGCGACATCAACACGGGCCCGCAGGAAATTGAGCATGCTCATAACGAGTCGATTGCTTCTTCTGGAGCTGAGGACGTCCCGACTACAAAGGAGAATCACGGAGAACATGGACATCCGATGACCGGTACGAGAAGTTGCAGTATTTTGGAAATTATGAAAGAAAGGGCGGCGAGACCATGAAAAAAACTGATTGACGCATTAGTTCCTGCAAATGTTTGCTGCCGGCGCAAATATGTCGGAATTGTGATGCTCTACAGTGACTTGCAAGACGTTGGGCCGAGCCGGATCAAAACGTGAAATACAGCCATTGAGTATGTCATGCTCTCTTGTTTGTTCGGAAAACCTCGACCAACAATAACTTTTTTGACCGAAATTTTTCCGGACAGTACAAATTTTTTGGGAGTGTTTGAAAAATATCGACTATGAAAACTCAGCGATAACAATCCAAAATCATTTCAGACTACACCCTGTACCTCTCTGGCACGGATTTGGTGATCAAGACGGTGTTCAGTCTGGTGTGCAACTCCCTCTCCATCTCCTACTTTGGATCCTTCATCGCCATCGTCTCCCCGTCCGTGTTCACACTTGCCGTCTACTTCTACACGTTCACCGAGAGACACTACTTTGGCGAATGGCTCGATCATCATCTGGAGCCCGTCGTCGCCATACTCCTGACCAGTGCTTGCATTGGCATTGCCATGTACTCGAGTGAGAATTCACAAGACGTCATTATCAAAGTCTATATTCAATCATTTCAGTTTTCCGCAAGAAGCAGTACCTGTTGGCCGAAGGACCGAACGACTTTAGCATTGACAAAATCAGTGATTCGGTGAAGGCCAAGAATAAGAATCTGGAGAAGATAGATCACGTACACGCGAGCTGTGCCTGGCCTGAGGGTTTCACAGTGTCCCTAAAGGCTTATATCGAGGTATACGCTCGCTCCACTTGCATGTGTTTTATATATAAGAAGATTTACCGTATTCTCCGCAAATTTAAAGACATAGAACGCAAATACGTCGTCGAGAAAGGCGTCAATTTGAAAACTCGAGCAAATTTATAATAAAACATCGTCTGCGCTCGATTCGCACTTGTTTCGTAGCATTTTGTGAAAATGCCCTGATACCGCCAGGATTGCAGAATTTTGGTCCTCTCCTTTTTCCTTTCCCCCCGAGGTTTCTATTCAATTTTTCTGTTCCAGGTCGAGAAGCACAACAAGGACTGGGTGTCGCAAGCGGCCAACGACTTTGCCGAGATCAAAACGCTGTTGCACGCGGAAATCAAAGCTGAAGGCGCCACAGAGGTGAGTTCGAAACATGTGGTCCCATCGCGGAGGCAAACGGATGAGCAGGGTCATTGTAGATCAATCAATGCAGTGAAGTGAAGTTGGCAGCCGAGAAGAGTGGGAGAGGGAGTAGTAAAGAGAAGCTCAGTGGGGTGATAGATGAGCAGGCGGACCCGATTGAAGGGCACCCGAGTGTAAAGATATTTGTGATGAATCGAAATTTTTGAGAATCGGATAGAAGAAGATTGGCGAGTGGCGAGAAATGAATTGAGACATGTCAATTTTCAGGTGATTGTGGAGCCCGTCTTCGTCGACAGAAACGAAAATTCCAATTTCACGGACCCGATCTGCATTTCCAGAAGCTGCCACACGGAAAACGTTGGATGCTGCACGAATCCGAAATCCGTGGAGACCTCGGCATAATTTTTTTGAATATATATTGTACCTACACAGTTTTACCACTTTTTCTCCTCTACCAAACCATGTCACACTTTACAAAATGCCCCATTGGGTGCCTTTTGACCATTCCAGTACGGTGTATCACACACCGAGAATTGTGCAATTTCTTCACTTTTCAACCCGACCCAACAATAGTTTTACCCCCCTCCCAATATTTCTCATATGAAATTGCACCCCTCCTAGTCGAAACGTTTTACCATTTTATCATGTGTGCATTTTATACACGACAACGATCCCAAACAATGAAGTTTTATGAATGAAACGAAAAATGAGAAATTTTATTGGATTTTGTGTATAATTTTAAAAGCAAAAACATTGTCAATATATTATGGCATTAGAAAAGGGGGAAGCATTTAGAAAAAGAAAGAAAGAGTCGGGAGATGTGGTAAGCAGGGCAGTATTTCCGATTTGTGGTGGATGTTAGAAAAAGTGGATCATCACAAAGATAAGAGTGGGGGGCAAAAAGCAGAAAACGGCGAGTTTTTGGCTTAAATTTTACTAGACAATGTTAATAGAGAAGAAAAAGAGAAACATGTGTGTGTGGGGGGAACTTGGCACTTTTTGAGTGTTATAATTATTAAAAAAGAAATGAATGGAACTATAAAATGTAAAGTGAGTAGGCGTTTAATGACGTCCGTCAGTTGACTTGACACACACTTGGCATCTCGAGACACGAGTGCGAAGGTTTCCAGACTTGAGCGTCTGACTCTCCGGCACCTGAAATGCATGTTACAATTAAAGTTTTACATAAGACCTTGCTTACCTTGAACTCGGTATCGTTGTCAATGGTGGTAAGCCAGAATGAGAACTTGTTGGCAAAGTAATGGCAAGATCCGCGGGCGCCGTTGCACTCGATGAACGGAGTGGCACGGAAGTCCTCCAAGCAGGATCCCGGGGAAGACAGCGATTGACCACCTCCCTCGGCTCCGGCTCCGGTGTGCATGGCGAACGAGTATCCGATCCACAAGCTGCTCCATCCGGCTGGGCAGTTTGGAATCTGGATGGTCTGCGAGTGGACGGCGATCACGTTGGCCGGGGCTTCGCACACGGCGCAGCGAGAGATGTACGGCTCGATTTCGCGCTCGTTGACTGGCATCATTGGGATGGCGGCGGAGGTCGACAGCCAGTAGGACTTGTCGTTTCTCGAGGCGTAGTTGCAGACGTTGTTGAAGTCGCAGAACAGGAATGGCATGGTCGAGAAGCGTTGGAGGCAAGATCCGGCGTGTCCTGTAACAAATTCTCATTAACATATTCATTAATATTCAAATCGGCGTGAAACTTACCAAGGTCTTGGTTGTGGGATTTCTCGTTTCCTTCAATGTAGAGCAAGGAATATCCGTCCCACAGCTTGGTTTGACCCTCTGGGCATCTTGGCACTTCGGTGGTCTGAGAGTGCTTGACAAGAACGAATCCGTCTCTGTAGGCTGGTCCGGCAGCTCCTGGAGCTCCTGGAAGTCCTGGGGCTCCCGGTCCTCCTGGGGCTCCGTCGAGTCCTGGGAATCCTGGAAGTCCGCCCATTCCCTTCTCTCCTGATAGTCCTGGGGCTCCTGGGTATCCGTCGTTTCCGCGCTGTCCTGGGAGTCCTGGCGGTCCGTCGTTTCCTGGCGGTCCGTCAAGTCCTGGCATTCCCTTCTCTCCGCGGAGTCCTGGAGCTCCTGGAAGTCCTGGAAGTCCCTTCTGTCCTGGCTCGACAATGTTTTGTGGTCCTGGAAGCCCTGGGGGTCCCTGTGGTCCATCGGCTCCTGGGAGTCCGTCTCTTCCTGGAAGTCCTGGAAGTCCTCCGTCTCCTTTTTCTCCGGCGTATCCTGGAACTCCTGGAGTTCCTGGGAATCCAGATTCTCCCTTTGGTCCTGGGAATCCTGGAAGGCCTCCCTCTCCCTTAAGTCCTGGAATTCCTGGGAATCCTGGCTGTCCGGGCTGGCCGACTCCTCCGAGCTCTCCCTTCAGTCCTGGAAGTCCCGGCTGTCCGTCTCTTCCTGGCACTCCTGGAAGTCCGTCATCTCCGCGCTTTCCTGGGATTCCGTTCGTTCCTGGCTCTCCTTTAGCTCCTGGGAATCCTGGCAGACCAGAATCTCCTGAAAACGATTCATGTTGAGTACGATTTCGAATTGCTCATAAACTAACCCTTCAATCCTGGTGCTCCTGGAAGTCCAGAAAGTCCCGAATCTCCCTTCTGTCCTGGCAATCCTGGGAATCCATCCTTTCCTTGGAGTCCTGGGGCTCCTGGTGGTCCGACTGGTCCTGGAATGGATTGTCCTGGCTGTCCTGGTAGTCCTGGGAGTCCAGATTGTCCCTTCTCTCCAGAAAGTCCTGGAAGTCCCTCTTGTCCTGGGGCTCCTGGGAATCCAGAGTCTCCCTGAAACATTATAGTTTGATCAGAAAATATATTTGTGTTTCATTTACCTTGAGTCCTGGAACTCCTGGAAGTCCATCTTGTCCCGGGTATCCCGGAGATCCCTTCAATCCTGGGAATCCTGGGGTTCCGGCGAATCCTTTCTCTCCTCCGAGTCCTGGGAGTCCTGGCTGTCCTGGGTATCCGTTTTCTCCTTTCTGGCCTGGATAGCCATCAATTCCGCGATCCCCAGGTAGTCCTGGCAAACCACTCTGGCCCTTATCTCCGCGAATTCCGGGGACTCCGGACTGGCCGTCAAGACCCGGTGCTCCTGGGAGTCCTGGTTGTCCGTTCGGTCCGAGATCTCCTTTCTGTCCTGGGACTCCGGGAAGTCCGTCGCGTCCTGGGAGACCGTCTTGTCCTGGGTATCCGGCTTCTCCCTTGAGTCCGGGGAATCCGGGAAGTCCGTCTTGTCCTGGGGCTCCTGGGCCTCCTTGGCGTCCGGCTTTTCCTGGGATTCCTGGAAGTCCTTTCTCTCCGGGCGATCCTGGCTGTCCGTAGCCGGGGAGACCAGCCTCTCCTTTGAATCCTGGAACTCCTGGGAGTCCCGATGGCCCTTGTGGTCCCCGAAGACCCGGCTGTCCTGGAAGACCGGCTTCTCCTTTCTGTCCATCACGAGCCGCTGGTCCAGCTTCTCCCTTCTCTCCTGGAAGTCCGTTGAATCCACGATCTCCCTTAACTCCTGGGATTCCGGGGAGTCCTTCGCGTCCTGGCACTCCTGGCAAACCGCCGTTACCCTTTTGTCCTGGGGTTCCGGAGAGCCCTGGAACTCCTGGCTCTCCCTTTGGTCCGTTGACTCCTGGCAGTCCTGGGAGCCCAGCGTCTCCTGTATAAAAAACACGTTAGATTTGGAAGAGATAATATTATGATCTGTATAATGCTTACCCTTGTATCCTGGCACTCCTGGAATTCCGGCGTTACCCTTCATTCCGGGGTATCCTGGCGATCCTGGCAGTCCTGGGGCTCCGGAGAGTCCCGGCTGTCCGGAATCTCCCTTGAGTCCGGTGACTCCCGGAAGACCTGGAAGTCCATCTTCTCCCTTTTGTCCTGGAAGTCCTGGAAGTCCATCTTGTCCTGGGAATCCTGGAGATCCTTCGCGTCCCGGCAATCCTGGCTGTCCGAGCTCTCCCTTCGCTCCTGGGTATCCAGGTTGTCCTGAGAGACCAGGAACTCCGTTCTCTCCCTTCAATCCTGGCGCTCCTGGGTGTCCGCGTTGTCCTTCAAGTCCTGGCTGTCCTGGAAGTCCCGGAAGTCCAGCGTCTCCCTTAAGTCCTGGGAATCCTGGCGCTCCCGGTTGACCTGGCACTCCGACTCCTGGCTCTCCCTTGCCTCCTGGGAGGCCTGGAAGTCCTGGGTTTCCGAGTTCTCCTTTCGGTCCTGGAACTCCTGGAAGTCCTGGAACTCCTCCGAATCCCTTGTCTCCTGGCACTCCTGGGTGTCCCGGCAGTCCTGGTGGTCCTGGCAGTCCAGAGTCTCCCTTGTGTCCTGGAAGTCCTGGAAGTCCAGATTGTCCGATTTCTCCTGGGCGTCCTGGATATCCGGATTCTCCCTTAGTTCCCTACAAAGCAAATACATTATACATTTGACCTGCAAGCGAAGTAACTAACCGGCAATCCTGGAAGTCCTGGCTGTCCTGGGGCAGCTGGGTTCACTTGGTTTTCTGGAGCTGGCTCTCCTGGCAATCCTTGAAGTCCTGGAGTTCCTGGAAGTCCTGGGAGTCCGGACTCTCCCTTCAGTCCTGGTAATCCTGGCTGTCCTGGCTGTCCGTATCCGGTCTCTCCCTTGTTTCCTGGAAGTCCTGGGAGTCCATCTTGTCCTGGCTTTCCTGGGAGTCCTGGAAGTCCAGCATCTCCCTTAGATCCGGGGTATCCTGGTTGTCCGGATGGTCCGACTGGTCCTGGTGCTCCTGGGAGTCCATCGACTCCTGGCTGTCCTGGGAATCCGTTCTCTCCCTTGAGTCCTGGGTATCCTGGTGGTCCTGGTCTGAGCACAAGTTGAGTTGGCTCTCCTTTTTGTCCTGGAACTCCTGGAAGACCATCTTGTCCCGACGGTCCTGGGGATCCTGGACGTCCAGCTGGTCCCGGAAGACCATCATCTCCAGCGTCTCCGTTCGGTCCCGGCATTCCTGGAAGTCCACGATCTCCCTGTGGTCCTGGCTGTCCTGGATATCCTGGCAGTCCCTTCTCTCCCTTGGTTCCGGGGGCGCAAGCCGAGCAGGTGCCTCCTCTGTCTCCCTTAGATCCTGGAGCTCCTGGAAGTCCGTTCACTCCGTCACGTCCATCGTATCCCTTTGGTCCTGGAGCTCCACGTGGTCCTGGTGCTCCTGGAAGTCCGTTGAGCGAGTCTCCTGGTGGTCCACGGACTCCTGGAAGACCTTGCTCTCCCTTTCTTCCGACGGCTCCGTCAAGTCCCGGTCTTCCGTCCTTTCCAGGAAGTCCTGGGATGCTCTGTCCTGGTGTTCCACGGTATCTGAAATAAGAGCAGATTGTTCGTTTGTTCAAAGTTTGACAGATGCTTAGGGAACAAAACATTTGGGGAACACTGCTTCATAATGAACGAAATATATAAAAATACCTGCGAGAGTCACTGCCTCTCGAGGTTTACTAAAACATAATCAATGCAAGCCTTTCTCACTCTAAGAAACTAAAAATGATCACAAATACAAATCTAGCCGCCATGTGTATCAAATACTACTGTAGGTCAAAATAATGATAAACAATATCCTTGTGGGTCTAGAATTACACCCCACAACACTCTCCATCTGTTGTGAGACACCGTTTCAAGCTCATAACAAAAACGAGAACGCAGCTGTGAAGCACCTTTTAACTAGATTACTTGCTTTCGAAAAAGATCACAGATCACATGACTCACCCTGGCTCTCCCTTTGGTCCAGCAAGTCCTGGAAGTCCTGGTGGTCCGGAGACTCCTGGTGCTCCTGGAATTCCGCCGTCTCCCTTATCTCCCTTTGGTCCTGGGAGTCCTTCGTTTCCTGGGAATCCTGGAAGACCGGGTCCTCCTGGGTTTCCGATTGGTCCGGCTGGTCCTGCCTGTCCCGGGAATCCGTCCATTCCTGGTGGTCCTGGGTTTCCTGGTCGTCCTGGAAGACCTGGTGGTCCTGGTGGTCCGTCACTGAAGGAGCCGCCCTAAAAACAAAAAATTACTGTGAATCCATCTAGAGATGTGTGCTCACTCCTGGTGGTCCTGGTGGTCCAGAGGTTCCCTTAGGTCCGTCTCTTCCTGGATATCCGGCTTCTCCCTTCTGTCCTGGGAGTCCTGGGATTCCGCCGATTCCATCAAGACCGCGATCTCCCTTGAATCCTGGTGGTCCAGCGTTTCCTGGACGTCCTTCCTTTCCCTAAAAAGAAATGACTTAGTAGGGGTACTGATAGAAGTTGTTTTTACTCTTGGTCCAGCTGGTCCGGACAATCCCTTCTCTCCCTTCATTCCAGGCAATCCAGGCTGTCCTGGGAGTCCGCCATTTCCGGGATATCCTCGTTGACCTCCCTCTCCTGGCTCTCCCTGCAACGAATCAAAAATTAGAAACCAAATAACGAAACGTTAATAGCAAAAAGCACACACAAAGAAAACTATGCAGTTATGTTCTACTACTAACTACTGTTTAGTCATTTTAGCTTCTCAGCGGAAGAGAGAAGAAGTTCGAAAGTGAGTAAGTTATGAAAAAAAGAAGCAGAAGGCATAGAAGTTTGAAACCCAGGAAGCTGAAACCATCTATTCTACAAAAACTCTGGGAAGAGCATGCATTAGAAGCGTAGAAGACTGTTGAAAATGTTTGAAGCTTTGAAAAAAAGGACAACTATCTATTGCAAAAACAAATAGAGTTGTTAGGTTAGCGTAAATAAGGAGTGGTTGGTAGAAATGAAATGGATGTTCAGTTAGCCTGCTCTATCAGTTCTTGCCTTCTCTCCCTTCTCTCCTAGGTCTCCCTTGGGACCGATAATGGTTCCCTTGGACATGGTGGAGGCGATGGGCCCCGGCGGGCCAGCCGGTCCGACCGCACCAATGTCTCCCTAAAAGAAGAACAAATTAATAAACAGTACCTTGTCTCCCTTTTCTCCAGAGTTTCCGCGAGGTCCGACAATTGAGCCGGATCCGGTAAACTCGCGTGGTCCCGGTGGACCTGGCGGTCCGACAGCACCTAGATCTCCCTAGAATTTACAATTTCCAGTAATTGGACATTAGAAAAATAAAAGTGGAAACGCTCAAATGTTGATTCTGAAATGGAAGACCCCCTCCTATCTAGCTGCTATTAGCCCTGGTTCTCACAGGATCTCCCTTTGGTCCGATGCTTCCGATTCCTGGGTTTCCTGGCGCTCCAGACTCTCCTGGTGGTCCTCTCGGTCCCTGTAAATTGAATTTGCTTTACAAATTCGTATATTTTTGTGTGGCTTACAGCATCTCCGGTATCTCCTCGGTCTCCCTTCTCTCCTGGGTATCCGTCACGTCCTGGTGGTCCCGGAAGTCCTGGCATTCCTGGCATACCACCGTCTCCCTTCTCTCCTGGGGCTCCAGCATATCCGATAGCCGGTTCTCCCTTCAATCCGTCCAATCCTGGCGGTCCGGGGAATCCTAAAGAACTTTGGTTTTTTAGTTTAAAACCCATAAAACACGCTGCAGCCGTTTTTCAGTCAAAATTGCCTCTCAAAATAGAGAGAGAGAGAGAGAGAGAGAAAGCGAGCGGAAGAGTGAGATAAAGCAAGAGCAACTGTCGAGTGTAAACCGAGAAAATATCTGTGGCTTCCTTGTCTTCTTTTCAACCAACCAACAAATACTGCTTTGACTTCACTGACCGCGAGACGAGACGTAACGCCATACTTTGTTTTTGAGCGCGAACAACTGACACTAGTACTAATAACCCCCCGATGTCACCCTTTGCTGTAGCGCAACGCATATGTAAAGTGTATACCTGGCATTCCTGGTGGTCCGGGCCTTCCAGGGATTCCTGGCGCTCCGTCAGTTCCGTTGCAACCGTCCCATCCAGGCGCTCCTGGCGGTCCTGGCTCTCCGGGTCTTCCGTTGCCTCCGTCGTTTCCGGGGAATCCGGGAACTCCGACGGCTCCGCGGTCTCCCTTAACTCCTTGTGGTCCATTTGGTCCTGCAAACTCGATTATAATGACTCATGGTATGACTCGACTCGACGGATTTTACAACACGGAGCTCTCGGCTCAAGAAAGAGCCCACTCAATTATTCTATCCCATATTGCTCAGGCTTCGCGAAGAAGAAGAAGAAGAAAAAGAAGAAGCGGGAAGAGAAAGAGTGTGACCTGGCACCGCTCATTGAAGATGATAAAAGATTTGATTGAGTGATTGAATGTTGTGTTTCAAGCTTCTCGATGAGTAGCTGCAGAGAGATCAAAATGACAGAATGATTGAAGAGCTTTCCCTTTTCTTCGAGAGCAACTAGACTATTTAAAAAGTACACTGTTTACCTTGTGCTCCTTTTTGTCCTTTTGGTCCGGCAAGGCCTTCCGGTCCCGGGAATCCGCGGATTCCCAGGGATCCTGGTGGCCCTTGTGGTCCTGGTGCTCCCTGAAAGTTGCCGTTTCGAAACCGAATGTTGTGTGACCCCCGTTGACCCCTTCCCTTCCTCCCACGTCCCGATGATTGGGAGGGGTGCCACGCTGGATGCAAAGGATAGTGACAGCTGCGATTCGGAGGGACTCGCGTGCGCCCCTCTCATCCCTAGCCACCTCTGTTACAATCAGTAGTGCTCAATCAATGCGATCGCTACGGAAGAGAACCTTTCGAATGTGGCAAACGATATCATAAATTAGTGGGGTGGGGGATTAAAGAAATACTGCATTTCTAGTTGGGCTCACCATAGATCCTTTTTCTCCGACGCAGAAGCATCCTCGGTTAGAGCAGTCTCTGCACGTAGCTTGCTGGAAAATCCAATTTACGGAATGAAAAGATTGGAGATCAAAAAAGCATGGAGTGTGTAAACTACAGTTAGGCTTTGAGATGAATGGAAGAAGAAAAACGAGAAAATCTCAAGATTGTAAAGTCGGATATTGAAAGAGTTAAACTACAGTTCAGAAAAAAGAAAACGGATTCAAAAAAAACTCACCGATTGAACATAGCTCACGAATATGAAGCCTAGTAAGGCAAGCCGCAACAGTGGCCTGAAAAAATAAGGAAAAATACAGTTTTGACAGTGATTTCCTTATAAGATCTACTGTTTTCTTGCTCAAAAGTGAAAAATTAACATTCAAAGAGCTTTCAAAGTACAGTACCCGTTTAGAAAATGCCAAAAATAGGCGATAAAAACTCACCCGAAAGCCGCTCGTTGCCTCATGGTGGTGTGCAGCCGTTGGCCGTGAGAGCACCAGATAGAAGAAAGGATTCAGCGCTCAGTCGGTGGGCGGGGCGTGAGAGACGATCGGCCGAGAAGGAGGGGCTGCGTCCCGGTCGCTTCTTCCGAGGCACAGACGGCAGAAGCGCACGCTGTAATAGTGAAAGAGTACGGCCGGGTGTGCTGTGAGATCGGAGAGCAAACTGGATTTGAAAGACACCGAGCAGCCAACGCATCGGATCCCGCAACGCCGGCCGGAGGGAATTGAGGCGACGCGGAATCCGACGCATCGGACTGAAAAAAAGTGGGTACGGGGCACTAAAGAAATGGACGTTGAACCGCAACATGAGCATATGGTCAAAAGATTGATGGAATAAGTGTATCACTTTTTCCAACAAAAAAATGAATGAGTAGGTTTTGCAGCGTATCTTTAAAGATCGAGATGTAAGATGAACACAGGTTCAGGATGATAGATATATGTTTTTTGGAGTATTCAGGTCCACAACTTTCATTGGACTTTCACCCCAGTCCATCTTTCAAAGTTTGCAGGCAATTGATGAAGATTTCCGGCCAATCGAAATCCATCTTCTCCCCGCTTTCATCTCATCGGTCCTATCACTCTGTTGATCCTCCTTCCAAGAAAACTTTGATAAAGTGCACAGGAGTCGGTCACTGATTGATGGATAATAACTGATGAGTATTTGAACCAAGAACTTTGAGCACCTTCATCCTCATTCACTTCTTCCCATCTGATACCGATTTGTGCTTTGCTTCGCGTTGTTACACTGCGAAATATGCGACGGAACTGGAAAACTAGCATTCATGTTTATGATGAACTTTTTCAAATACTATAATGTTGGAGGAATTGGAATTCAGGTCGATGTTTTGCCAGGATTTTTTCCGATCCGCACTTCCGTGTCACCTCTGCTTTACATCCCAACCCTACTGACCAATTGCCACTGATAGCGAAGGATTCTCCTTTTCCCAACGGCTTGCGCCAGTTAGTCTCTCCTGACGCATCGGCAACATTTAGAGTATAAAAAGGTCTCTCCCTCACTCTCTCTCTCTCTCTCTCTCTCTCTTTCTTTCTCACTTTGAAAGCTTCTCCACAGGGCAGAGGGTCAAGTTTTTGCAGTTTGTTTCGGAGAAACGCACTCTTGACAGCTGTTAGGATGATGAAGATGACACCGACAAGCACTTTCGGTCGAGGCGTCGCTCCTCTCGTTTCGGGCCCCAACTCTTGGCACCAAAAACAGGTGCTGAACACATGCAGCGCATCTGGCGCCGAATGGAGCGGGGCATGTCACAAATTAGAGTCCAGGGAGAGAAATTGTACAAGTGTTCAGCGCTCAGGGAAGAAATATTAAAAATCGAACGAAGAATGGGTTGTGTAAAAAAAATATAAAACTTTAAAATATAAAGCATAAAAAGTCAGTCACTGCCGGTCCGGAGAAAAAAAACCGTACATCTTATTCATCGTTGTTCCTCGCGATGTTTGGTGTCCACACACAGTCCGAAGACCTCGGCTTGAAGAATCTATAAACATTCTTCATCATCAATTTGTATACGAAGGAGTGTAAAGGAAAGGGGGCAAGATAAATGGCACACATATGTGGAATTATGAAAACGAAGAAAAGATGAAGACGAAAGCAATTTGTTTACAGGCTTTTGACCCGAAAAAGTGTAAACAATGCCGTGAGCTTTCCTTGTCCTTTTTGCACAAAGTGCACTGCGGGATAGGCATATGTAAGCAGTTGTTCACCGCTTACTGAGGGATCGATCATCATCTTGTGCTGCTGAGTTTCAAAAGTTTTTAGAGCAAAACATGGAAAAGTCGTTTTATTGGAAGAAGGGAAGAACAATGCCTGGAAAATTGTCATAGAAAGTCATAGAAAGCAAATGCATGAAAATCGCCAATAAAACATACCTAAGAATTGTCCAGGTTGAACTTTTGGACTCAAATACACTTGCCGTTGGTTGATCTCGACTCAGAAAACTTTCCACTAAGCAGGTTTCAGATTCAAAGTCTAGAAGTTTCCGATTTCTGTTTTCCAAGATTCGGGAAACTCTGATTACGTTTTGATTAATGATATTGTTCCTCTCTCGCTCTTTAGACTCAACAATCATTCTTCTTCTTCATTCCGCCAACCCGGTTCCAACCGGCAACATTTGTGCCCCCCCCCCTTTCTATCCGATCCAATCTGATTGTCCTATCCTCTGCCGCCAGCAAGCCAGCGAGCCGTGGTCGTGGTCCATCCAGATCCTATAGGTATATAGATTGTCATTGACGGTGTGTGTGTGTGTGTGTGTGTGCCGATGGAAGAGAGGGCAGCTGTTCGTCGCAATGACTCATCGGCGACGCTTCTGCTACTGCTGCTGATGCTCTTCCCCCCGGCTGCCGCGAGAGCCCCACGTCCACCCGACATTGTAACATTTTCTCTCTCCCTTCACGGCCCCCGACCGAAACGTTTCTGGAGGCTGTATATCGCGACGATTTGCACGGCTGGCTCTCGAGAAGACTTCAGTCGGGACCGAAACTCGGAAACTCGGAAACAAATTTGTTTTGAGCGTTTTCCAAGGGACCTTTTGCCATCAGGAACGTTTTTATGTGGTATGCTGCCGTCGAATCTCGGATCAAAAATCAAGAGAATCGGTAAAAGTGACGGAGCAATAGCAATTTAATCAAGAAAAGGCTTTATGCGTAAGGACACTTTTTATTAGAAAGGATTGCGAAACGAATGAAAAAGTGATGAGAAAATGGGTGGAGGAACGGGTAATTGGGAATCAGAGCAAACAACAATTGTTTTCTCGGCTCCAGGCTAGGATGCAGAAAACCGAGTGGTCTTGTTTTTACTGGTTCTCTAAAACACATTCTGTTCATTTATTAGTGCTTGCCAACCAAAATATCTCTGAGATCGGAGTTTCTAAAAGTTTTCAAATTCTGAAAAGCAAAACAAGGTCAAGATGACACCGAGGAGGAAGGATTCGGTAACCTCACTCGACCATACTGACTAGTGAGGTTTTGTGAGAGACCTGTTTAAAAAACGAACGGTTTCTTTCCTCAACTTTCAACAAGTAGTCTATCCTATTTGTGTCAACTTTCTGTGCTCCTCTACTGATAAGTCCCCGTGACCCAAAACGCTCTTATCACTCATCAACCACCACTATCTACTGTCCGGCCGTGTCAACGCCCCCAACTTTCGATATTCTTATTGAATGCATTAAACACAATAGCTTTTTTGTACATGTTTTAATAATAAAACTATTTTTCTTTATAATTGTGGCAAAAATGCAAATACGAGCTCAAGTTATTGACACTATCTGGCGCTCTCTTTCGCTAGCGCCAGTCGTTCTCATCTGGACCCACCGCTCTTTCTCTGCGCGGCACCGGAACAAACTGCACACAAATAGCACACTCTCCACGCCCTACATGTTATTTTTTCGAGCGGTGGGCAAGCCGAGACCCACGCAATTTTGTCTTCTATTCTCGATTTAAGAAATTTCATTTCAGCAACATGGATTGGCGGCAATCCGCTTTGGGATTGAGCGTGTTGATTGTGCTCACGATTGCGTCATCAGAATCGGACATGGTAAACTTTGTCGGTATTTTAATTTACTAACTTATCCTTGACAGTTGCAGACTCTTGAGGACAAACGAGTGGAGAATGCGATGTATGCGATGGTTGGAGAGAAGCCGCCGCACGATGTTCCACTGAACCACCGAGAGGAAACTCTTCATGACATGCTGGTGAGCAGTGTGAAAGCCGTGAAGGAGAGTCATGTTGGACACGAGCACACTAATGATTCTACTCATGAACACCACGGAGCCAGTGCACATCATCATGCTCACAAAGATCACAGTGGTCATGAAGGAGGCTCTGCACATGACCATGTTATGATGATGTGGTTCCATGGAGGTTACCACGAAGTAATCTTGTTTGACTTTTGGAGGATACACTGTTTGACAGGTACGAAATAAACATTTTTGCACCGCAAGTAATCCGACACTTCAGGACTTATCATCTCTTGCGTCGTTATTTTCATCATGGGTGCACTTTACGAAGGTTTAAAGTGGTTCCGGGTGTACTTGACACTAGCGAAAAGAACAAAGATTCCTGAAAATGTTTGTTTTTATTGTAAAACCCGGAAAATGAGTACGCGTTTTTCAGGAACCCATCCCGTTGACGGAGTTTGGTGTGAAAGCGAAAAAGGATGAAGCTGCGGTAGAAGAGCCATTGGTCCACGCGACCTCAAGAAGCACAACCCCAGAATCCAGACAGTCAGTAACATTATTCTTAGAACACTCTGAAATAGTTCAAATCTTCCAGCCCTGGCCCGTTTTCCTTTTCGCGTATTTCTCAAGCTCTGTTGTACATTGTTCAACTAGTCCTGGCCTATTGGTTGATGTTGATCGTAATGACCTACAATATTTGGCTCAGTAAGTTCGCGGCAATCAAAAACTTGTCAATATGTTTCATTTTCCAGCTCTCGCCGTTATCCTTGGAGCGGGATTTGGACATTGGATCTTTGCTGCCCTCCGTCTTGCGAACCCATCCGGAGAGGCTGCCGACACCATTGCCACTGATGCTTGCCATTAATTCTTGTGCTATTTTGGTTATTGATAACTTGATACCCCCCCTCCCTTCCAGTTTGTAAAATTGTGTAGACCACTATGTAAACCGTGCTTGTCACACCAATCCAGCGTGTTTTTGTCTGCAGCTTTCACCATATCTGCCAATCTCAAAAATTAACTTCTGTTCATATATTTATTGAAAATTGATGCAAAGTTGAATAAAATGCGTCACTGTTAGCATTAGTAGAAAGTAGGACGCTTGCGAGCCACAATGCGACCACGGTTGGCTCTGAAAAACACCTTAGTGCAAAAATGATTCTTGTGAATGTACACATTACCTGAAAAAATTTAGATATCCAATGAAGAATCCGATACAAGTGAAAATTCCGAATAGGACCAAAGGAGAGTAGATATTATCGAAAATGTTGGATTCATTTTGATGAATGGTATCTTCATCGAGACCTAAAGTTACAAACAGTTCAAAGAAGTCAAAACGGACTCACTTACCGCTATTTTTATAGCCGTAATTGATCTTTTGAAGTTCCTTTTTCAACTCATTTTTGAAATTAAGAAAATGCATTCTCGGTACGAATAATGAGAATGATGGCGAGAATGAATGAAATGTTTGTTGATAGAAGGGAAACTTGATACTCGAACGTTTACGATATTATCTTTTTTGTTTAGAACTCTTCTCAATGTATTGATTGAAACAAAGGTCATCTTGAACTAATCCTTCCTCCTCGGTGTCACCTATTTTTGGAGTGATATTATCATTTACAAATTGTTGTTAGCATTTGTTTTTCATCCGAAATTTCTTTCCTCTGACGTTATTGCTGTGCAAGAAGTCAGCTCTCTCTCTCTCTCTCTCTCTCTCTCTCTCTCTCTCTCTTTCTTCCTCTGCCGTGATTGCTATGCAAGAAGTTAGCTCTCTCTCTTCCTTCTTCTGACGTTAACTTCTTAAAAATTCGTAAAATTTTCGTAATTTTGACTTTTGTGAGACGATGACCCTCCCAATGGAACCAGCTAGTGTAATTTTGATCAGTGTCACATTTAGCGAAAATATTGCGAATTTGCAATAAGTTTCCAGAAATATTTTGCCGAATGTCAAAGTCGGAAAATGTTCTCCATATCTTATAGTACCACCCTGATTTTTTTCAGAATTTTCTAAAATGGAAAAAAAAAGAAATTCCCAAGTTAGACTGGTTGCTGTTCAACACGGTGAGAAGTTTTTAATCTGAGCAATACGAAAAACTACTGTAGATAGCTTTTCTACTGTGAATTTGGCTGCTTTTTTGAATTTTTGACTACTTATACTGAATTGGTTTTGAAATGTCCGGATTCGAAATGTCCCGAAGCCGTTACTTCTGCTGGTGATGATGATTCTGAACTTCGAGGTGAATCACAATGAATGTTCCTTCCACGAGTTGATCCAGTGCTGCTGCTAGAACTTCTGTAGGGCCCATGTCGACAAGGTAATATTTCGCCAGTCCCCAATTCTTGTGAGGATGCAGTATTGCGAGAAGATTCAAGTGCACGTATAGACCCATAAGGAGATGAATAGTCGTTTTCTGACTCGTCTTCGTTTTGGAAAAAAATGGAAAAAAATGAGCGTAAATGAAAAGTAGAATAAAAACTGATTTCGGGTACACGATTTTTCTTTTGGTTCCACGATTTTTTTTTATTCAGTCCACGATTTTTCCAAATGGTCCACGATTCTACAACAGTGTCGTGATTTCTTCGTTTTCTGAATAAATTATGTTCTACATTTTACAAGACGGAGTACCTGAAAGTGGGAATTTAAAAAAAAGTTATCATTCAGGTTCTTTAGCTGTCATAACGAACAATGTAAGGCGGTCAAAGGTTTGTTTGTGATATCACAAGAATTGATGTGGGTGGGTGGAGGGGGATTGTGTTGGAAAGGTGCGGAGAATTCCAAAAGAGAAGCAATTGAAACTCTCTAATTATACCGTAAGCAATTCAAAGTAAGGCCTCGGGATGGTTTTGGGGGAAGGGATACATGTAAAAAAAAGTGTCGATAACTATAAAATACCACATACACATAAACACTAGACAAATAATAGCCAATAATAATAAGTTACGCGCTACCAGAATTCAAATATCAATAAAAAGTTACTCCCTCAAAATACCGGTGCAGGAGAGTTGGGTTTTTCAAGAAATTCGACTGAAAAACCCAACAAAATGCCGTCTTTTTCTGTTGCTGGGGGGGACTCGGGAGTGAATGTAGAAAGGGGAGAGAGAGAGAGAGAGCGAGAAATGAAAGCACTGTACAAAGGGGTTAGGATTGGGTGAGGGTATGGAATACGGGCATTCTGACTAATACCATTGAAAATGTGTAGGTTGATTTGTGAGAAAAATCGAGTTGATGATTGGAAGAAAGGAGAGGAAAGGACGGACTGGGTAAGATATTGGGCATTGGGAGAAGAATATGGTTGGGGACCACGTATTTACACAACACTGGGGAAAAGAAGACGACGAACAAAAGTTGATGTTGGAACGATTACTGTCCATCGGAGAGCTGAACGCCAGAATCGGTCGTATCGTTGCCATCGTTGAGCTCCTAAAATAACTGACAGAGGGGTAAGTGATCTGATAATTTCTGCTAGTTTACCTTCGGACGGAGTTCATCCGTCTCGGTGGCGGATCCCTCTTCGGCGAGCTCGTCAAGCGTCGGAATGCGGACTGTCATGTCAGCGATCAACGCGTTCATTTCGTCGGAGGCCAACGAGAGATGGTCCACGTTGGAGCAAATCGAGCCGTGCGAGTTCTGAAAAACAAGATAGTTGGGATTATAAGTCAGATGGTGAACTTACCGAATCCTCATCGAGATCACAGACACTGCTGCCTCTTAACTGATTCTGAGTCCATTTCTCGGCTTTCTTGAGCTCGAGCTGTGAAATGCTGCTGCGAAGGTCTTGGATCGTCTGCATGGCTTCTGAGTACTTGAGCCTGTCGTTAATGCGCTGCTCGTTGACCTCACTCTCCTTGTTCGCCATCTTCTCTTTCTCCTCTTTCAAATCGTTCTCCAGCTCTTTCCTCTTCTTCACCAACGTCTCCGACTCCTCGCGCACTCGCTTCATTTCCTCGTCCTGTCGCTTCAACTGGTTGGTGCATACGTGGTTCTGAGTTTCAAGCTCCATAACCTTCTGGCGCATCTCCTTCAGCTCTGCAAGTGTGTCGGCCTCCTTGATACGAACTCCCATCAGTTGATCCTCAAGTTCGCGGACACTGATGCAGTGCTCCGGTTCTTCCGTGGATCCGCCAATGAGCGAGGCGGTGATTTTTGCGAGACGTGCACGAGCAGAAGTGAGCGGCGGGGATGGCTGCTGCGGTGGCGTCACGTCGGAAGTCGAATCCTTCTCGATGGATGCCGACGACGGGTCGAACGCACGGACATGAACGTATTTCTGAAAATATTTCATCGCATAAAAATTGAACTTCACGACTTGATCCTACCGCCCAGTGCTGCTCAAGCTCAGCCAAACGTTGCCGCATATCCTTGAGAGCTAAAGAGCTCTCCGCCTCGCGCATCTTCACTGAAATCAGCTCCTCCTGAAGGCCAGCCACATCCTCGGACGGCTCGTTCTCCAGCAGTCGCTTGTTCGCCATTTCGAGCTCCTGCAAAAAAGAGTCATTTGCATTTTGATGGGGTAAGGAAGGTATGAGTCCCATTTTTGCAATATGTCTTATGCTTGAGTGGGCTACGGGCGAATTAGCGATACTAATTGACACTGTTTTGTATTGTGTAGAACTGGTCTACCAGATCGAGAGATGGTACTCTACTTTTTGTCGAAATCTGACCTATTAAATCTCCATTATCAACTAATTTGTCCTTGAAAAGTGCGCTGGTAACCTGTATCAGGCAAGTTTCCGCGAGAAAAGTAGGTTTCGATATCAAAACTTTGCAAATCTTGACGTCATTAGACCAAGACTAACAAAAGTGGCAAACTTTTGCTTTTGAAACGTCGCGGTTTCAAAATGCCTAGTTTCAAGATGCCCGCGATTCGTTTTTTCAGTATTGCTCACCGAGACTCTCAGCTTGGTGTCTCTCAACGTGTTCTCACTATCCGCCTGACGGGTGTGTGCCTCGATGAGCTCCTGCTGAAGCGAATGAATGTGCTCGATCATTGACGTGTCGTCCACTTGTGTTCCCGTCTCCTGAATGTTGTCGCGGCGGGTACTGGACAACTCTCTGCAACAACAATAATAATAATTATTATAATAATATTAAGAGCAACAATTGTTCTGATATCCCCTCTGACGTGAGCTTGTGGTATCGCATTTCAAAGACGTATATACATATCAGTGTGTGGGTGGAGTAGCCCCCTTTCATCTCGCGCTATCATATCTTTTGTCGGGCGTCTCTGACCGCAGATCAATCAAATTAGACGAATGGTGATTTGATTCTGCGCGGATAGCCATTCCACATCGGATTTCGAAATTTCAAAAGGAACTGATTGATAACATCTATCTTCTCTCCCTCGCACACGCCCAAAAAGACCAAGAAACCTCGCTTGGCCCGCATTGTTTGTACACGTCAGAGATTCCCCCCTCTCTTTCTCTCTCATGGTAACACGGACAGACTAGTTGAGGAAGTGGAAAGAAAGGAAAACTTCTCTTTGCCCCCATCGTATACTCACCTGATAGTCTCATAGGCGCCCTCCAGTTTGCGGTGAACATCAGAGTTCATGTCGCGCAACTTGTTTAGCTCATGCGCAATGCTGATGTAGTTCTCAGCCTCCTGGGCGAGGTTCACCTGAAAAAAAATTGGAAATAGCCACTCGGACCGGTTTTTTTTGCTGGCTGGTAACTAATCAAAGTGTTTTTGTTCGATTTTAGAGGAAAAAAACTACCACCTCTTCTTCCAAATGACAGATTATCCCTATTCCGGTCCTTACCTGTCCTTTCACCAAACGATCAGCGAGCGCCGAAGATTCAGCTTCCAGATAATCGATGCGTTGACGCAGAAGACGATTCTCGGTACGAAGACGCTGAAATTGGATACGTTCAAGTTCAAGAAATCCCTCCACTCGTGACCCGCCGGGTCTTGTACACTGTTTGCGCGCTCACACGTATGTCTTAATGTTTGTTGGAGCAAAAGCAAAAAGGTGGCGCTGCGTTCAAACAGACTCACACCAGAACTCCTCCTCAACATGTGTTCTTCTCAGGAGCTTGTCGGAGGAGCTGCGATCAAAAGTGTGTAATATAACTAATGATGATGATTTGTCTCACCGCTCCCCTCATACAGCCTTCCGGGCATTGACAAACAACCACCAAACTGAACCCATTTGTCAGTTACGAAAGAAGCAAAAAGCAAAGAGCCGCTCACCCAATGCATATGGAATTAGTCGGTGGGTCCCCTTCATTATTCACCGCCCCGGAGAGACTTATAGGGGGGTGACAAATTTTTGGCATCACACAGATTATTACCAAATATGCATCCTTTCTGTACATATACTAGTTTTGGCCTAGACAGGAAATTGGAGGAAGAGGGCGACGACAAAACTGTGTGTATAGTCGGTCATGAAAATTTAGTGCCGGTGACTGAATTCGAATTCCGATCGGTCAACATAACCTATCTCGAAAAAAAGCGTTCAAGTTTGGTATTATATTTATATATTATAATATAATCGGTTTCTCTGTTGACTGTACTGTACTACTCTCTGGATTGACAGAAAAATGAGAAGGAGAGAGAGAGAGAGAGACCACTTACAAAGACCAATTCGGTGTTTTCTCAACCTCCCCTGGTCTATTTTATTTTATGATCAAATGTCAAGACAAATATTTCTCGGAAAAGGCAGCAGGCGCCAGGCGAAATCGATGATTGGCAGCAATCAACTTTCGGGAAAAAAAGTGGGGGGAGTTTCGTTTTGATTACCTTCCGTGTCCAAATGAACCGCTGCTTTCCAATTTGTGCACGAGTTCTCATGACTGGAAGAAAGGATGAAAATGTGTTCGACGACGACGGAACGAGTATTGCAGAACAATGGGAATGGGGGGCGAAGAAGCGGAGGGCGAGGCGTAATGTGTTGGTCACTCAAGATGAATGAAGTAATATTAAGAAGAGCGAAAGAGGGAGGTGACGGAATGATAATTAGTAGCAAAAGAGGGATGGGGAAGAGAAGGATGGAGAGTGGTTTCAGCTGCCTGGTTCTTCGCCCCCTCGAGGGAGAGGGAGAAAGAGAGGGGCGCCCGCCGGTCGCTCGGGGGTCGATCTATTGAAAACGAGGGCGGGGTTCAAAGCTCCGCCCCCACCAAACCTAACTGATTTGTTTCTGTTTTTTTCCTCTTAGTTACTCGAGTGACTCAGAACACAATTTGTTTCAAAATGAAGAAAACGGGGAATAGTGGTGCAGGCGAAAAACGTCTTGTTACAACACTCGACCGACACATAACGACAAGGCGACTAGCCAGTCACCTGGGGCGGAGGAAAGAAGGAAAATGATGATGCTGCTGCTGACGATGACGATGTTGAAGAAGAAGAAAAAGAAGAGAAGTGAGGAAGAGAAAGAAGACCGGAAATGATCAATGCTGAGTCAGTCACACTCCTTCTTGTATCGATTGGTCGAGACTCAAAAAAAAAAACTACTATCACTTGTCTGATTGAGTTAAGGTGACGGTGGTAAACAATGACACCACTCAGTTCTTGATGCTTTTTCGCAGCTCTGAAGCTTGAAGTGGGCGCACTACTTGCGAAACAAAAAACTGAGCATGTTTCTTGAGCTTTGAGTTGGGCGAAAACAGCCGATGGACAGTTATGCATTGACGATAAGAGACCGCGCGTGGGAGGTTAGTCATCGTACTATTTTGATGGTCAAAAAAGTTTGGGCGTTTTCGAACAAATTGAGGACGGGATGTGTTATGAATGAAAAGGACAATGAATGTCGCTTAAAATAGACTTTTGTTTTTTGTCGGCAAATCAAATTTCACAAAAAGAGAAAAGAAAGGTATGCAGCACGGGCAGGAGTACAAGGAAGACGAGTCGCGATGCAATATACAGGAAAAATTCAGCGGAAGAGACCGAGAGAGATACAACGAAAAAATCGGAATTTTGTCGTTTCGCCTCACTCTCCAGCACCTACTCCCCGCTCGCGTTTCTTTCCTTCTTTCTTTCTTTCTTTCTTTCACCTCCCCGATCATCATTCTCACTGTGTATGTGTATGTGTATGTGCGTGGATGTGCTTTTCGCGGAAACATGTGCTCACTTTATGCGGCGAGCGAAACGACCGCATGAATGGGTTGGCTTTTATGATCCCCCATGACTTACCCGCAACTCGACGGCCTCCTCCTGTTCCTTTGTTCTCTTCGCCAAATAATCCTTTTCCAGTCGCTTCATTCGCTTCTGATTGAGCTGTACCTGGTTGGCAACAGCGAACAGCAGATCCGCGTCGTTCTCATACCGTTCGCGGACTTCTCGCTGGAAGTACTTGAGCATTCCCTCCATATCTAGTCTCAGCAGCTCAATTCGCGCCTGTTGAAGGATGGCAATGGATATGCAAAAGATATAATCCATTCCTTCGACCAGGAAACAATCCATGATCCGGTTGGCAATGTCCAAGGGGAGTGTGGTGGTGAAAAGAGTGAGGAACCACGAAGAAGCGTACATGGACGTGTCGAATCCCATATTGTTGAAATGAGTGTACAGGTCGGGCATCTGATCCTGGACGAGACACTCGAGTTGGAACATGCACAGCCCCAGATCGGTCATTGTCGGCTTGTAGAGCTCGCGAAGTCGGTAGTTCTCCATAAGGCTGACGAGGACGGCAAACGCCTCCTCTTCTGGCATCTGGAGGAGGAGAAGACCGACGATGAAGGCACTCCCTTGACAGTATCCCACTTCTTTGTCGTGCACCGAGTAGGCTTTGATGACGTTGAACAGTAGGGACTGGCCTCGTTCGCCGTCTTTGAAAAAGTCGAGCTCTGGGTAGGTGCGGGGGATGTCGCGTTGAATGACCTGGAAGAAAAAACAAGATTCGATTATTCAAGATGTACCGTAATCTGAACCACAAACTGAAGATTTGATGTGTGTTCAACGTCTAGCTTCTAGTCTCCTCTTACCTTCTCATAAACCGATGATTGTCGCATGTAATCACTGTATAAGTCGTGAACGCTCGAGACAGATGCGTTCGACAAATTCTGCCAGGCAATCATACGGAAATGCTGAGGAATTCCACGTTTCACAAGCTCCTTGATGTGATTCGGTCGCTTCTTGACCTCGACTTCCCAGTTCAGAATCAGCTCTCCCCACACGGACCACAAATCTTCCTGAAAGTACTGACACAAAGGGTTATGATGTTTGAAGAGATGGTAACCCTACCTCATCCTCTTCCGGCGAGTGTGTCTGCTCCCTGGCTCCTTTGCGACTTCCACTAGATCCGGTCTTCTTCGATGCTAGACTGCGAGCGTCCTCCTCATTGGATCTGCAACTCATTCTTGTGTTACTACTTTTTGCATCCCTTTCATCAAATCTCTATGTTTTTTGTTCTAGTTAGAGTACACGGCGACTGTTGTGCAAACATTTGCAACGTCAAACAAAAATCGGACGCGTGGATTGGGATTGCGATTGGGATTGCGATTCACAATCACGAAAGAATATTTAGGAGAAAAACTAGGGCTGGCTGGCTGGTCAATATAATATCAATGTTTGACCAACTGCTTTTCCCCTATGACTATACGTAATCGATGCCTTGTCTTCCTAGGCAAAAAAGAGGGGGAGGGGATTTTTTTTGTGTCAGTTCAAAACTACAGTATACCTGTTCAATTGCTCCATCTTGGCAAGCAAATCGACCTCATTTAGCGGGACCGGGGCTCCAACTCCTCCTGTTTCGCACAATCTGTCCGGCTCGCCACACTCGGTGTCTGCGGATCCTGCAATACACGCACTTTCATTTTCATTTCAAATGTCACCACGAATGGACAACTTTTCGCCCTCTTGCCATTTATACACACAAACACGCAAACAAAATGGGAATGGATTGGAATGGAATGGAAAGAGAGAGAGAGAGAGAGATGGAGAAGTCAGTAAACGTTTTTCGTTTCCACTTTGACGCCTCCCATAGAAAGCTCCACCTTTTTTTTCACAATTACATGACAAAAGAGAAGAGAACAATCAGTACTTGGGGCCATATATGAACAAAAGATAGGCGGGGGAGAGGGGAAAGCGGAAGAATGAAAGGGGCGCCGGGAATGGAGACGAGTGTGTAGTATGCAACAAATATGACAAATGACGACGACACCCCCCCATTTTCTCTATTCCGAAACAAACCCAGTCTTGTCAAGACGAAAGAACCAACAATAAAAATAGGAAAGATAGTAAAACCCCCCAAAACCCGCGCAGTTTCAAATAATTCATCATCATTGGAATTTCGGATTAGGAGAGCTACTCAAAAGTGCAGTAGACTATGCGAGTTTTATGAAACAGTGTTTGACCAAAATTGGAGCGGCTAGACCAACTATCCGGTTGTGTGAAGCTAATTAGCACCAAAACGGACGGGGGTTGAGTGAACCGAGCGGACGCGGAATACCGGCAACGCGGAGAGAGGGAGAATCGGAGAAAGAGGTGTTTGTTTGTTTCGGAGGAGACCCTTCTCTTCTCGCGTTGTCCCCTGAGCAGCAACGCAGACCAGAGAAGGGAGGAGAGAGGAGACCCGCAAAATAGACTACGAATAATCAGTTCTCTCGGGTTTTTTGTTAATGCAAAAGCACACACATGACAGTTCGTTTTTTTTTGTTTGGTTGTTTCGGGTTAGCGATCATCTGTGTTTTGGTCCCTCTAGAAACTGTTATCCCTCCACGTTCGTCTTTCAGAAAATCCTCTCTAGATTGTGATGGGAGATTATGCTGCTGGATGGACATCAATTCATGTTGATGATGATGATGGGCGCAAAAAGACGACGATGTGTACACTTTTCACTTCTTCTCACACACATGGTCTATCCAAGGAAAAAGCGAACGGACAATAATCTCTCGGAAGAATGTTCTACTTTATCCAATTCCTGATCTAGTTCTAGAATTTGGTCTACTTTGGATGAAGTGGTCAGTTCCCAGGCGCAAAAAAAAAAGTGTTCTGATCTGATTCCTGTCTGGCCTTGGACTGTTTGACACTTTCTGCACTTGAAATCATCCGAGTGGTCAGTAGGAGGAGGAGGAGGAAGAAAATTAAGGGAAAAAGTAGAAGATGTCATTATTTCCGGCGGCAAAAGCTTTTGGAAACACACTACTTAGGGAGAGAGAGAGAGAGGGTCTTCCTCGGGCCGATAATTAAATCAACGTCATCTTAAAAGCTGGTCCGAATAGTGATGACAGGTTATTAAGGCAAACAAAAAGTGTTCTTTTGATTCGTTGATATGCTGAACGCCAAAAAGGAAATGTGAACAGAATTTCAATTTTATTGGAAATTTCACAATCTTCAAAACGAGTAGTACTTCATCTTGAGAAGGTCTATTTAGAAAATGAGTCACCAAGACCCTTTTTCTGTAAAGTAAACGGCTTGGCAACAGTGACATAGTGAATATAATGAGATTTTTGCGGGGGAAGATGGGAAAACCGTTGCAAAACCGACACTTTTTGGTCTGATGACCAAATCAATAACCCGAGACGACGGTCTCGGAGGGAGAAGAACAAGACCGCGCCCCGCGAAGTGTGTACTCTCGGTTTACTTATAACTCGCTCGTTTCACTCTCAAACACCGACACTTGACGCTGGTTAGAAAACAGAAAACACATAAGAAACAGTGTTCTAGGATTTGTGGAGAATCAAGTGTGGTGTCGAGATCCTCTGAGCCAATTAAAGATTCCGGTGACCCGCACACCCAGAAGCGCTGCCACAATGCATACATAAACGAGCAGCTGAGCACGACTACTACTACTACAACTACTTCTTCTTCTTCTTCTCTTACTTTTCCATTTTTCTCCCCCCGTTCGTTCCGCACCCCCCGGAATTCCTCATTCACAGGTGTATGCTTTGAGGCGTGAGAAAGAATTTCTGCGTCTCTCTCCCTTTCTGTATTATAATATTAATAATGCGAAAAACGAAAAAACGCTGACTGTGCTTCGCGCTATTTGCATTCAATTGAATTGATCATGAATAGTTGGTTGTGTGGTGGTTGGAATAGTATTGCATGGTGGTCACTTCCGTTCTCTTCTCTTCAACACCAACACGTACCGTAATCCGAACTCCGACGAAGCGCTGCAGTGGCTGCCATCGGTGGTGATAGTTGGGACGGCGAGTTCCGCGGCGAGCTGGTCGAATTCGAGTTTGAGCGCGAATGCCTGAAATCAAAGTCATCATTAGTACGTAAACAGAAACAATATTGTACAAGTAGATGAGTAAGAAAGTCAATAACTGTGAGAGAGTCCAACCGGAACTCCAGTTTTAGGGGTGGTGCACAGAAAGAGGAAGAAGGAAGAAAAAACAAGAAGCAGTTGAGAATCACGCCTCAAGACGTCTTTTAATTAACCAAGATGCCAAGCGTCATTGGCCGTTTACTTTTGTCAACATTGGCTTGAAACTAAATTGGACTCAAACACCCACCCAAAGTTTTGCTTCAAAACTAATGATATGTATCATATTTATGTACACTTTAAAAGGAGAAGGGAGGAGGGGTGTGGGTGAGTCCTTGTTGTGTCATTCTCCAGCATTTTGATGCTCGACTTCTTATCAGTGTTTCACTGCTTGCCGCCACCGCCTTCAATTTTGATAAAAAGTGTTCCTGGAGGGCGAGCCAAACTTTTAGAGGGCAAGAGTGCGAATTTCGCTACTAATATAACAGAACTTGGTGATGTGGCCCGAAAAGAGATGACGAGGTGAGATGAAGGAAAAGGTCGCGTGCCGTAGCCGTCCGGAGGCCACCGCCGCCGCAAACTGTTCATCCGGATCGATAATAAGGTGGTCGACGTCCGGAGAATGAGGTGAGACGGAAAGTGCCTTGGAGGAGGAGGAGGAGGTACCACCACATACGGTTTTTTGGGTAGCTGTGTTGCATTGTATTGTATTCTACGTGCGCATGATATATCCTCCAGGCCAGACCGATTTGACGGCGGGGCAAGAGAGAGAAAGAGAGAGAGAGAGAGAGATGACATGCAATGCCCATCACCACAATGTATACAGGTTACCCGCCAACACACACACACATGCAAACATGTTTTCTCTCTCATCTGAATCCCTGATACACTAAGCACGAATTAGCATCCACGCTTTTCACGAGGAAAAAATCTGATATTGTGGATTTCCAATTTTACAACCGAATCGTGCTCTCGTCATTCTGACCCTGACTGACCGCGTTGATATTTGCTCGTGTTGTCACGCAGAGTAGTCCGAGAAGCGTCTGGGCTCGAGCACAGTCAGTTCGAGAAAAAGCCTAAAGAGTAAATAGAACGGGTTCGTCGTCATCATCCTCCAACTCAGACTCAGACAGACAGACAGTTCAGTTCCTTATTCATCCTAATAGCCTGCCGAGAAGTTTAGTTTGGTCAAGCAGAGACTTGGCATGCCGGTGTTTGGGTGTGTGTACCCTTTGTTCCAAATTTAGAATCACACACTGGGCGCCCCGGGAGGAACGCCGGTTTTGCGCCGTGGCGCCCGAGTATATTTTTGGAACTGTCCCCCCTCCTCCTCCTTCTACTCCGATGACCAATCCGGACGGACGGCGCAAAACCAACGAAAATCGGTGAAGAGCATTGTGGGAGAAAGAGTTAGAGCAAAAACGGATGGATGGGAAGAGAACAACTGTGTTTTGGTTAGAGGATACGGCAGTTTGGGTCGTTGTGTCAAGGATCAACTGCTAGAAACTATGGAATCCTTATTTGACAAAGACTTGTTATCAAAAACATGCAGAATTTCAGAATTGTAAAGGATGACTAATCTGTTTTAGAAGGAAAATGGAAAAATACTAATTTTCTCTCGCATAATCTCACAAATGCGGAAGCAGAACCTCTTCCTACCGTAACCCTCAGATGCTTTTGACAAATTTTGCTTTCTCATAGATCAGTTTCGTCAAAAACAATTGCAACCTGATCTTTTTCACGAAAAAGTGCACTTTGGCAGTTTAGTTTTGCAAAAAAGTGCGAGACACAAACAAAAAGTTAGAGAGAACCAAATAAAAAACGTTTTGCTCACCATAATCGATCCCAGTCTAGATTGAAGAAGCTCGCGGTTTCTTGGAAGAATGAGGTGGATTGATGGTGAGGGAACACGGATGGTGATCCGACCAGCGCCGGCGAGGGCACCATTTTCGAATAGAATAGGAACAACAACCAGAAATAGTGTTGTTGTTGTTGTTCAGAGTTCGTTGATGATAAGTTAATCAGTCGAAAAGTTGAAGGGGGGCTCAAATCAATCCTCGAGGAGAAAATTGAGCCGTGTTTTGCGTCGACACTAGTGTGTCTATATGGTCGTCGCGAGGAAGCGAAACAGCATACAGTCCGAGTGGGAAAGAGGGGGGGGGGACCGGGCGGCGATCGCCCGCGCGCGCGCCCCGCGGCGTCCCGTCCAAAGTAGGCGTGACAGAGCGCGGCTGAATCTCGCCGGCGCTTCTTGCTTCCCGAAAATGGAGCAAATACGGTTTTCGGGAAAGACATGTCTGCTTCTTCGTTTTGGTTTCTCTCTCTCTCTCTCTCGTTTTCTAGAAAAACAACTCGGCGCCGCGCGGAAACACGAGACTTGGGGAGCGGATTGAGCTGAGCAGTCTCTCTCTCTCTCTCTCTCTTTCACTTGATGTCATTGTTTATTCATTCGGTTAGCCAATACCGTTTTTGGGAAGCAAACCACAAGATGCACTAGAGGGACATTGTTATTTTTGGTGAATTCGAGATGAAAACTTCCGATAAATGGTTACAGTAACACGACAAAATCTTAAGTAAAACCAGTAACGGCGCTATAATCTTATCGGAAACTCATCGAAACTCGAGAAACCAGAAAACCCACGTCTTTCTAATTTTCCATTTATAAAACCCTTCATTCCGCCCGGAAATCTGACCCTTCCGCCCCCCAATTGGCACTGAATAACAGATTACCGCCGGAAACAAAACACTTTTTTTTTCCGATTACTGGGGGGCAAAAAGTGTGTGGCAGTTCGAAACGATATTTGATGAGCGGATTTGATATTTAGGCCGCAGAACAGAAAAAAATGGTTTCCCTTTCCTCTCTCTCTCTTGCAAATATTTGAGGTGTTGACACCGAAAAGTGAATCAGAGGGGTCCGAACGGGGGGGAGGGGGGACAAACTCAGGAAAACGTACAGAAATGTGAGCGGAGGAAATTGACTGAAATTAGAAATATCTATTAGAAATATGTATGTTTTTTCGCGAAAACAGGAAATTTGCGTGCTCTTTTGAAAACTAATAAAAATCAATTGAGAATTTGTGTTCTCCGCTTTGACGATGACCAAAAACGGAGCGAAAAGAACAGAAAACGCGGAAATTTCCAAGAAAACTAGAAAATCTACGGGTTTTCTTGATTTTTACAAAAAACACCATCGGTTCCGCATTTGGGCAGCTGAAAAGGCGCTTTTTGACATGCGAGCAGGCAAAACGCGGAAATTTTCGCTAATCACAGAGTTCGTCGGGTGGAAATCAATGAAAAAACTCACGGAATAGTAGAAAACGATGTCAACGACGAGCGGAACGGAAGAGAATGACTGAGAATGGGCGGCTCGCCGGGGTGGAAAAGCAAGTGCGCTCCATTTCGACGCGCCAAGAAGCTAAGGGATCATATTGCAAAACACGAGTAAATTCAGGGATTTTTAGTTGTTTTTTAGAGTAATTTACCCATTATGTGACAACGGAAATCATAGAGAACTTGGATAGAAACTTAAAAATTGGCAAAAAATCTTTAAAAAATTGACATATTTCTAGGTTTTGTTTCTTGAACAAAAAAAAAGTCCTGGTTGACTGAAAATGTAATAATTATACAAGCACAAAGCATGAATAGGAGGAAATTGAGAATATCTGAACAAACTTAAAAGAAAGCACACACGCAATACTCTTATTCTCTCGAACGGCAGGTGTTCAGCTTTTGGTCGTCATGATATTGGGTGACGCAAGTGCAGATTCATATTGAAACCACAATCACAAAAGCAAAAAAGCTGCATAGAAAAAAAAAACGAGAAATTGGTTTTGGGGCTATTGTCGATTTGTGAATCACTTGATAGTTTTATAGCGGAGAATGATGAGAGAAGTCGTTTTGAAAACGAGTGGGCGGACTCTAAAAAGGACCAACAGTCGGTGACCCTTCGACTATCTATACTTTCGATAGCATCCATCTGTTCCCAGACGTTTAGTACGTTTTCAACTCGACAAATAGAAATAGATTTTGAGAAAATGTGCAAAAAAACGGAACAGAGCAAAACGCCGGCTGTTAAGGACTCTAATGACGAATGTTGAATGTCGAAATCGAAATAAACGGAGTACAGATCGAAAAGTTGCGGCGAAACGTGGCATTGATTGTTTATTTGTTTGCTCCGCAGCTGCTTGGCGGAATGAAACGCCCGTATTTATACAGAAACCATCAATGATGATGAGATATGAGGGAGATATGTATATTTATATATATATTTACAAATCCCTAAGGGGCGCTCGGATATTGGTTTGTTATTATGATATTATTTATGTCTGGTGGCGTTCTCGCCTCCCATAGCAACCGGAGATGCCTGCCATGAAAGCGAGCCAAAAGTTGAAAAAGAAGAGCGGGTGAGAGCTTGTGTTAAAAGTTAAAAGTGTATCTATTAAAGTTTCGTACAACCAAAACGGAATTCAAGATTGTCGAAACCAGCAAAAAAGTCATTAGAATGGGTGGGAGGGCGTTGATAAATTATTCTGGTCTCTCTTCTTCTCTCCCTCTTTCTTTCTTCATTACAACTTGAACACATAGATACGAACTAACTTTTATTTGGGAATGGGTTTCGGAACATTGTCCTTCTTGTGACTGGCAGAAAAGAAAAAAGAGAAAAGAAGAGAGATCATAAAAATGTTGAATTTTGTGTGGTAGAAGTGGAGTTTGTTATGTTCGAACTATCGGAAAATGTTTATAGAGAAGCAAGGGCAGGAAAGGAAGAAAAATGGGAGAAGGGTGGGGTGGAGCGCCTTTGTTGATACAAACATGCCCGGAAAGGAGAGGGACACTAGATTTTGAGTAAGCGGCAGCGCAATGGTATATAAATAGATGACCAATCGATGGAAAAACCAATTTTCTAAACAGTAACGACAATGAGAAAAACCAGAACAATAGATTAGACCAGCGAACAAAACTATCAAACCAAAAATCAAAGGGAACTTTTTCGGTAAACCGACCAGTTGGGTTTAGTTGGAAACCAGACTTGCCGGCCCGGGGGTTTTGCTCATCGGGCTTGGCCTGACCGATTTCCTACAATTCTAATCGAAACCTATACATTACTGACCAAAACGAGTATAAATGTTCATAAGAGGCAGAAAAAGGAGTGGAAATGAGGTCTGACCGTCATACCGGTCACTTCTAAAGTGTTTGCACTTTGCGGCACCACGACTCAAGGTTAACGCATAAGTAGGCGGCCTTCTGAGTGGGAGAAAAAGAAGAAGAAGAAGAAGAAGAAGAGCATTGAAAATCTGTTTATAAACTTGCGCCAGTTCCTAAGGGTGTGATGAGAACAGTTTCGGAAAGAAGGAGAGAGAGAGAGAGCCGACGGGAAGAAGAAAAGACCGTTTATTTTCTGTGCGGATTGGAAAGCAGAAGCATGGTCAAAACACTTGATGTTTGTGTTATCAGTGAGGAACGGGAAGAGAAGCGGCATAATTTGTTTGTCCGACTGTCTCAGCTTTACGGAAATTACCGGGTGGATTAGTGGAGGGGTACAACGGTCAAATTGTTACAATGGGAGAAGAACGGAGCGGATTGGATTGGAGGATTGCTATATACATATATAGAAATGGGTGAAGTGAGGAAATAATCGGTTCGATCATTCAAACCCTGATCCTGATTTGACGAACGAGACGAGAATAAGGAAAGGCATCAGCAGCAGCATCAGCAGCAGCAGTGGCTGGAGAAGGAGAAGAACTGGTGGCCGCGACGAAGACTGTCGCCGCCACACATCTTCTTCCCTCTCTCTTTCTCAATTCTTTTCCGCACACCCCTCCTCCCGATCCTATTCACTTTTCACCGATAGAAATCATTTGCGGTTCATGCCCTCATTACTCACAGAAACGGCCCTCATCGAAACGTCATTTGTCGCTCGTTTTTCTTCAATGATGAAATAATCTGAATCGTAATGGATTCTACAGTAACCAACCCAAACTCAGAAAAAAAAGTGAAATACTTTTTGGTAGTGTTGAAAGCTTGGCATCAGTAACAAAAAAAGCTGGTGGCGTGGAAGGCAATCAAAGACACCGAAACTTTGTTTCGGTTGACGTAGAATTGAGATGAGAATAGAATATACAGGTTTTGACGGTCATGCTTCCCATACCCGATGATAAATACATACAAGCTGGGACAAGGGCAATGCCAATGACAACACGTACAGAGATCATGGCGGTTTCAGATTTAGAAGAAGGTGATTCGAAATCGGAATGGGATGACGGTACGACGGTTGGGCGTAGCCAGTAGACAGACAAAAACGGAACAAATAGAAAGTTCTTTGAAGATTTTGTTAACATGATAGGGGAAAAGGATAGATAAATCAAAAGTTTCGGTCGGAAGATTTATCCCGGATCTCGATGAACACCTAATGTTTTCAGATGATCATGTGTTTGATAACGATTGGAAATTCTTATGACCAATCTTGCTGAGGTATGATTAAAACAAGTACCGAATGGTTTTGAAGACCATGTATACGGGATTCCGGTCATTTTCTCCAAATTTAATTAATCCCTTGGTAACTTGAGAGAGAATTCCGTCTAATTTGAGGATTTGAGGACTATTTGAGGATTTTCAAGCTAGCGATTCTAACAAACCACAATATTCATAGTTCCGGCCCTGGTAGCCCGGCGCATGGGTCTTGACCCAAATTTTTTCGAAGGCGCGCATATTTCGTAAACTGTATTCGGAAAAACAGCGATACTTTGCTTCCTAAATGAGAAACGCTGAGTGATTTGACTTTTCCAGGTTTTTCCAAAGCATTTTCCTATAGTTCGTCATAGCCGGCTCACCCGGTCTGGGCCTTACGGATTTTGCTAATTCTACAATTCTACCAACGTTTTGTCCTTTCTGAAAGACCCCGAATCCTAAAAAACCACAAAAAAGTAATAGGGTTAAGGCACTACCGGAAAGGTTGGTTGCATGTGTGGGGACCATTATAGGCGAGAGGGGCCCTCCAGCACATTTGCTGCTCTCTCCGTTCTCTGCGTGCTTACTAGTTGCCAGGCAACATTTCCGAGTGGGGATTTTCAAAGTGTTACGAAATTCGTGCGTGCCACTCTCATCGGCTTTTCACCTCATCTCAGTGGCAGGGCATAGCTTTATGGACGGGGAAAGGTGTGCGTGTTGGAAGTACATACAGAATCGGAATCGTCTTTTCATTTTCATTTGCACTCTCATTTCCTCTTCGTCAGCCAAAGGTCTCTGAAAAACCGCAATTATCCAACCACTTTTGTGTTTCGATTTCGTCTCAGAAAGGAGAGACAAAAGTGAAAGCTGCGTTTTTCCCTCGACCAAGTCCAAGTCATTATCGGATGATTTTGACATACGATGGAAAAGTCGGCTGCATCATCACAGGAAACGACGAATCCCCCGCAAAACTCCAGAATTGGTAACACGGACGTGCAGACGCGCAGTTTTTAGCAGATAAGACACAGCGTTATGAATGATTCAAGATCGCCTAATCAGCAGCTTGACATTTGCCATTCACGCGAAGAAATTGAGCACACAAACATGCTTGCCGGACCCATTCAAAACGACGACTTCCTGTTGCACCTGACTATTGTGTCTGGACTCTGAAAATGTTCGGTCTAGTTTTGTTTTTGCTTCCATTTTCCTATGACTTGTAAATTATTTGTTGAATTTCGACAGTTAGATTGTTCTTCGACGCGTTAATAAAAGACTGAATGGGACAAAAAGTTAGTCTGGTTATATTTCTTTGAATGGAGTTCATTTCCAAAAAAAAATGATGCCACTCTGGTTCAAAACCTGGAACATTTTTTTTAGAAGTATGAATGTGCGAACTTGGAATCTAGAAATACTCGGAATTCTCAGAAAACACAATTATTGTTATCAAACGTTTTCGCACATAACTTACAGAACATTTTCATAAATACCCCCGGCGCAGATGTGTCAAACAACTGCAATGCCCCAAAATTTTTGAATTTGCTTTAAAGATCATCTTTTGAAGTTTCAGCACTAAAACCCGGCCTTCATCGGCCTACGACAAGTCAGCCCCCGCATGTTTTTCAGAACAGTGCATCAAATCTCACTGCCACACTACGTCGTACTACATGTGACAATTAGAGGGTGAAAATCTAAAATTCCAGGTGTTTTTGGTATTTTTCAAGTGGCATTGTGTCAAAAATCGAGTAAGTCTCGCGGACCGACTATTATCTATCCCACGATCCCGTTTTCCCACAATTCGTACAATGTCCTGTCCCCTCAAAAAGTGAAACAGAGTTTCTTGAGGTTCTATGAGCAAAGGAAGTCCGGCACAAAGTCCGCTGTGTCGTCATCATTAAGAAAACGTTTTTTTTCCCAACTTTTTCACTCTCAAACTGTCATTGTCAGACACGTCTCAAACACCAAAATTCCGATCAGTTTGATCATCAAGTCTGGTCAGTCCCACCAATGCTCATCCAAATTGTTGTTCGTCTCACTCCACCTTCAAACGAATGCTTGGTTTTTCCAACCAAAAACCTTTCATAAATTATGTAAATCGCTGTTGATTCGTTTCTTCTCTTCAAAACACCATTCCGACCACCATTTGTCTGGAAACCTATTTTTTTGGCTCATTTTTTTGTTGGGTATGTCTGCCGCGAAAGGAACTAGCGGCAAGATATCATTTTTCAAGGCGACTATGAATAATGAACCACACGACTTCCCCGTATTTTGTTGGCTGAAACATTTCAGTAGTGGCGTGGCACAAGTCAAAAAAGTGAGTGTTCATAAAATCTCAAAAACCAATGAAATCACACTTTTCCATGAATGCATGCAATTAGCCCGTGACTTCTGACTAATATCTCATCCATTGACTACTATCTTTCGCCCCGAAAGTCCAACGTTCAGCGCTCACAGTGTGTCTGACTGAGATCGATCAGAGAGCCAAAAGAAAGCTTTTCAGAGCCACGGCTAACCCCCTCCCCCAACAACGATTAACGTCCTTCAAAATCGTCGTCATTAAAAATCACTCACTTCCTATTTTTCGTCTTTGTTCTTCTTCTTGCTCTTGTTCTCACTCCCACTCCACCCAAGTTTTACGGTTATTTTTCAAAGCACAACTCGCTACTCAGAATTCTAACATTATTATAAATCTGAGTGTAGTATGATAAATAAGTAAGAAAGACATCAGGGGTGGAGGATAGTGCATCGAAGCGTATATATGCACTGAGCTGGATGACAATCTGACAACGTCGGCATTCCGTTTTTTGAAGTTACTGTAAACTTCCTTCTTGTTCGTTTCCAAATATAGATGAATCTGCAATGCCTCCGGATTGTGTTCATTTTTGGCTCGATGAGCAAATTAGCATTTTGCGGAAATTGGCCAGAGGAAAAGGGTCGGGAAAATATTTTCCTAGATTTAAATCTATACTCTGAGCTAGAACATTTCGAGCTCTTTTGTTTTCACGCCCTTGTCTACCAAAGCACCTTCAACCTCACCTTTCCAATTTTCGCCTTAAAATCAGACACCTAGCACAAATACGCACACACACACCACGTCATCACACTTAAATGGGCCCCGGTTGTTCCTTTGTTTTTCGATCAGCACAGCTTCGTGTCCGTGTCCGCAAATGATTGGATTCGTGGGGCCCGAGTGCAATTTGTACAGCTCAGCAACGCTCTGAATAATTCGGAACCCCTTCCTATCCTTTACGCCTCGCCCCCCCCCCCTTTCTCACTTTCCTATTTCTGTGCACGACAACAAGGAAATGCAGCAAACGAAACGTATTAGGCATTTAGGTCTAAGACATCAGAAACAGCCACCCACACTCAAAGAGGACGAGACCGGACTTTTCATTCTGTCAAAAAGAGTTTTGGATTCGATTTGAATGCCCTGTCATTTGCATACATTCATTCATTCAAACTCGATCATCATTTTATTTCAGCCAGTCACACCCTCAATTAGCACCTTTTGATAGTGGTGTCACGCACAGATTGAATCCGAAACGCCCCTCCCCCTCCCTCTTCCCGTTTCATCGGAAAAGTCAGGAGCGATGAGTTAGTTGTGCTACGTGCCGATCTGCAAAAAACCATCTCAATCATTTGTATATAGTTTTGACGCGTCGGCGGGGAAGTGCGGCCGGCTATGTCATATTATGGCACGTGAAAACAAGCCAAGTGGTGCGCTTCACTTGCTAATTCATTCTGACCCTTGTTTCAAAGAAAAGCGCACTTGAGCAGCTTGTTAACCATCGTAGCACTCCTCACTTTTTACTTTTACTCATCCCCGCCCACTTTTATTGTCTTCCTTGTCACATGTTGTGCACTTCTTCAACAACTATCGGAAGCGAAGATCCGTTGGACCCTTCCTACCACCAGCATCAAACAAACGGAATATCCACCCGTTTTTCTTTTCTTTCCCTATCTATGTTTCCTCCATTTCTGAAGACCTGTCCAATATCGTCATCATTTGGAGTGGAAGGGAGTCAAAAGTTCTATGAAAAAGACATAATTTTTGGGAGAGTTTTTTTAATCCAATAAATTATGTCACTCAAATGTCGACATGATGCCCCACCAGCAGAAAAAATCGAGAGATGATGATGGGGTGAAAGAAATGATGTTCATTAATCCGGCTCGGCGCCCCGCCCTTTGAGCTCTGCTCCCGCCTACATTCAGAGTTGCGGTATAAAACTAGGCGGCCACGTGGACGTGCTCCAGTCTCATGAAAATAGTCTCGAACCGCTTACTCTTTGTTCTTTATCTGCTCTTGTGCCCATGAATTCGTTATACACGCCGTTCTCATGTCAATCCGACAAATTGGTCCGAACCAGGTTGCTTGTAGGTACGCTCCAATTCTCACAGGACTTTCTGCATGTTTCGCCGACTTCTCATCGCTGTCTTCTGCCTGGCTTGCCTCTCGGCCGTGGCTGCTCAGAGATTCCTCTACAATCCAAAGGTAGGTACGATGGGGGGAAGGGATTATGAGTAGGTACTAACTACATGGACAATAGATGGTATTACTACACGTGCAAGGGATATAGTAATCCTTATATCAAATTTGATAAAAATCTATCCCATTTAGTAACGTCATACGTCATCATATTTCATCTTCATTTTTCAGGTACAGCCATCCTTCAATGACGGCTCAATGCTCGAGGGACCCGGTGACTACGCCGACTTTGTTCCCGCTAAAAGGGCTTTCTCGTTCCAGGCAGCTCGCGGCAAGAAGAGCGCAATCGGAGAGAAAAGGTATTTATCTTTCGCTTTTTCTCAATTGATGGATTGGCGGGAATATTGGTTCCGATCCAAGAAGGAATTTTTCGTACACATACATAAACTTGACTAGTAGGTGGTTGAATATGCATATCAAGAACCATCATCCAATTACGCTACTCTGCTCTGCTCCATTGATGTCTAAATGTCATGAAAGCGTGTTTGATGTCTGACATTTACAGATACTCGTACTTCCCTTCTCGTGGATAACTGCTGATCCGCAAGCCCTATCTACAATTCTCGCCGATGCTGAACAACACAAAACATTAAACAAATGCAGATCCCCATCTTATTATCCTCCACCTGTGTCGAACAATAAAGACATTTTGTTATACTGTGCTAAGTGGTGTCTTCTTGTCCATATTTGCTCACTCTTATCAGCTGATACCACGTTTCCGCGATCGGTTCTCAGTGCTCAAAGCAATATTGTCTTTTCTTTTGTTCGTTCGTTAACTTTTACAGGTGCTTCTTATAAGCCCAATGAGGAACTAGTCGTATTCTCATTAAAGATAAAACGATGTGGTTGACGGGAGACGTGTACCCGGAAAAGTTCCTGACGCCTCATTAGCAAGTATAATGATCCAGGGCCGCACCTTGATATGTCTCTTTAATGAATGCCAAAGACTTAAGATCGATTCGAAGTAGAGTGAGGGTGGGTGGTTTATGGCGACCATGAATGGGTACATAAATTTGGGCTGTATTCGATTCTAGGATTTACTTTCGTGACTTCCAAACGAGAGATTATAGGAGCAAAACACGTTGAACGGAGCAGATTGGGCTGGGTATCATCTGACTTCAATGGGGACTACAGAAGGATTGGTTTTCTGCACCCGACGTGGTGGAATTGAGGATCGTCTTGTTTTGGCTAGAATACTCCGACTTGCAGAGGACAGGGCGAGGTCGGACCGGGTTGAAATGGGTCAAAAGCCCGGATCGGCACAGTAGTCAAGATACATATTTCAGTACCGGATTATTTGAAACCAATTCGTGCTTAGAATGAGCCAGTTTTGTGATATCCAATGTTTTAATTACTAATTTCGAAAGTCTATACATATGTTAGAACACAATACTTCCCCATGTGCTACCAGAGAAAAACAGGATTATCCTAATTGAAAAATCTTTGAGATTAAACTCCCACGGATAGGGAGAAAGAAACAAAAACATCATGTCATTGTGCTTCCTTGAAAGTTCAACTTTGATTCTTTAACATTATAATCCTCGAAGTTTGATCGGGGGATCAGAAATGAGTTTGAGTTCGAAGAACCGAGGGAACCCGATCTTGGAAGGTAAAGAAAAATCAGAAGCGTTACAACTGATCGGTAAGTCAATAAACGTAATGATTCGGTAGGTAAATGATGAATGATAGAGGACAAATGTTGTTTATCTCACAACCTTTTATGGTTGGTTGTGAACGGAATGCGGTAGATAAACGAAAATGCATACAGAACTTGATGCTGATTAGTCTGATTAGAAAATCGAAGAAACGGTATCATTGTACCTCTACCATCTCTAAATCTATGAAAATTTACAATTTGAAATCTTGAGATGACTCTAGATCCCTGAAAACTAGTTAAAAGGCGATAAAACCTTCATTATCTATCAATTATGATGGAAAAAACCGAATCCGAAGCAGTTTCTTGCCTCTTTATCTCATGATTGCCGTTAGCAATAAAAGCGAACGTTCACATCTATATCTGCTTTTTTTTCAATCTGTAATCCACTTCAACAGGTTTCTTCCACCCATATCATCATAAACCATGTCAGCCCATTGTCATCAAAAACATAACTACCATCTAATCGTCTTTTTGTCGTCCACACCAACCTAATTCCCTTTAACAGCCCCCAAACCATTCGATAAGAAAATATAAAAACTGAAAACCAAACTTCTTCTTCTTCTTTCTTCTCTTTTTCTCGTTTCCATTTCCAAATTGGCATTGTGTATGGGTATGGTGGCCGTGGTCACGGTTTGAAAACCATTCACAGAAAATGAGGGCCACTTGACAGAAGGGGTGTAAAAGTCTCCGCAAGGTCAGAATATTAAGGGGTTCTTTTTCGTTTTTTGCCCTCCTTCTTCAATCCAAGGCTAAACAACGATGATTATCGAAACACTTTTTTTTGGGCTTTTTGGGAGCTCTTGTGGATTTGGACTTGGAGTGGACTCTTTGTGCAAGCCTGAGCCGCCAGAGCCGCCATTTTTTTTCATATTCCGTTTGTTTAGTTAGTGACGTGGCATTGTACCTATTTCATAAAGTGTATAGAATACATTGAAGCGTCTGCACATATGTTCCATCCTTTTGCTCGGTTTCTTGGTTCAGTTTCAAATTTCAAATGTCACATTTCCACAATTATTACACTTCACTTGTAACACACTTCAGTTCTGCCCCAAATTTTGTTCGCATAGAAAAAAAGGAAAAGGGAAAAACTAACTAAAGAAGACTAATTGTGCCCTCCGCTTCCGGATAGTGTTAATAGCCCATGTCCTCTAGCCCTCGATCCCAACTGAGGGGGACCCCAAGGAAACGGGAGGCACAGCCTGACGTTTTTGCACGATAGGATGGCCGCCCGAGAGGGTTGGCAGACGCGACGGCAGTCAATGAAAATAGCGCGAGGTTCGGAGAGTGCAGCGAACATTTGGACGGAGGACGGCTGACGCGGGAAAGAGAAAGAGAGAGAGAGAGAGAGAGCGAAGAGGCGTAAAAGATAGAGAGCGACTGGGGAGAAGGGGGCACTAGTGCGTTGGTTTTGCGTTGTGTTGCGCGCAGTATTAGCTGCTGCTCTCCCTCTCCCTCTCTCTTCCTCTCCCTTCTCACTCACTCCGTTGTTATATATATTTTTCTGAGAAGAGGACCCGACACACTCCACTTCAACGTACCATCATCATGGCGTGCCAAACTGGAATCAGAGGTATGTTTGTCTGTTTGAGTTGTGACTGGTTTTGTCTAGGTTTAGTTCGACCCCGCCGCCCGTTTATAGGCATTGTGAGTATCATAGAATGGTAAATGTTTGATTTTGGAAATACACAGTCCTAGTCTTTCTACCTTTCTTCCCATTTTTCACTTCTATTCCAACACTGCTGTCATGACTAGTGACGATGCGAAGCCGTCAATTTCCTCTCAAGGTACTCATTTCCTCTCTAGGATTATGTCCTTTGAAGAATTGTCCAAAATAGAAGGGTTTCTCAGTAAAGTGAACACCTTTCTTTCGTTTACGTTTACGCATATAACCTTGACGCGATGTATTCTCTCTCTCTCTCTCTCTCTCTCTTTCTCTTTTAGTTCAGTTTCCCCTCATCCATTTCTCATCTTTCATGCGGGGTCGGCGAAAGAAGAAATGAGAAGATGGAGAACAATGATGATCCTGATATAGGGATAGTGTTACACACCCATCCATGATGCACTCAGACCCCTCATATGATGTTTACAATCTGTGTGAGCTGACGAACGAGCTTTTGATTTCATCCCTTTGCCTCCGAAATCGCGGATGGATATGAGGCGCGACCGTTTGTGGAGAGAGGAGTGCATTCCGTTAATAATGGAAACCTGCCGGAGGGCCCAGCCGACCGTCCCTGGACGCGAAATAGTGCACTTAGGGTTGGAGAGAACGCGCGAAAACAAACTGAAAGTCGCCGGCAAACAGTCGGGCCTCACCGCGCACCCCCAGGCCTCCGATCCACACAGAGACAGACATGAACAGCAGCTGTCTTAGAAAAAGATGTGTCTTCCATCATCTCCCTCCTTTTTTGTTTCTCATCGCCGGATATGTCAGAGGGAGCAAGTGGTGGAAAAGCTTAGAGAGCCCAACAAAACTATACAGCAGTCCAGCCAGCCAACGAGCCAGCAATTCTTTTGGGAGCACCACGAGCCGAGCCGCCCCACGGGTCTAAGCGAGGCGGTGGTGGAAGGAAGGGGGAGAAATGACGAAAAGACGACGTTTTGCAGCTAACGCGGCACTTCGAAATGCACTCAACTTGGGGAAACAGGCCAAACTGCGGCTCATCAAGATTGTGGTGAATAATGAGGAGATGACGCCCAACTACGAGTTTGCCGGCACCGCCAACTGGCGCGACGACTGGAGAGCTTGTCTGCCGGAGTGCGTTGACGCCTACGAGCCGTGCTTTATTCTCTTCCGCCTGAATACCATCACGGAATGGGTGCTCATCACGTGAGTTGTACCCTCGGTCAGAATCCCCACGTTACACAACATAAGGCTATTCAATCAATCAAAATTCTCAGTTTAACTTTCTCCAAACACATGTGTTCCCAATCGGTTCCCATCAAACAAAACTGTTCCAGGTTCGTCGACGATCGTGCTCCGGTCCGCGAGAAAATGCTTCTGGCCGCCACATGTGCCACATTCAAAAGCGAGTTCGGACAGTGCTACATCGAGCACGAGAAACATGTGACCGACCGCAAGGTGCGTGAATAAACTTTGACAAAAACACCGAATACGTTGGCGTTTTACGTGTTATTCACGCCTCGCCGCATGCTGATACGTCGCCCGACCCGAAAAGACCTGTTGTCGATTTTTGTTGTTGCTAGCTTCGACATTCTTTTATTAGTATGCAAATATCGTATCTTTTTTCAGGACCTGACCCTCGACGCTTTCGAATCGTGGCTGAAGGCCAAGACCGAGTTGGGACCGATGAGCGAAGTCGAGAGGGAGCTTCATAATGCTCAGCAGGAACGCGCCACCATCATCCACGCCGGGCCACAGCACATGAAGGGAGTCGCTTTTCCGGTGGACCGAAATGCAGAGGAGGCGTTAAAGAAGTTGGGCAAAGGACAATTGAGCTTCGTTCAACTCTCGGTAAGATTAGACCCTCTTGGCCGAAATAGTTTCCCGACCACTTGAAGAAAGAAGGGTTCGACTGAAGACCCTAATCCAATTAGCCTAATTCACCCTGTCGAGTTACACCACATGGAAATAGATTTAGTAATACTAGTGCGGAGAGAGAATTGAAAAAGAGGACAATGAAATTCTTGACTTCATTCCATTTCAGGTCGACACTCTTAACGAAGCCATCAAACTGGAAGGCACTCTGGACGCCCTGGAACCGACACAGTTGGCGTCGAAAGTGCCACGTGACAAGCCACGATACACGTTCTACAATTTCGACCACTCATGGGAGGGTGTTCCGCAAAAGTGCACTTGTGAGTCTTTGGTCCTATCGGGCGCCAGAATGGTGCGGAAGGGGAACGGCGGACCGAAACACAAAAGATTGTTCGTATAAAGTCGGCAATTAGGCGGTGTTTTGCAAGGATGAATAGGGAGAATCCGAGTTTTTTTGTGTGTTTTCCGAACATTTTGCGGTTCAATAAGCCTAAAATTGCTGGGGAAAACGGGAGTAAATGAGGGGGAATGGACATACATAGTTAGTTGTAAATGAGGAAAACACAGTTGAGCTGACGGAAATGGGCAGGACATTTGAATGAATTAGAAAAAAAACAGTTGGAAAAACTAGTAGTTATCCTTGAACAGCGCAGGCCGAAAGATTTCCGAAGGCCTGACCGATGGGATTATCTGGTCCGACAATGCAAAAACGACTACTTTTTTCCTCAGATCCACATCTGGGGACCAGACGAACCGATTGGTTTGTATCAGTTCTCAATGGAACGGCTTGGCTCTGATTTCAGAACAACTGAATAAACAAAACAGGGTCTCTAAAAACCACAATTCCGAACGCTCTTATTTTCAGTGTTCATCTATTCGTTGCCATCGTCGGGTAGCTCAATCAAGGAGAGAATGCTGTACTCGAGCTGCAAGGGTCCGTTCCTGAGCGCGGCCACCAACCAATACGGAGTTGTGATCACTAACAAGGTGAGCATTGTTGTTAATATTTGTCTTTGACACACTTCACTGCTTGTTAATATCACTGAACTCATGCAATCGGAACAATAAAAACAATTCTAAAATCACTGAATAACACTAACAGTAGCATCCAACATAACCCGTCACTCTTCACTTTCCATATAAGTTGTCTGAATTTTTGCAGATGGAAGTGGACGCTCGTGACGATCTCTCCGAGAAAGCGCTTCTCGAAGTCATCCACCCGTTGCCGGTCGAAGCTCCGAAGCAGTTTGCCCGTCCGGCTCCACCACGTGCTGGTCCTCGTCGTATCACCAAGGTCTAACATACCTTACCCTCCCGTCACCTTATTGTGCAGCTAATTATAAATATATGGCCGCTATTATTGCGTCGACTAAAACCGAAATGAAAAAAAGTGGAAAAATTGAATATTCATCACCATTTTTTTGTCTCTTCTCCCTCTCTTCTCCCCCTAATCTTCCCTGCTCTCGCCCCGCTCGCCCCCCACCTCTCTTTGTTCTTTTATGAAATGAAATTATGTGTTTCGGTTCTATTTTATTGTATCCAGATATCCAGAGAGTAGCCCCCACCCGCTTTTCGACTGCCTGTACAACTCTTCCTTTCTTTTCCCCTCCCATCCACCAAAAAACTACACACACACACACACACCCACCACACTTTATCACAATGTCTATCAAGAAGGTTTGCATAAACGTTTTGAGTGAATTCAAATTCTCGATATTGACGGACGGGACACCTCACAAATAACCAACGTTGCCAACGAAAATGTATACGTTTTCACGTTTCGCACATTCCGTATCAGTTGCACCACACCGCACTGATAAAAGATGCGAATTATATATTTCGAACAAAAAGACGTGTTTCCTTTCCCCCTCCCCCCCTTTTGTTTAGTTCAGTTCAATACGTTTGGAATTCCCGGACGTGAGTCAGTCAGAGGCTCGAAGCTTCCTGTCTATTGTGTGGCCGTTCTTTTTATCGTTTTGTACAGTTTTTTTGAAAAATTCTTCACTTCTTACATGCCTCCGAATAGTATTGTCAACTTTTATCGCCATGAAATTCCTCCAAACGCTAGGCCAGAATTTTTTAAACTTTTTGTCTCTCCAGTCTTCCATTGTGCGCTCAATTACATCGGCGAAGAGTTCCACGCGACGCCAGCGCTTTTGATTTCGGAAACGTTTTATTGCAGTGGCTGTGTGCCCCGGTTGCCGGGGGGCTCCTTCTCACCAAGCCACCGACACTTCACACATTGTCTCTAATGGTGTAGTAACATTTTTCTTTTCCGCAGCTTCTTCTTCCTCTTCCTCTTCCTCTTCCTCTTCTGCGCCTGAGCATCGATTGATTGGAAAACTTGTGAAAAGAGCGAGAGCATGGGAATGAACGGAACGAAAGAAGAGGAGGAAACGATTGATCTTTGAATGACATAGGTCAGAGAAAGTGTGCGAAAGATCAATCGGAGCCGGGGGAGAATTTTGATGATGATAACAGTTGAAAAGATTGGAAGCGGACGGGGTCTGAGAGGGTGGCCGTGCCGTTTCGCACACCGCCAGCTGACCGACACCGCCGACCATTGCGCCCCCCCAGTGAAAGGACCCCCACAATTGTCTTTCTTTGACAATTATTCAACAAACTGCCCGCCGCTTCACCTTTTCACCGAGCAACGGACTTTTCATGCCGACTTGTGGATTCGGATTTGGGTTTGGATTTGGAGATGCGGCAAATTTTCTGGAGAACTTCCACGACTCTGTTGGTTATCATCGTGATCGGCCTGTTCGGCGTGTCATCTGAAGTGGATGGAGTGGAAACAGTCAGATTCCGGCGCTACTACAGAAACGATCATAGGGCTCCGAGAGCAGCGACGGCGAGAAAAGAGCGGATATGGCCGGAGGGCATCATTCCGTTTGTGATCACTTCCAACTTCTCAGGTGAGTGTTTGGTGGCGTTGCACCTGTCGAAACAGATAGTTTAGTCAAACTCGTTTTGTTTTGTTCTGTTTTTTTTCAGGCGAGCACCAACATCTATTTTTGCGGGCGATGCGTCATTGGGAGAATTACACGTGTGTATCTTTTGTGCCCAGACAACCTCATCACAAACATTATATCACTTTTACCGTGGACAAGTGCGGGTAGGATTTTTTTTCGAAAAAAAAACTGAATTTTTCGTCTCTTTTGAAGTGGAAAAAGAACCCGAACGAATGCGTCATAATAGGATTATTCACTTTCAATTCATTCTTTTCAACATAGTTCTACAGTTGAGAAAAAACGCATTCTCTTCCGTAAAGAAAGAGGGAAATGTGATAAGCAGGTGTTCTTATCATCGTGTGACGTGGTCCTTGACATGTTACACCACACAATACTCTCGGTGTCGTTCTCTGTTTCACAATCACACATCTTTCATTCTTGGTTCATTTGGAACGAGTAGGAAGAATATCCTATGCAAATCGATTCATTCGACACCCTCTCCTATTTTTCCAGACAGACATCCGGGGGTGTAGTTCTCGTTTTTAAGACCGTCTCTAATTGGCATCACTTTTTTCTCGCTCGAAATGTGAGAGCATCCACCTACAAGAAAAAAAAACAGCTAAAAGAACTCTCGGACGTACAAAAGTGCAGTTCCCTTTTCCACATCGCTTTTTCATGTTCATGTAGCAAGTCCTTTAGAATTTTCGTGAGCCTCGATAGGATTGAGGGTGGGAACATGAGCCGAAAAGTTTTTAGACGGGATTACCCGCGCCGCAATTCGGGACGACGTCCCCCAAGGTCCTTGAGAAATCCCCTCATGTGTCCGGCGCCCGAGGTGTAGTCCTAAGCCATATTTTGATGTCATTCAAGTTTTCTTGGTCGCGGATGACGAACTTGAGATGCTTTATGAGCTTATGTTGCGTAGTGAAGTGGTGAAAAGTCGTAAATCAAAAACGTTTTGAGGCAAACTTTTTTTTGATTTAGATGTTGCTCTTACGTCGGACGACGTGGAGAAGGTCCTCAGGCGATTTCAATTGGAAAAAACTGCGACAAGTTCGGAATAGTGGTGCATGAACTGGGACATGTTGTAGGGTTTTGGCATGAGCATACAAGACCTGATAGGGACATGTACGTGGATATCTTTTACAAGAGCATACAGACAGGTTTGTTGATCCGCGTCATCCTTAGCCTGCTCCTAACACATCCTTAGGCCAGGACTACAACTTTGAAAAGTCAAAACCCGAAGAAGTGGACTCACTGGGCGAGCCCTACGACTTCTCTTCGGTACTTTTGCTCTCCCGGCTCTTCTGACTTGATTTGACGTCCTTCAGATTATGCACTACGCCAGAGATACTTTTTCAAGAGGCGCCTTCTATGATACCATACTACCAAAACCCAGTTCAGGTTCCAGCACCCTTCCATTCAAAGTTTGAATGGAAAAACCATCCAAAATGTTTTCAGGATTCCGCTCCGAAATAGGCCAAAGAGTTCAGTTAAGTGAGGGAGATATTCGACAAACTAAGAAACTCTACAAATGCGCAGGTTTCAGTCGAATCTAAGATTTTTCACATTACATGTTTCGTTTTTTCCAGATTGCGGTGGCACTTTAATGCAAGAGTCCGGAAATCTGGCAATTCAACACGAAGGCACATGCATATGGCACATTATCTCGCCGCAAGGGCACACCATCTTTCTGAACATCACAGGTCTCTCTTTCTCTTTCTCTCTCTTCCTTCGTTTTCCCTCTTTTGCACGCATTCATTCAACTCTGCCCGGAAATGGGATTTTTTGCGCTTCTCATTCTCACTTCTCACTTCCTCGTCATGATTGCTGAAGCGGATCCGCTGGCGTGGAAAAAACGTTCTCTGAAGTTATTGTCAAAGTAGAAATTAAAGTTCCGGTTCCGAGTTATCAGTTGAGTTGCTTGTTTATCACATAGTACGCGTGGTTATCAATCAGTGGTCTTCCGAGAAAAAGCGCTCCTAACTCCCTACTGACAATGCCGGCGCCGATAAATCACGGTTTGCGGATGCGGATGACGAGGCGTGGGTGATATTGCTGTTCCTCTCCCCTCCACAGAGAAGATCCGTCGCGACCGACTCGCACCGCTTTTTACCCCATTTCATTTCCGTGCCAATGTAAAAGTGTAAGTGTCTCTGGCTCTCTTATCCCGCTGCTCGGTGTTCTTTTCTTTTCCCTCCCGTCTTCCACCTCCCCGCCTGGTCGCCGCGACTGTGAGCGTGTGCACACATACGCACCAGCTAATGACTTGCCCACTAGCACATAAACCTCATATGCGATGGGGAGGAAGCGAATGAGAGGGAAGGCTCGGGAGGCCCGATCCCATCGTTTTTTCCTGCCGTGTCTGCCGAGGAGGCGGTGGCGGTGGCGGCGATAGGAACAACCAGCGACCTCTTTTCTTTGTCTTCTTGTTCTATTCTACTAACTTATTGATTCAGTCCACTGGATCGGCGCTGTTCGCAATTTGGGGTCAAAGTGTCTAGAGAACACAATTATATATATTTTTCCAGTTTTTTCTCGTTTACACATGTCCCAGCTTCAAAAAATCCAAATAAAATTCAGGATCTACACTAAACCCACCTGCTGTACCATGCTCGGAAGAACGGGGAAACTTCATAACAATTCGCGACGGAGTATCAATCGCCTCTCCCGTGTTAGGTTTGTGTTGTGCCTTCACATTACCTAGTTTTTTTCATAATACCCCGTTTCCAGATCGGATTTGTGGAGATGATACCCAGTTTCGGACCATCGCCTCGTCTGGAAACCGAATGACGATTCAAGTGAAATCCACGGACCCCTCTCCTTCTCTGCCATTTGCCACGTACTACGCCATCTGTGGAGGACCAATTTATGCAAACGAAGGAGTTATACACGTGAGACGAAGATTGGTGCGTTCATTTAAGGGAAAGATGAGTTTCAGAGCCCCAAATATCCTGAATCCTATCCGCCAAACAGTGATTGTCAGTGGACGATTCATGTGGACGAGAACAGTCAAGTAGCAATTGAGTTCGTGTACTTCCATGTGAGCTTGGCTTACAATTTTTCGGGTTTTAATGACTTCTCTCAGTTGGAGCAACACAAAGAGTGCATATATGACCGCCTGATCCTAACCGAAGGAACACCAAAGTCCCATGAAGTGACCGAAACGTTCTGTGGACTAATCGAGAAAAAGACAGTCGTCAGCAAAACCAGTCAGATTTCATTACGGTACCCCATTTCCCCTTTATCTACACGCTTTCTTTGTCGTCAGATTCTTCTCTGACAACTCGGTTCAAAAGTCAGGATTCGAATTGCGATTCTCAAAGGAGCTCAACGAATGCGCGACTGAAAAAAATGTCTGCCATCATTATTGTGTAAATACTGTTGGTGAGTCAAATCAGGAAAAGAAAACGCAGAAGCGGAGGTCATTTATCTTTTTCGAATGCCATGCAAAAAAAATTTTCCACGACAGCTGTTCCGTTAGGGGCGACGCCCGGGCTTTCTTGATGGGGATCGATGTACCATAGGACATCTGCTCTATGATTTTCCACCATTTTCCCGTTTTAGAATGCTCTTGCCCTTTGTCTTAGCTGACGCCGTAAAAGGCCAAAAAGTCATAACTTTTTCCTCTAACGGTATCCAGGGAGATGCGAACGTCAGCGCGCAGACATGTTGATTTACCACCATACTTTTGAATGTCAAGAAAATGTCATCGAATTTCATCCTTTTTTCAGCTCAAAAAAAGCCGTTAACGCTGAAATTGTGTGGTGAATGGGAAATTGAAAATTGAAAAAAAAAGAGCAGAAGGAAATAGGAAAAAACGGACTTCATTCTCTTTTGTGAGGGATTATTCAAATGGCCAGAACGTTCTATCCTCACCGGAAGAAAAGCCAATGTTTTATTCAGGCGGATTCAAATGCGCATGCCGCGTAGGCTACAGTCTATCCAGCAACGGATTCTCGTGCGACAGCACTTGTGGCGGCTACCTCAAATCTTCGAACGGATCGATCGCCTCGCCAAACTTTCCGGAGATGTACCCGAGTTCGAAAACGTGTGTCTGGGAGATTGAAGCACCCGAAGGTTACCACATCTTCCTGAACTTCACCAAATTTAACGTGGAAGGAATGAGAACTGAGTGTGCTTACGATTACGTGAAGATTGGAGACAGCGAGAAACTCTGTGGAGAGTACCGTAAGTTATATTCAACTTTCAGAGGTCTGACAAAAACCTTTTTGACAGACGAACCACTACTCTTCACAACACCCCGTAATCGCGTTCGCATCGAATTCAGCTCGGATTCATCCGTCGAGCGTGATGGATTCTTCGCAAACTTCATCGCAGACTTTGATGAATGCCAGAACGACAATGCTGGATGCGAGCATTCGTGCCAAAACCGATTAGGTAATTCACGAGTTTGATGGATCCGACTGAATCCATCAATTTCCAGGGTCGTATGTGTGTACGTGTAATGCTGGCTACATCTTGGCAGAGGACAAGCACAACTGTAAAGAGGGCAGCTGCTTTTTCGAAGTCAATGCACCGGCCGGTATCTGAGTGGATTGTTCGATATGTTCTTTTTCGAATGTACTTTTAGGTGATATCAATTCTCCAAACCATCTGAACGACTACCCAAAAGGACAAAACTGCTCCTGGCACTTTGTAACCACTCCCGGACATCGGCTAATGCTCGTAAGACATCAGAACCAAAAACAAATTCTCTTTCTTTTCGCAGACGTTCTCCAGTTTCCAAGTCGAAGAGCACTCGCAGTGCAAGTACGACGCCGTTTCGGTGTTCGACGGCGGAGATGGTTCCTCCCAATTAGCTGGTGAGTTGGAAGCTTTCATGACTGTTGGCTGTCCCCACCTCTTCCCTTTTCTGATTTCCACTTTTCACATACACTTTTTGGTCAGGCGTTTTTTGCGGATTGGCCCCGCCTCCTTTGCTTCTGTCATCCTCCAACGAGCTCTATCTCACTTTCACTTCCGACGCGTCCGTCTCGAGACGAGGCTTTCAGGCTCATTACACTTCTGGTGAGCCCCTTTTTGTTTTGTTTTGATTGAAGTCGTCGATTGTCAGTAATGTGATGTTATGTTTCAGTGTGCGGAGGACGACTCAGCGCCGAATCCACTCCCGGACACATCTACTCTCATGCGACTTTTAGTGATAGCAAGTATGGAAAGAATCAGGTACGTCCGTCTTACGGTAGACTTGACATTCCTCGTGATGATTCTAAGAATGAGCATTAGTCAGAACTACCAGTTTTTTTCACCTTTTGAAACCAACGGAATGGAAATGTTGATCTAATTTGTTACACATGGTTCACAGCTTTTCTCTATGAAACTACAGTAATCCTGACTGAACAGACTGGTCGCGGACCTATTTAGATGATCTTTTGATTAATGACGCAGTCTGAATAGTTTTTTAGACCATCTTATCTACATAATTACCCCCTTTCCTCCGGTGCTCTCTTATTCCCTCTTCTGACATTTTTTGTTCGTTTTTTGCAACGAAAGCTTATTTCAATTTCACATTATTCAAATCGGCAATCTCATTTCCTTCTGCTTTTGAGCTTCTTTGCAATTTCTAACTGTATAACGACTTTCTCATTCATTCTATTCAATTTCCGCTCACTTTTTTCTTATGACGTGTGATGGGAGAGTCTGCTCCAGCGTTTTTCTTCGGTTTCTCAGCTTAGCACACACACACACACACACACAAAAGTTTCGAGATTTGGAGGAGGCAGAAACGAATGCCCGGAGGCCTTGAACGACGAGAAAGTGGGCAGGGGAAAGAGTATTAGAAAGGGGACCTCTTGGCGCCCGGGCGCCCGGCGACCAAGGCCCGCAGGCATGGAAAGAGTCGGGCTACGGTACTTCTTTTGCTCACGTACACCATTTTATTGCTATGCTCATAGTTATGGGACTCCAATTATGCATTTACGAGTCGATTTTTTCTTTTTTAGGACTGCTCGTGGAGTGTGACAGCAAAATCGCCAGGACGAGGTGTACGCATTCATTTTTCGACGTTCAATATTGAATCGGAAGAAGGGTGTCAGTACGATTATATTGAAGTAAGAAACGTTGGAAGGGTTACGGTAGTTGAACAATCTACCGTAATCCTTTCTGAATCCTAGCTAATTGAAAACAACACAATTGTACAGATATATGATGGGTCAGAAGCCACGCCTGAACTTCTGATAGGAAGATATTGTGGAGATGCCATCCCGGAGCCCGTCACAAGTACTGGTAAGCAAGGGGCAATATGACAAGAGCACAAAAATACATAAATGTACCTTTTTGCAGGGTCCGAGCTCCTTCTGATCATGCATACTGACAACGCAGAAGAAGAGAAAGGATTCGTAGCTGAGTATCGGGAAGCCAAGAGATCCACAACTTCCAAACGGAAAAACCAGCTGCGAACTCGTCACGACCCATTCCAAGAGCCTATTCATGATCGACTCAAAGAATAGAATCATGAGATCACTTTTTTTCCAATTTTTCTTTTTCTTAACTGTATTATTCTCACTTTGCCGTTTCTTTCTCCACCGTTCGCTTGCAAACTGTCAGCTCAAACTTAATAAACTTTTGCAGGTAGTTTTCCGGAGCCACGCTGATTTCCCTACTCACTTCGTCCATTCCCGACAGCGAAATGGCCGATTGGATGGGTCGTCTGCCGCCTTCAATTCGACAGAAACCACTGTCCACTATCTGCATACCAGGTAAACATAAACAAACATGTTTCGGAAAAGGCAATTTTGCAATTTTAAGGTTCCCATGACACCGGTGCCTACTGGTTCAACATGCACATGGACTACGCCCATGATCAGTCGTTTCTGCGGTACATCCGTCGTTTCAAATGTGGCTTTGTGAAGCGCATTGTCAAGCGTTGGGCTGAAACTCAAGAGTAAGAAAATAAACGTTTACTTGAAAGTCAGCAGTGACCCTTTTTTCAGAAAAGGTGCTGAGAAACAACTTCTAGCAGGAGTCCGCTTCTTCGACTTACGCATTGAGCTGGCAATTGATGGCTCCTCCAATTCGGTACGCAAATCATTGCCCTTTGTTTATTTTTAGTGACATTCCTCTGAGCTGCCTAAGTTCAACCGTAAATTTTGAATATTTAGTTCGGCCCTCGTTTTCCCTCGGCTCTTTCCTACCTCTATAATTAGTTACAGTATTGTTTCAATGGTTTTTCCCTTTTCAGAGTCCGGATGGATCGACGATGGACGATTCGAGAAAGGTAGATGATCGAACCTACTTCAGCACGTTCTTCCTCTTCCTCTTCTTTATCCACCACTCATCCACGCACTCTTGTTGTCTGGTGCTTGTACCGCTTTCATTTCCGGCATGCGAAACTGTCCTGTTTTTCTGTCCTAACTGTCTCATACATACGTCTTACCGGCCTCATCTCACTATGTTACTTGTTTCAGTTGCAGTTGGGAAAGGGTCAGTTTCAGAGCTGTTTCATTGTGCACGGACTCTATGGAACTGATTGGCTCAACATGGCCAATGAGATTGTGAAATTCTTGGCTAGTCACCAAACTGAGGTGACATCTTGCACTGAAATCTTCTGGAATTCTGAAACTAATTTTATAGGTCGTGATCTTGAACGTGAACCATATGTATCGCATGACGGAGTACGATTTTCGTCGTTTCTTCCTCCACCCGCTGGCCTCCGCCGCCGGACGTGCTGGACTGGTCCTCTGCCCCACCTACGTGGACCTCCGAGCCATTTCTCTCGAGGAACTTGTGGAGAAAGGATTCCGGTGGGTGATACTCATCTTAAAGTTAGAATAAACCAACGACTTTTAGGATCATCTTGGTGGGACCCACAGAAGGTGACGTGGATGGCTGCTCCTTTCGCTCGGCTGCCATTCAGAACCGCTGGCCAAACAAGAACAACGTCGTCGATCTGCTCACCTTCATGCAGGCTCAAATTCATGCTCCGGTGTCTCCGGGATTTCGTGTCATGCAGGGCGTCTTGACCCCTACCTTGCGAGATATTGTAAGTTTAACAAACTCTTTTATTGAAAATTCATACATGTATTTCAGTTTGTTAACTGGCGCCAATCACTCAAACGATGCTACTCTATTCCTTGCCGTGAAGCTGTCAAGGAATGGGTTCGTCATCTGGACAAAGAGGAGCGGGAAAACCTAAACATTCTTATCTCTGACCAAATTGACGTTGATTTTTGTCGGATGGTATTCTCGCTCAACCTTGTCGACTTTCCGGATGTTGCCGATTTCTTCGCAAAGCGACCGAATGTAGAGAGACGTTTGGAGTACTCTCCTGAGCTGGAGCATTATGATTACGAGACCGTAGGCTCGTATCCAACTCCGCCGGAGTCCGACAAAAAGGGACGTGCATTCTTCCCAGAGATCCCAGAGGAAGATGAACCGGAATTTCTGATCGAGGAAATTATTGAGGATGATGGATCGTGCAGCTCACTTGTCCCACCGAGAAAACCGCTGCGCACAAGTGTGATGATCCAGCAAATCGAGATGGTCCTCGAGAAGAGACCGTCTTCGTCGCAGGAAACTTCACTGCTCACTGGTTCGCCATCAGCATCACCAATCCCGCCACCAAAACCTAAGCGCTTCTCGCAAAGGATACCAATTTTTATGGAGGTCGAGCCGATTCCCGATTACGCTATTCTGATTCCTCTGCCCGATGTTCCGACCGGACCAATCTCGCGGAGCACCGGTACTCCTGTCCGGATTGCCTTGCCGGTGACCGAAGAAGAGCTCCGTCTGGCGGCTCTCGGCGAGTACCCACCATTCGGCTCCCAAAGATGGTATGAAGAGCAGCAGGAGAAGAAGGAAGAAGAGAAGAAAACCGAGGAGAAGACAGATGAAGAGGAAGAGGAGGAGAAGTCTTCCGAGGATAATGAGTCGACTCCGCTGATTTCGGAGAGTTTGGATCACATGGTCGAGGATCTCGTCATCCATTCAACTCTTGACGCCATGAACAACTTGGCTGATCGATTCAAGGATGATTCTGCTAATTAATAACATTTTATCTGAAATTTGTATGTTTTCTCAAATTCTTTGCTGAATATGTATTGTAACCAATCCCGCTTGTAGTTTCCTGTTTTAGTCACCTTATTTCTCCTCTTATTCGCGTCTTTGATGTTTTCCAAAACCGTTCTACTTTTAACCTTTCTCTACCACAGTAGATACTCTATCCATCCCGAATCCTTTCTTTTCCGCCGACACAGACTTCCTTAGCCGTTTGAAATTCTTCAGAAACATTCCGGAATGTTTTCAAAAATTACAAAAAAATCTCATCCATCCTGTATTTTTCGACTTGTTTACATATTTTTCGTATGTGTCCCCTGTCCCTGTGTCAAGATTTTCTTTATTAGTGATCCGTCCCACAGTAGTCATGTTTGCTGGCGAACTTTTCTTACTTTTAAACATATTTTCTTTTATCTTTTTGGTCCGGTGTAGTTCTGCTTCCTTTGTTAGTGACATGCTAGTTGCCTAGTCCCTTCTTGATCCATATTTCTATGCGGTTCTGAGCAATATTTTATACATCTGACCCGCTTTTATCGCTCACGCGAGCGACGCATTATTTTGGATTTTTATCACTCAAGTCAATGTTACACCACTTCTTCCTTCGAATTTGATGTAGTAGATCAATTCTTGCTGAGGTGTGTGTTTGGTGAATAAAGTCAATGACAATGTTAAAATAGTTCCGACAGTTTGGGTCAGTGATCTCTGTGCAATTCGATGGAAGTCATTTAAACGCGCTCAAAAACAAGTGTACTGCACACAAATGAGTGATGTGTGAAAAGTAAACGAGACTTGAAAGCATCGGGTGGAAGTGGAAAAAAGTGGCAATGAGAATAGTGATCGTTGTTGCAATGATCGCCCAGACTAGACCCTCGTGAGGGGTCAGGGGGCGTCTTGCAACGGAAAAAAACGGGAAAGTACACAAAAGAGGATCATTGCTTCTTTGGAACTAATTGAGACGGAATTGCTAAGTAAACAAGGAATGCTAAAGTTATTTGTGTTATGTTGAGCATTGCCAGACTTGTACTAGTTTCCCGTTTCCGGTTAAAACGCAATTATTAAAGATGTTCAGTTTTGTCAAATTGGCATGATAACAAAATAAGGTCAAGTTGAACTGCTCAAAAATTCAAGTTTCTGAAAATATTTGAACACGAACGATGATGAAAAACAAGAAGAAGAACCGGAAAACTTATGTTTTCAGAAGAAGCTTTCCAAACTGACATTTATCTCCGTCTTCGTCTTCTTCTCCATCTCAAGTCTCACGCCTTCAGAACAATGATGAATAATTCAGCGATCACTTATCCCCCAGAGCATCTTGCTCATTTGCCCAAATCTTGTTTCGTCTCCACTTTCAGCCCAAATAGCCAATTTTTCAGTTTTACCTTGTTCAGCTCGCGCTCATTTCCCGACTCAAAGTGATCGTTCTCTGTGTCGCCCGCCCACAGTTCTTGCTTGACTTCAAAGAACATTTCCCAGGGTGACGCCGATTGAGAAGGGACCCCATATAAATTGGCTACGCTCTACTCTAGCTTGAACAACAAAACACTCCTCTGTTCCAGGGATATGTGATGTCAAGTTTGAAGCTGATCCTGTTGGTTTCTATCTGGCTCGGCGAACGAATTTTGCCGGTACAGTATCCCTATCCGAGGTTTTGTGTGTATTCCAATTGAAATCTTGGGCACTGCTGTAAGTCAAGAGTTACTGTAGATTAATTTCTTAAAATTTTACAGTCGAATTTCATTCCAAGCCAATCCAGACTAATCTAATCCGATCGGCTCAAACATCAGACCCTTTGAGAAAAATCTTAGCAAATTGATGCTAATACTTTTACAAGTTTTCCGGGGATTATCAAGTTTCAGTATCAATCCAAAAAAACAAAAACAAAGTCAATCATGTCGGATTACGATACATAATTAGCCGAAGACTCTAGTTTTTGCCATTTTCTTAGTTTCTTTTTTGTTTTCGCCTCTATTATGTGATGCGCATTCATTGGAAAAGTACTGAAGCAGAATATGTTGTAGCCTACAAGCTTTGATTTTAAAAGAACTGCGGCTCGAAAACCACTGACATAAAGCTTGTTCCTTTTTGTTCCGAGCTCATTCGATGTTCTGATCTTTCATCGTCATACTTCAGACAATCTTCATGTAATGCATTGAAATTAGACTATTCTGATCATCATAGTCGGAATAAGAATACATTAATCCGCTCAAGGTCTTGAGCGTCAGGTTGATAGATTCGTTTCGTTTCTTAGTTGGTTTAAAACTCTTGAGGTGGATGGAAAAGTTGCAACTTTTTGCACTAGACATGATATCAGTAGCACGGAAAATGAATCCTGAACCTGAAGTGGAAGTAGACTCTCTCGTTTTTGCAAATGATTCGAAACTATTTGCTGTGACGTGATCTCCTAGTTCATCACGAGTTTCCACAAATAACAGATGTCTCTAGAGTTTTTTCTTCGTATCACATCCTCCCACCTTAATTCTCACCTCCCTCAACTCCCATAGTGCTTTGATCTTTTACCAGCGGAGGAGAATTAGAGAAAAAGCAGGTGCTATGGAAACATCGCGATGGATTTATGAAAATAAGTGCATAAATATGTACGTACAACTTTTTTTATTATCCCCCCTCGCCATCTTAGATATTCCAATCGAGAAGTTTGTCTAATCCGGAGGTCGTGTGTGATAGGAGGCCATTATATCCATTTCTTTGCTTCTTTCTGCCATCTTGTCTTCTCTTTGCTCCAGAATCCCATTATCTCGCCGCGTGTCGACGCATTCTATTGCTGTTTCTCCGGCACATCGTCTCAAATTTATTCTGGTGTTTTAGGTTCAACGCTCATCCACGTTTTCTGCAAAAGTGAGTTTTGATAACGAACATCGTGTGTTCCATTATTGTAAAACCGTTGTTTCACTCAATTTTTATAAATGTGAAAATTAGCTGCTTAAATAAACTCTAGTTCTGCACGAGATCACATCACCGTTTCGCAAGTTCACTCGGAGCACCAGCTGTGTAGAGCATTAGCAAAATCTCACGTTCTTTTCCCGCTGAAACTTGAAACCAATGTCCGGTTTCAAAGGTCGTTTTCCCTGTTACTTTGTAATCTCACAGCTCTAAATGTGCGCGCACTTGCCGATTCGAAATGTATGTAGGCGTCGGAAAATTTTATGATTTGGAACAAATCTCTATTTTGCAGTGCTGGGACCGGCTGGCGCTCGCTCCCTCATCATTTTCTATTCATAGCCATCTTCCATCCACTCTTCTTTTTTTTTGCGTGGCGCATTTCCGGGTATTTGAGGGAAAGGGGAACAAGTGCGTGAGGAAAAGGCCAACGAATTAGTGGGTGCCGAGGAGAGAAGTGTTTTGGTTTGCTTTTTGCGGTCTAAGCAGGAAGTGAATTGCAATTCATTTCAATCATAGGTCAAACATTTTCATGCACTTGTGATCTGAGTGATGTACATAAATGCACTCATGATTCTTCCAAATCTTCAGCAGAACACACCTTTCCTTAAACCATTGAAGCCCCATCAATCACCAGTAAAGTCTTTAAAAATCCCTGGGAATTAGTTTTTCGTTTTTCGATTGCTTTCCCTCCACTCCTGCGTAACTACAGTAATCCTCAAAGGAAATGAAAGAAAAAGAGAGTCTAATTGACTTTTTTCCCGGTTACCCCCACTATCTGAAGCCGGAAATTGGCACACTTTTCTTTAGATTTAATGAGCAGAAAACTGTCTTCTTTTTCCTGTCCATCGGCTCGTTTTCTTTCTTTTTCTCCCCTTTTAACTAAAAAGACACTCAGAGCTTTTGGTTTTCTAAAAAAATGAAAAAGGTTTAGGAAAAATGTAAAGAGGGCGGCGTTTTGGCAAGTGTTTCCGAAATTACACAAAAAAAGGCACCGCAGAAGGAAGAGCGAAACAAAGGACGGCGAGGAGACGAGAAAAAAAAGAAGCCGCCGTCACAATGCATCTAGGAAATAATCCCCAGGCAAAACGTTTCTTTTATCCAGCACCTTTCCTTTTTTCAACATTTTATCCAGTGAATTTGGAAGATCAAACGCCAGATGAACGCGTCATGGGATGAGGGATTGAGCCAGTGTTGGCGGGCGTAAATTGATGCGTCACTTGCTCGATTTCTCTCAAACTTCTTTCCTCAACCGACTTCTCAATTTTTTTGAGAGCCGCAAAAGTTTCATGTTTTCCGATTCGATTTCCTTCAGAGTTCTCAGGATTTGGATTAAGTTCTCCTCTTTTGCCGGCAGAGATCTCCAATTTCAGTCCCTTCCCTTTTTCTATGACATGTCCGAAGAAAAAACGAAGAAAGAATAGAAAAGAGGTGGTGCACTTAAAGAATATTGGGCCAATTGTTGTTCCGGACCATGGAATTTGGTTGACTTCTCGAAAAACTCTTTTCGTTTTCCTTTTTTATGAGTTTTTCCTGCTTTCTCTCAGTTTTCTTCCAGTGTTATCAAGCGTCGCTGCCGAAAAAAACTTGTTTTCGGCAATTCGCTCCAGCTCCAGCTCCAACTCGTACATCAAATTAGACCGGACAACTGTTATTATTGTGGCACGGCCGGGGGGGACCCACTGGTGTCCTTATTCATTCCAGAAGGCTCTGGGCAGAAAGCAAGCAGGCCCTGCTTGCTTTTGCTCTCCTGCCATGCCTTCATTGCCTTCTTCTTTCTTTTGGCTGGAACAAAACTGGAAAACATCGTGTTTTTTCCTATTCCTCATCTCTTCTCTCGGGTTTGCCTACAGAATCTTCAGAAAAAAGGTTCTCTGGGGAATATACTAGCTGCCGGATGATCTGTAGCAAAAATGACCTCCCACATGTATATAGTTGTTTGAACAGCCGCGTACTTACATTTGAAGCCTGCCTCCCCCATGGCTTCTAAACCAGAGATCTCATTTCGCTCCATCCCGCCGACATTTTTGTTGTAATGTTTATTTTTTTGCTGTCCGAAAAGTGTGATTTATATTTATAAGCGTCAAGTTCGCTTTCTCACTTTTATTTACTCTGACATTTGCCTCAAACTGGACCGAATTTAGGCGCTTATTCACCTCTTTCTTATCAGTTCATCATTCTGATTTCGGAGCTAGGAATTGTGAATCATTTCGTTTAAAAGACCTTTCAACCTCAAACAGAGATCACTTTTTTCTTTTTTCCATTTCTACTTTCTTCTTGAGAGCAAAAGCAATCATAATCTCGTAGAAATGTGTGAAGCCAGCAAATCAAATCAAATTAAAAAGTAATCAGGTTTGCTGCATCTCCTTCTTTCTCTCCTTCTTCTTCTCCATCAATTTCTTGCTCATTACATCACATTCTTGTTTCGCCTCTTCGTCCGCGCCCGCCAAAAGTGATCTCTGTTTTTGGAGCTGCCGGGAAAAGACGGGATAAAGGAAGAAGACAAAAGAGAAATGCGTATGGATGAGCGGAAAAATGGAGCTTTGAGCTGAGCTGAGCACACCAGAAGAAGGAGGAGAATAAGACGAAGAAGCACTTGATGTGCGAGTCCCCATGGAGCACATTCACACCCCCACACATGTTTTTTTTTGAGGTTTTTTGTATTCAAATGTGATTTCCGGGTTTTGGTTGAATGTTGACATCGTACAAATGAAATCAAATTTTTCCGAAAAATTCGTTTCTTATGACGTAGTGTATGTAGGTTACTTTACTCAAAAAAAGGCTGGACTTCCGCTTCAGTGATTTTTCCGGGCTGCAAGCTTTGTTGGTCACTGGAACAGAAAGAACCCTTCTTGGGTCCAAGGACAACAAAACTTTGTTGGTTGGACAACTTCATTTTTTGTCAAGTTGAACCCTTCTATACGTCATCACCTTCGCCCACACTTTTTCACCATAAGCTCCTCATCGCACACTCCACTCCACTCCACGGAAATTGCAATGGTCTTCTTCTTCTTCTTCTGCTTCTCCTTCTTCTTCGTGTGAAAATTCGGTTGCATCTTCACGCTTATCCAAGAAAAAGATGGAGCTTCTGCAAGAAAGTTTGCATGTGTGTGTGTGTGTGTGGTTGTAGTTGTCCCGGTTCGAAAATAGCTAATCCATCCTAAGACGACGTTACCCTAGGTGGACGAGGAAAGTCCGGGAGAGAAAAACAAGGAGAAGGCAACGTGCGCGGTGACCACTCTGAAGAAACGAGCCGAACACAAAAATAAAGCTGCCTCCGACACTTACAAACACCCTCCTTGCTCGGCCACGATGACATCTTCAGCCGTCGAGTCGTCTTCTTCTTCCGATTCGTTTTTTGGCCGATTTCTCGACAAATTCCGTTCGTTTCTTTCTCCTTTTTTGTTTTTCGTTTGGGAATATCAGACTTGGAATTCCATTCCATTCTTTCTCCTACTTTTCCCTCTTTTCTAGTTTTCTTATTTAATTTTAGTCCGCCGCCTTCTCGGGCTCTCTATCCATCTTCTTCTTCAGACCCTGTCTTCACTCCGCCCCCCGCTCCCGACAACCTCTCGGTTTTTTCCCATTTCCATTTTCAATTTCAGTGAGAGAGTGCTCTTGCCTTAAAAAGAAGACAGGGTTGAGAGGCGGCAGCCGCCCAGTAGTCGTCTTATCTTCCACACCACGAAATATTCCACGTTTTGCCCCGCAACCCCCCAACCCCTCTTGCCACGCTCCTCATAAAAAATTTATGCCGTCTTTGCAGAGTCATCTTATCACATTTTTTGCTCGACGTCTAAACGAGTCTCGCCGTCGAAAATGACTGGGCATTGGAGCTACTGCGATGATGATGAGTGTGGTGAGTGCTGGGATTATCCCCTCGTAGATCTCTTGATGTTCGTCGTCTTTATTTGGAACATGACTTTTACAGGTCCCAACCGCTGGCCCACTGGTCAACATCAATCGCCGATTAACATTGACCTTGGAGAAGTGCAACGAAAGGATACGCATGATGGGATCAAGTTTGTGAACTACGACCATCCGATCCAAGGAGATATTGTGAACAATGGGCATTCCGGTTAGTGCTTGCAAGTCGGGATTACGTTACCATCACTTTCGTTCCAGTTCAAATGACGCCGGAACTTCGCTCCGAGCACCCGGAGATCTACGGCGGAGGCTTGGACCAGGTCTACCGTCTTGTCCAATACCACTTCCACTGGGGAGAGAATGACAACGAAGGATCGGAGCACACGCTCGGAGGGCTTCGCTACCCTGGCGAGCTCCATCTCGTTCACCAGGGAGTTGAGGACCCCGGCAAACTGGCCGTCGTAGGCGTTTTTCTCCAACTTGGAAAAGAAGGAAAGGCGCTGTCGAATGAGGAGCGTGTGCTTGGACAACTCCGCAACCCGGAGACTGTGACGCGTGTCACGAATGTGAGACTTTCCGAGAAGCTGCCCCACAATAGAAGATCGTTCTGGAGGTAACAAACAGCTACCGTAGCCCCAATAACATTGTGGCTTCAGATACGAGGGCTCGTTGACTACCCCGCCGTGCTCTGAGATTGTCACTTGGACCATCTTCACTGAACCGGTTGCCGTGACGCACGAGCAATTGGAGCTGTTCCGCCAAGTTCAGGACATTGAGAAACGTCCCATCAAGAAGAACTACCGTCCGACGCAAAACCTGAATGACCGAAAGATTGTTCACATTGTTGCCAACTGATTAGATGCCAAACTTAGAACTACTTAAAACCGCCAATTTTTTCCCAACCCGATGCCCCTCCCCCCCCGTTTTTATAGTAACTCGCACGTTCTGCCAAACTCTGTCTTTATCTACATTCTGTACCACCACTTCTCTGGCAATACTTTACCTAGATACTTGACACGAAAACCCATGGGTTCCTCAGCAATTCCAGTTTTCAAATAAACCTTTTTAGACTTTATCACTCGCTTCCATACGTTATCATTTGAACCTGAAATGTCTCGTAAATGTTGGTCGCAACACGTCACTCTCTTCACGCGAGTTTTGCCGCACGCCCGCCGGTGACTAATGTGCATGTCAGGATTTTGAATGAGAGATTGCTCAAATAAAAAAAAACAAGATGGGCGGTTGGGATGTGTGACACTGCGGAGCGGAAGCACGAGGAAGTGGATTTAGGGGTCCCCCGGGGGCTTTGAAAATAGTGAATTGAATTGAAATTGAGTTTTCGAAGGATGTGCTGCTACAAGAGGAGAAAAAACTAATTAAATTTCTTTCCTTCAGAGAACAGTCGAGTCAAACCAGTCAACTAGACATTTGTTTAAGGGTTCGTATGCCATAGAAGTTCCACTGGAGATCTTCACATGAACAGTGTCCTCTGAGCCAAATCATTCCTTTTTGAATTTGTGCATGGAACGGTGGCATTTCTCAAAGCTCTGATGATAAAAGTATTTTTTCTCCTCTGGTCTCTCTTTCTCTGAAAAGCTGAGTCGAAAACGTAGTTGAAGGTTAAATAGACGACTGAATGAGAAAATTCGAAATCAACTTATCAACGAAATCAACGAAATCAACTGTATATATACAAGGTGGTAACTCGTACAAAAATTAACATTTTTGTTGCGGCCATAGCTCAAAGTTATGTTCATTATCATGTTTTAAGAGGCGCTCCCCCAGAAAATCGACATAGTCACTACTGGTCATGGCACAAAAAATCCAGATTGATCCTATTTGTCCCATATTATAACCATGAGGTTCTCCCATGACACTGACACTCAAGAATAATATTTGGTCCTGCTCCGCGAGCCCTGGTCGAAGCACTGGCTCATATTTTTGTTTGGAAACTAGTCATGCGGGTGTAAAATTGTCTGTAGAATCCGAATTCAACGTTCTTTTTTCGGAAAAAAATTCAAATATTTTCCAGAAAATCGAGTATTTTCAAAAAATTTTTGAAAACGACCACAAATCAATTTTTTCTCTATGAATGAGGGGTACTAAATTATTGGTCTCAACATCAAATATGCTCAAAAAGATGCGAGAAATCAAATGGCGTTGAGCCTGAGTCGACAGGATTTTTTTGAAAAAAGTTACAGTTTAGAGGTACTTGGAGCCAGTGCTCCGACCAGGGCTCGCGGAGCCGGACCAAATATTATTCTTGGGTGTCAGTGTCATGGGAGAACCTCATGCTTATAATATGGGACAAATAGGATCAATCTGAATTTTTTGTGCCATCCGCTTTTCGAGTTTCTCAGGAATCGCCTCTTAACTATTTTGCCAAGTTTCAGACCAAACTGTTTTGTTTTAGGCAAATATCACCTATCGCCAGAAACGAGTACATACATGGCGGTCGTCACGGCCATCTTTATTTCTCTGCAAAATAAATTCAGGCGACATTTGCCAGTCGTCACACCATGCTGGGAGCGTATCCAGATCTTCTTGGATGATGGACTTATCCTTGGAGAAAAACAAATCTTGCGGACCACCGTTTTGCATTTTACCAATCAAGTTGTTTCAATAAGATAAAAGTTGCATCATATTCAAATCAATATTACTTCTTCAACTTTCAAAAATTCTACAAGATGTTCGGCCGAGTTTTTTTGCGAACACTCATGCAAATGCGCTCCGCTGATCACTTCGTCTCTGCAACTTTTCTTCCTCTCTCCCTCGCGACCTCTTGCTTCAAATCACGAAATATTTGAATTTAGAAAGCGCGTTGCTTAGATTAGCACGTTTTACTCACTTTTATTGCAATAATCCCGTCATCCCTTCTCAGATACTGAAATTTCCTATTCATAAAACGCAAAATCCGTATATAAGTTCAAGTTATATACAGAATGCCAACGGGATTCGTCACCGCAAAAATACCCGAAGAAGTAGACAAGCCATTCTGTCTGGCTTTCCTTCATAAGGTCGGCCTGAGTAAGTATTAATGTAGTTAACCTACTGGTACTTATTTCATTTTGCAGTTGGTCAGGTTGGCACCAGCTCCCTCATATACGCGAATACCGAGCGCCAAGTTGTCGATTTGATAACAACACTGTCTGCCGAAGGCCTAGATGTCCGCATGCTGCACGGGTGAACATTTTAAAATGTCGCTTGAATGAAATTCCAGTTTTTCAGGGGCCTCTCTTTGTCAATGTTCAAAAAAAATTTGAAAGACTTCCGTGAAGGAAAGTGTCCCATCCTAGTTCTGACAGACGTTTTGGACGGGGCTCTCGTCTCTCCGAACGTGAGCTTAGTGGTGCTGTACGATCTGCCAAGACGAGAGCAAGAGCTCGGTAACAGGATCAAGCAAATTGGAACAAAAGACGGCGACGTTTTCTGCTATATCGACATTGAAAACGAGTCGGACCGTCGCCTCACCCCAGCGCTGGTCGAGCGGATGGGCCATCGCCAAGCTCCTGACTGGCTGCTTCATATGGCAGAAAGACAACGTCAGTTCTTGGATAACCAGTCAAAGCAGGTGTGCTGTTGCTATCATTGTCCGAACCTAACGGAAATTTCGGTTTCAATGCTGAAAAAAGCGCTGAAATCGGCTGAAAAAGAACAAGCGAAAGCGGAAAACAAGTTGAAGGTGAATGCGATTTGTTTTCGATATCATCACTATGATCTTTGCAGGCTGCTCGTGAAAAAGTTCAGACTCTCAGAAATTTGCTCTCTATCAACTGATCAATTATTGTCTTACTGTCTCTCGTGTCTTTTGCCTTTTACAAGTTTTTCTTTCTCCATCTTCTATCTCCATTACTTTTTATCAAGCATTTCTGAAACACAAGTGGGTTCACCAAAGGGTTGGCTTGTCGACCATTGTCTTCAAATGCATCAATGCACTTAATATTCCAGGCAAAATCTATTGATTTGGTTGTACCTTTCGTTTTTTTGTCTCATTTCAATATGTTTTTACTGCTATGGTTGTACACACAATATGTTCTCCCTTTTTTGATGTCACTTCTACTATTATTCCGTCAATAAAGTTTTTTATCAATAAACCAAGCTTCCAATATATATATGTATATACCAGGCTGAAATTTATCGAATTGGCTCACTCGCTGCTTTTGATTTTATTATGGACAAATAACTGCCAAAATAAACATAAAAAGTGTTGACCAATCTCAAATAGAATGGGAGGAGAAGTAAAGCGAGTGAGGAACTTTAATGGAAACAAAATATTCAGTGTATAGAAAATGAAAAAACGGAGAAAAGGTTGTGAAAATTGTTGGCGGGACACAATGACAATTATGGACGAGGGTATTTCGTCGTTATTCCCCTCGGCGTTGACGTCCTGCAACATTTATTATTGTTTTCTAAAGGTGATTAAAGAAAAACTGACTTTGTACTGCTGCCATACGAGTCCGCCAGTCCGGGGCTTGTTGGTGCCCGATCGACTTGACCAGTGCAGAGGTGAGCCACCGGTCCGACTCGTTTTTGAGGTCCACGAAGCAGTGAACGTTGCCTTCTGTTCTTCCAATCTGTTCGATCCTATTGACGAGCACTCTCTCTCCCCGTGAGCACGATTATTGACAGCTTTCCCTCACGGAAGTCTTTTTGAATTTGTTTGAACCTTCCTGTCGATTGTTTTCAATCAACGTTTTCTTTTCAGGATCGAAAATCCACCACAAGCCACTTCAACGCCGACGAAGAATCATCGCTCTGACACTCGATTTGGAACTGTGCACAGATACGACGAATTCGATTGGTTTGAGGATGATAACATGTTCCGTAAACCATTCAATCCGCCAAAAATTGAGAAGCCAAAGGCTTCACCAGGATCCGGTTCGGCCGAGCTGGCCTTAAAAAATCCAGAGCAAGGTTTCAGCTAATTATGTTCTCATTGTAAGAATATCGTTTTTTTGTCAGGAAAACTATGAAGAGTTTGATCAGAGACATCTTCGGAAGCAGCGTCAGCGACAGCGACGAGGATACAAATCTGAAGTGAGTTTTCTCTTGAAGGATTGCATTTCATAATTTATTTCAGATCCGCCGCTCATTCGTCGCTCTCCCCCTTTGCCTCACTCCTCGACACGTCGGCCAGTGCCCAGGACCATCTTCCGTTACACGACGTCTGACTGCGGACTTCTATCGCCTCCCGACTCCTACTGCTTGCCGCCGTCGCCGTTCATCAAGCTCAGAGGAATCATCATCGTTCACCCAACAGCAGCCGACTTCGTCTTCTTCGCGACGACAATCGCTTCACCGTTCTGCGAAACGCGCCCACTACATTCCCGATGATTCAGACGACTCATGTTGATTTTGCCCTCTCAACAGTTATGTGCACGATCTTCCCCCGCACCGTTCTTCTCGGAATGTTATAAAGTTATTAATTAAAAAAATTGGGATCGATCAAGATGTTCTTACATATCACAATTGTAAAATCAAACTAGAAAATTTCATTGACAGTTCTGTACTTCCTTTTCAAAATGGGATGAAATGAGAACAAATAATTTATAAGTGATGGGCGTATACGAAGTGCGATAACATAATCGCTGTGATTCAACTCACTTCATTTTTCCTAACCGAAAAACCGATTGTGCCTCTTTCTCTCTCATTAATTGCCAGCGGAACGAGTTAGAGATCGAGTATCACCACAGACATTAGACCAAGCTTCTCGAGATTTATCGCTGAACTGATCTGTCCAGTGCTTGATGAAAATCATGGGGATTGAATACATGCTGAAATCAGTAAAAAAAAAATTGACCAATGCACCATGTTGTCGGCCTGGCGAGTTGATTTACCAGTAATCACTTGACTAGGGAAGACACTAGAACTGATTGCGTCACAACACTTATTGAGATGTAATAAAAAAAATACACTGCTTTCGAAATGTATTCCCTAGTTTTCAACAAGACTATGGGGGATCGATAGACCCTTAAAAAGGTAATAATGACCACTTTGGGATTTTCGGACTTTTTTCGGTCGATTAGCAAAACATATATCTCCCAGGTGTTCTCCACTCACTTCCAACGCTGGAACGTCACATTCTACTACGAACCGTGGTCCAGTGTGTAAATTCGAATTGAATCCGAATTTTTATTCGAATAAAATTCGAATTATTATTCGAATACTATTCGAAATAAATTCGAATAGTATTCTTCGAATTACTATTCGAATTAAATTCGAATAGTAATCCGAATAAAATTCGAATAAAATTCGAATAGTATTCGAATTAATTGTGAAGAAAATTCGAATAATAATTCGAATTTAATTCGAATTTAATTCGAATTATATCCGAATGATTCGGATATAATTCGAATTTCGTTCGCGAAATTTCGGTAATTTTGGAAAGAAGGAGTTCTCTTGCCTGCAGGTAAACTTTATGGCATCGATAACAACAACAAGAAACCGGTATCAACAGAAACAAACCAGTAACAACAAAATTCTTAGAAGATGAGATGACAAAAAAAATAAAATAAATCGGTAACAGAAATGGAGTCGTAACGAAAAAAGAGATACAGAGAAGATGGAGAAATATATTTTCGCAATTATTCCTCCTGGACGTCAGCGTCGTCCATGATGTCTTCGCTGTCGTGTTCCAAATCCGCGTCCGGAATGAGCTCTTCTTCGGCCATATCTTCCGGCGAGTTTTCGCTTTCCATGCGAACCATACGACTGAGCATGTCTTCCTCGCAAAACTCTTCTTCTTCTCCTTCATCACTTTCCATCAACTCCTCAGTTTTCGCGTCGTTTTCCCTGAAAAAGTTTCATCGGACGTAACTGGGGGGGTAGAGTATAAACGTACTCCTTTTTGCAGTTTTCGGTGACTGTCAGCGTTGCGTTCATGGTGTCCAAAGTCGCTCTGTTGCGCTTTGTTTGACGAATGAAGTCGGTGCATCTGCTGCAAAGACCACATTATTGATTAACTGCAGTAATGCCTGAATTGCTACCTGAATGTGCGTTCGGAGCAAGAAGACGATGCCGGGCTGGCCAGGAGCTCCGCGGCGATGACCGGCAGCTTGGAGTAGTTGTCGATTTGGCTTCTCCAGAAGCGGAGGACGTTCGTTTCGCGTGAAGGCCGGTTTGTGGAGAGATGAGCCTTGTATCTGGCCAGTTCGGCCTCAAATTAGTAAGTGCACGTCAGTAACTACATCTAATTCTTCACTCACCCGCAAACCGTGCGCTCTATCCATTTTCGCGCCGCTCTGCTGCGATGCGAATGTATCAAAATCTTCGGGTTGTATTGCATTTTCGTCTCCCTCATCGGACGCAGCTCCATCGTCTTCGCGGTCGTACTTCTCCAGCCACGTCTCCACATCGGTCCACGAATAGGGCTCCACCCATTTCGCCACGTAAGCGTAACGGTGATCGAGAAGCATGGAGCAGTACAAGCGCTTCGTTGAACGAGCTTGTTCGAATCTCTTCTCAATGCACTTAGCCAACTGTCTTGCAAGGCCCGAATCGACGGAACGTGTTTTGTGGAGGATCCAAACAATATTGGGAATTGTTTCGGAAATAAATGAAGAATCACGTTCCAGCTGCAAAAAAGTAATAGAGTTGCATAAGTCCAGTCGCCGTACCAGAAGGATTGCGTCGTGAATTGGCTCGAGCAGATCCACAATTTCTCGCATGGTGTCCATCTTGTTCGATTGGATGAGGAACAGCTTGAGCGGGGCCACGTTTTTAAGCGCGTCGTAAATGTCCACATAGCTCTTCAAGGTGATGTGAAGCGCCGCCCATCTGGTCGCCGGAAGCGGAAGAGGTAGAGCAGCTGTGATGTTCATTCCAACGGCAATTCTGTAAAAAAATTTTCGCTAAGTCCAGTCTTGTACGGAATTCCTACTGCTGCAGGCATCGCTTGTGCTCCCGATTCTTTGCGAGATGAGTGGCCAGTCCCTGGGCGGGTTCGTAGTACTTCCTCACTTGCGCAAGTTTGGCGAATTCGGCAATGATGAGATTGAGCATGTGACACGAACAGTGATGTCTGCGAAAAGTGCTTCTGTTTACATCTCTTTTGAATCACAAACGTACTTATCTGTGCCGTGAACGTCAGCCAGTTTAACGAGCGGACTGGCGCCATCCGCCGTGATCATTGAGCAATCCGACATCCTTAAACCAATTTTTTCGAGAACATTAGTGACTGCTGCACCGATGGCCTCCGTAGAACCGGAATCAACGGTTTCTAGGCTAATGAACTGGAAATAGAGTGGCTATCAATAAGAGCGTTATAGGGGCTGTTAACCTTGATGTGGCGGTGGAAACGGTGGTCGACATATGCGACGTGCACCGCGTAGAAGTGCAGACCTCTGCGCAATTTCGAATACCCGTCGGTTAGCAGCGTGAAGTTCGCGGCTCCGTTCAATTTCACTTTGACCTTCTCCATGTGCTCCGCCGCTTGTACGTCAATCAAATGTTTGAGTCGGGCTGGCCCAGGAACTTGGAACGCGATTGGCTTGGATTGAAGAAACTTCAAAAAGGACGGGTTTGCCACCGCTCGAAATGGAATCAACGAAGTCGCGAACCAGCTGCAAATCGTTCTCGTTTTATTTTGCTCACTCAAAAACAGCTTACTTTGCGAGATGACGTTCCGCCGCGGCAGCATTCTCCGAAGAGCTCGTCTCGTGCTGTAAGTGTTCAATGATCTTACGCTGAACATATGTCTTCTAAACCCACGAAAGCCATTTTCTCGTAACACTAATCGTGCTCCACGGCGACCAAAAACGTAGAAAGGGGCGTGGCCTAGCGTGCACGGTTTATCACCATTTTGCCGCGAAATTCGAAATTTAACCCCATTTTTCATGTTTTTCGTCAAAAATAACCCAAATTTTGTACTATTTTGACGATGTGATTGCATAACCTTGTTAAACTAATCATCGCGCACTTTTTGAGCTTAAAACGAGCAGGTTTCATTCAGAAATGATTCAATTGAATCGATTTTAAGTTTTTTTGCTGAAAATGCGCAAATTTCAGTCATTCGCCGATACTTTTTGTCGTTTGAACGCTTAAAATACTTGTATTAACGTGCTTAATCACTTCCGACACTCACTTCGTCTCAAAACTATCCAGATCGGCCGGTATGAAAATTCCGAAATTGCGGCGGCGATTGGCCGCGGAGAGCGTATTGCGAAATATGCAAAAAACGTCTCAAACGCGGCGTTTTCACGAAAATTTCCATGTTTTCTCTCTTTAATGTCTTCTTTCGTCGATATCAAACACAAAAATATCGGAAAAGTGCTGAAAATGCGGCAATTTTCAGAAAACGCGTCTCAGATTAAACCACGCCCCCTTCTACACTTTTGGTCGCCGTGTGCTCCCCTATCGAAATATTGAAAAAAAAAGAGTTGAGCACATTGCTTACCTCCTCTTTTTCCTCCCCAAGTTTGTTCCAAATTTCGGCATGCTTCGTTTCGCAGTGCGTTTTCAGTGCACTCGTCGTTCCTCCGTACGACAAGCTCATGTTGCACTTGGGAATCGGACAGAGCAACCTTGCGGGAGGCTTCCCAGGTGGCTGCTCGAAAATGAGCCACACATCGGACGCATTTTTTCTCTTGGCTCGCGTTTTTGCAACTGATGATTTACGAGGCATACCTGCAATTATTTTTGATTCGTATTCATTATGTCACTTCGTAAATGACTGAAAATTCCACGAAATTAGGCAAAAACCGAATAAAAACAAAACAAAACATAAAAAAACAACGAAACAAATTTCCAACGACACTCCGGAATTACGTCGCCCCCTGTTTAGCGCCTTCGGATTTAAATTCGAATTTTCTGCGAAATTCGAATTAAATACGAATAGTAATTCGAATAATAATTCGAATTTAATTCGAATTTTGCAGAAAATTCGAATTTAATTCGAATTTAATTCGAATTTCGCAGAAAATTCGAATATAATTCGAATTAAATTCGAATTATTATTCGTATTTAATTCGAATTTAATTCGAATTCACCAAATATTCGAATTTCAAAATTCGAATTTACACACTGCCGTGGTCGTACGGAATGCTCGCCGAAGGCTTCCCGCTATACCTCGGAAATCCCGTGAAACACGTTACTCACCCATTCGATTGATTACGACACTCCGCCGTTTTGACCTACGTGACCTGCGCCGGAAATCTCTTTCTCTGCGTCTCTCGGCCGGGGGTCCCCCTCGCCGATCTCGATCGATTCATTTTCGCTTCCGGTCCGACCGTCGCTGTTGGAGTCTAGACAGAATTGGAATGGATGACCAACGCAACGAAGAGAAGATCGGAGACTCGCATACAACTAAGTCAGGTGCGTAATTCAACTATTCAATTATCGCCAAGAAAATTAACGGGATCTATTTTTTAAGCCGTTCACACAGAGGTAAGTGTGCCTTCTTTGTAGGTATCGCCAAAATAAGTGATGAAGATGATTATCGCCAAGAAAATTAACGGGATCTATTTTTTAAGCCGTTCACACAGAGGTAAGTGTGCCTTCTTTGTAGGTATCGCCAAGATAAGTGATGAAGATGATTATCGCCAAGAAAATTAACGGGATCTATTTTTTAAGCCGTTCACACAGAGGTAAGTGTGCCTTCTTTGTAGGTATCGCCAAGATAAGTGATGAAGATGATTATCGCCAAGAAAATTAACGGGATCTATTTTTTAAGCCGTTCACACAGAGGTAAGTGTGCCTTCTTTGTAGGTATCGCCAAGATAAGTGATGAAGATGATTATCGCCAAGAAAATTAACGGGATCTATTTTTTAAGCCGTTCACACAGAGGTAAGTGTGCCTTTTTGGTAAGTCAGAAAACGATTAATTGCACGAGTTGTTGCCCTAATTTCACCGTAAAAGCGTGATTGCATTTTAAAGTTTAGGGTTTTTATTTACTGCTTATACATATTGAAACATGTGTGTTTGCATGTCTGTCGGTTTTTTCTTCTTCTCCCACTGGACCGATCACAGTTCTTTTTTGAGGAATCATGCGACCAATCACTAAAGCAATGAGAGAATCTTAATGGTTTCGCATTGACATTTGTGTTCTTCTCAACAGGTTTCTAGAAGTGGCGGGAGAGAAAACAATTTTAGAAAAGTAAATTCAACATAATTTCGCAACTTTTATAGGCTCCAATCGATCGATTATAACGCGGATGATGAGAGTATGGATTCAGTTCGAAATTCGAAGATCGCCGATTTCAGGTGTTTATTTATTGGCCAGAAGTCACCGTAAAAGCGTGCCGGCCTGTTCCGTTTAGATTATCAGTTTTCTCGACTATCTTTGCATGGTCGTGATCGAGTATTATGGTCAAGTTTTTTGCAGACTTTTCAGGAAAGCGTGGGGCGGGCGCCGAATCGTAGAACGTTTTGATGAAAGTGCAAGATTATCGGCCGACAAGCACGAAGATCTCTTTGTTCGAGTGTACCTTCAGAGTTCAGAATACTGAAAAATAAGTGGGCATCGGACAACTTGAGGGATGACGCCGACAGTTATTTGCATTTGCGTGTTTTCGGCAGACGTCATCAGGATCGTCCAGGACTTTGAAGCATGGGCTGAACTTTCAGTTATCGCGCTTTTCGGTCGATTCATGAAATGAATGCCGTTTCAGTACTGGTGATTTTTTGTGAGAGTGCAGTGGAGAGAGAAAAAAATTCGGGTCCCGTCCCGTGAACTGTCGGCAGCTTATTTCGCCGGCCGGCGGAATTTCTAGGGATCACTGCCAAAACTGCTTTTTTCGAAACATGACTGCTTGTTCGTATTTTTTGTGCCTCTTTGTAAGTTTTCATCATAATGAATTCATTCCCAAAAAATCAAGTGATTTAACTATTTAAGATATATCTCACGTGTTTTTCACGCCCGTGTTCCATGGCAACCCACACGTGTTCACAACATTTCCCTCGGCTCTTTCTCTACATCATATATGTATATTTTTTTTTTGTGTGCGAAATGTGTTAGCGACTTCTCTCTTCTCATTAATTTCGCTCGCTGCTTTCTTTGTTATCTGATTAAAAAAAGTGAAAATCACTATTGTCTGTAGACTGCAAATACTGCCTCTCAGTCATATTTTGCCGTCTGTAGCACTTGTTTTCGTATCCCATCTATATCTACACCACGTGCTCTTCATTTTGCTTGAAATCACTTTTGAAAAAGCTCTCTCTACCTCGTATTTTCAGGTGAATATGAATCACGAGTGCCTCAAAATGGTGAGGGATAGAAGAGAAATGCTGGAAGCTAGAATTGGTACGTTTCAAGTTTGCATTCAGTTGTAAGTGTTGTATGATTTTCAGAAGAACTTCAACTTCAAATAAGCCGTCTCGAAGAAGAAAAAGAAAAAGATCCTAAAAAGTTTAGCGCCAAGTATAATAGGTGAGAACGGGCGTCGTAAACTTATAATAAGTGTGAATAATTGTTGAACGTTCAGCTCTTCGCCAATCTGCTCGTCTCCAGTTCCATCACCAAAGGCCCCGTCTATCGAGAAATACGGATTTTATTGCCTTGCGTACCCCAAAATAGGTTTCTACTATGGAACCCCAAACAGGTGGGATCAGCATTGAACTAACATTTCAATTAATTATTTTCTGCTTGCAGGACCTTTTATTTCTTCTTTCCTAAATGGTTATGTTTCTGGAGAGATGCGATGATCACTGGCGGAGCCACCGTGGATTCTGTGACGTATGTTTGACATCCTACTTGAAAATTGAAAGTGAAATGTTGCTTTTAGAGTGGAATTGAAGGAAAAAGAGAAGGATTCCCAGCGAACCGAAGATTTGCATAGACAAGAAGAAGAAAAACAAAGAGCCCTATGGATGTCTGAACGCGCTGGTCAGCCGATTCATAAGAACTGGGGCTGGCTGCAGAGTGTGATTTCTGAAAGCAACTCGTCGGACAGCCAAGTAATGAAACAATGTTTATATATATATAAAGAAGTTCACATATTAACGTTTGCAGTTACAAATCTGAGAATGACCCAAAATAAAGAAATTGCATGTGAAGTAACAGAATGATGCTCATTGAAGAGTAATCAATACGTAAAAAAAGAAAATGTGGAGAAATATAATGTGCAGCGGAGACAGATTGAAATTGGAGAGAAGAGAGGCAAAAAAACCAAACTGGTGTAATAAAGAATGATGGAAAACGTAGTGGGTGGTCTGATGGAAGAAATGAAAAACTACTAACTTCTGAACGGGGACAAACTCTCAAAACTGGGAAAATTAAATGACCGAAAGCAATTTGAACTGAAGACGAACATCACTCCCATTCTTCTAAAATTATGATATCAGTCAGACGTATAACTCTCACTTCACACTCACGTTCTTCCTCTGGCATATCGGCTTCGAGGCGTCGGATTTCTGCGGTTCGTGCTTTTTCTGAAACACATGTGTTTGAAAAGTTCAATGGAGGTAAACAAACCTAAGGCCAGCTTTGTCATTTTCACACATGTCACTGCCCGCTGTTGCATACATTTAAGTCTCTTTGTGATAGCTTCCGGAGTTGGTAACTGTTCGTACGGTTCCGATTCAATCCATTTACAAATGAAGAAGACGAGCCGATAATTAACGGTTTCTTCTTTTCCGTAACGACTAGTGATCGTTGAAACTTCTTTCTTTGCGAATTTGCATCTCCATTTAAATGTTTCCATGGCTACGACTGCATTGCCGTCTGGCAGATCGAAGTGGACAACTTTCGGAGCAACCGGCATCTCCACGCCTACCGAGGCTTTGTCTGTTGTAATGATGATCCGATACGTTCCTTCTTCGAATAACCGTATTATTTCTTTGTTCTGGTTCATCGAATTCAATTCACTAAAAACAGGAATATGATTAAGAAAGCAGCACATATATATTTCTAACCTGACCACGACGACCGTTGTGGAGAATTGCAGATAGTTCTGAAGTTCTAACATCTTCATCTCCGAGTTGGTGAAGACGATCGCTTGCTCGAGTTCTCCGAGATAAAACTTGTTCATATCGTCTGAAAGGAAATTCTGTTTTCGCCATTTATTGAATTGAAGTCAACTTACAGATGTCCAGAGTGTTCGCGAACGTTTCCATCTTGTTCATCTCGCCCCCAGAATGTGACCAAAGGGGGTGATCGAATGACACTCTTGGAATTTCTTCTCGTATTCCATAATGCACATACATAGCATGGATTTCTCCTTTCATCGGCTTCATGATCTTGTCGGCAAATTTGGTCAGTTTTTTGAAAATTCTTCTTGTGATGATGATCACTTGTACTCCATCGAAAGCCTTTAGAAACTTGTAGGAGCCCGTGATTTGCTTGATCGTCGGCTCCTCCCTTCCATACCGGGGAAACATCAAGCTTGCGCTATCGATCATCAACACGTCGAGATGATCGAACACGAGAAGCTCTCTGTTCATCAGTTCCAGTATTCTCTCACACGTCCCGACGAGAATATCGCAATTGTTGAAGATAGTATCTAACGTGGCTTCCGAGTCCTCGCCGGTCTCGATGTGAGAGGTGATGGCCATCATCCGGGACAGAGACCGGAGCTGGTCGAAGGTGTGTTGAGCAAGCTCATTTGTTGGCAGCAGGATCAGAGCGATCGGATTGATGGCAACGTTTTGGAAGTTCACATTTTCTTTGTACTTCTTCACGCGTTGGAGAATAGCAATTAGTGCACCGATCGTCTTTCCTTCTCCCGCCGGCGCATGCACCATGACGTCACATCTGTGGCAGATGTGCGGAATTGCCGCGCACTGAATCGGCGTCGGATATCCGAATCCGCACTCTTGGATGCAATCTTGCAAATCCCCTTCGACGCACTCCCAGGTCGAGATGCGCACATTGCACACGGGATTGTCCACCAGCACTTCCGCTTGTCTGCAGAACAAACTTTAAGTCAATTTAAAATGTATTTGTATCTCTGTACCTCTCTTCTTGTTTCTCTTGCTGATTTACTTTCGAATTTACCACTTGTGGTTGATAATCTTCGTAACGACCATTCGAGATGGGAAGAGACGGAAGAGAAGTAGAGAAACACCATTCAGAATTAGTGGTCTCTGCAAAAAGTGTTATACATAGAAAAAAAGCACTGAAAAACATCAATACTCGAGTGCTTACCTCGAAGCTCTCTGTCCACAAAGTTCGTCAGGTTTACGATTCCATGCTGGTTGTGGTCTCCTGAATGAAAGTTTCATGAAAACTTATAGAAATTGACGTTACACTTTTTTTGTTCCCAGTCTTTTTGCTCGGTTACCAACCAACCTAGGGAAGAAAGTACCTACTTAGAACTCACCATGCAACTCTCGATATCCATTGTTTGTACCATCACCATGTTGAATACCATTTCCATTGGGAATCCTGTTTTGGTACGCTAAAATTTGTTATGTTTACAGTACTAGAACAAAAGGAATGAAAACTCACTAATCGGCACGGGAGTATACGTCGGATTGTAGTGGTACTCATCGGAAAGCATGGTAAGTCGTGGATATTGGAAGGAATGATGTTCGTTAAGACGCTGTGGCTGATGACCATTTCCGCCCTGAGGAGTGCGGAATACTGAAACAAACGTGGGACTAATAGGATGCGGAAACAAAAAGTCGAGGAGTCGCAGTTATTTACCGGCAGGTTGTTCGTTATTCAACGAACGCTCATCGTTGTCTCTACCTCCTCTAGTCCTGTTCTGTCTCTCACTCGAAGAGCATTCTTGAAGAGGTTCACGTTGATTAAATCCACTCATTGTTATGTATTCTTGTTTTCCGCTGGCTCAATCTAAAAATGAAAACTGAAAACAACATGATTGGAATGGAGCAAATGATATCAAGTCAAATGACTAGAATGCGTATTTTATCGAGTTATTTTTGGAATGATAGAGGATAGAATAGCAAAGCTATGAATCTCACCTCAATTTTTTGTCTTGCTGTCACAGATGTTCACTTCGAGGTCAAATTTACTCTGAAAAGAAAAAGTACTTGCATATGAATATCAGAAAAGAACAAGGGATATATAAAAAAGTACATTCAAGTAGCTTATGGGCTTGAGGAGGAAACAAAACAAGTTTTTTTCCAGATAACAGGAAAAAAAGATTTTCTACTCGTAAATCCTGTTAACCGCTCTGAGACCAGCCGCGAATAATCGGAGAACGTTTTATGCGGTCACTAAACGGAATCAGTCCGTGCTCCATTCCGAATACACTTCCTCAAAAAGACTGCCGCATTCAAAGCGGAAGAAGGGAAAAGATAAAGTGTTTTCTCGCGTCTTCCTTTATGCGAACATAAAAGGACGGAAAGAATATGGGCGAGAAACGATATGGGTGATGGAATTTCTCTTTCAAGAAATGCTGGGAGGTTTGGCAGTTGAGTTTTGAAAACAAAACGGGTTATAGAGCTAATATGTACTAGCAAATCAATTACTGGCGCCAGAAACCGAACGAAGTAATGTGTTCATTACTTTTTGATGCCAAGGGACGTATCACATCATTACAAAAAGATGATTACAAATGGTTCATTAATAATCTCTTACTCATCCATCACTTTTTGTCGTTTTTGCCATGTACAGTTGCTCAGTTCCTTCTGTTATCGAACGTTTTCCGGCTCTCGGGAGCACTCTCCGATACTGCTCAAACCCCGTTTTCCAATGTCGTTAACCGCAATAATCTTTTCCCTTTTCAAAAAGACTCGTGATTTCTTTGTCTGAGTAAGTGTGTCACTATGAATGAACAACGCAGAGAAAGCAGCGTGGAGCAAGGAGCATAGCACATCGCCATTTGCATATCGATCCCTTATTAGATGGTTTTCCGGGTGCCGCTGGCATCGCAGGTCTCGCTGTTCCCCTCCCTCTCTCTACTTTACGTGATGTTCCCGTGGCGCCGAGCTCTGCTCGCTTAGTGCGTTCCCATGTTCATCTCGAGCGTCTTTTCCCTTATCATGCCCGAATTTTTCCCAATTTCAGGCAAAAATGGGTAGCCGTGAGGCCAGATGGCTTTTACGAAACTTGCAGCGGTCCGTGATGCTGGAGGAAAGAATTGGTGAGTGGAAATCTCGAAATGAACAATTTCAGAGGGGTTTTAGAACAACTTGAGCAGAGACTCTGTGAGCTTCAGTTGGGAGCACTTCAGGTGTCAGATAAAACTGAATCTGGAGCCAACGAGTCAGCTTCAGAGCCAAGGTAAAAAAAACGTTCGAATACTGCAACGCATGTACCTGACTCGGCTCAATGCACTCGTGTTGAGTGTCAATTTTTCAATCTGCCCGTGCCCGTCAAAATCAACGGCTTGTAAGAGAGAAGAGAATAACTGACATGCGTAATAATAACTTTTTAGAGAATATGTCGCTGTCCCGGCAATCCGCAACGGAAACGTTTATGAACCGGATTTTGAGTAAGTTTATCTTCATGTTTTTTTTCAATTTCACATTATGTTCTTTGCAGCTGGTTCTTCAAGCAGTACGGATACCGTGATTAAGTTAAAGAGGAAGTCAAGACGCCTTCCACCAGCCAACCGAAGAAATCGGCAAAGAAACATTGATCAGACAAATACTTCCTCACATTTCTTCATTTCAACCCAAAATAACCTTATTTCCTTTCTTACTTACTTTTCAAACATACATGAAATGTTTCCAAAGTGTTACCCATGGATCTGAGCGGCCATAACCACTTGGGTCCATGGGTAACACTTTAGAAGCATTCCAAGGTGAATCAAAATATCTACTTCAGCATCATGTGAGAAACGCGCAACAAACTACGGAATAAAAGGGAAGTGCATTTGCGAAACCGACGATTTGCAAGTTCAAATTTTGAACAACCTTTATCAATTATAAACAAATACCATCTGACTTGTTTTCAATAAAACTACTCACATTTATCAAGTCGGCCGAATGTCACCACGAAAGAAACTGTCTGTTGCTCTTTGTAGAAAGTGTATGTAGAGAAGATGTCAGAAATGGTAGGCCCGGGGGTATATAAGCGCGTTTCGATGTAATCGAATGAAATGGAGATGGGGAACGGGAATGGGAGAAACGGAAAAATGGAAATGTGCTCGTAAAGTTTTGATCGCCGTCCCCACCTCTGCAAGCGACACGTACTGCCGAATGCTACAAAATTCCCGACGGAACCAGTCAATGTCGACACAAAAACGGAGTGGGCTGATTTCAACGAATGAAATGGAAATTTAAGAGGCAGAGAAGAAAAAAACCACTCGAACAAATTACTACGGGACAAGCAAGAGACAAGCAAGAAAAGGAAGAAGATTAGGACTAACCTCTCACTTTTTCCGGCTGATATGATTCAATCGTTTTCGGTTGATGTTGAGTTTTGAGCTTTACCTGGAATGTAAACCACTTTCCAAAGCTGTGGGAGAAAAAACGGAAAAAATATAGGAGATTCATCGGAGAAAATGCTTGGATGAATGCTATAGCCACCACGGAGGAGGAAGGCGGACCGGACTCAACGAGAAGCATTAAGAGGGCAGCTAATATTTAAAAAAAACTGAAGGGATAGATAAGTCTCATCCTGTGATCTTCCTGTCATCCCATTAATCAAGAACCCGGTTCCACAGGTCATGCGGCGAGCAACCTACCGACGCTGGTACGGAGAAATTTGTGATATTCTAGGATGTACCTCAAAAAGTGAGCATTTTATCAGTTTTATGTGGCCGATTTCGGAAAGAGAGAGAGAGAGAGAGAGATAGTGAGAAATAAAAGTGACGCGGAAGTATGGCCAACAAGGCAAAAGCAAACAGAAACGGAATTTTGACCAGAGTCGATCTGAATATTTACGAGCCACATCACATACTCCTTCTCTGGTTTCAGATCTCATGACAGCTTATGCGAACAAAAAAAAGCAGTCTGTTGAACGGATTGATAAATGCAAGGTTTTTTTAGAGCATGCATTGATGGATTGCACGCACTTTTCTAGTCAACTGGCGACGTGTCCAGCAAACTTGCAGAGTCTTCTCAAAAAAGCGCGACATACGAAACTGGAGAACGTTTGGAGGTAGACGAGCAGCGACGAGACCTGTTCTCAAGTTTATTATCTAACCAGTTTATTTGTATTGCTTGGCTCTTGGAGCAAATGTCTTAAATACATGCGGATTGTTTTGGGATTACTCAGTTTGGTCCCAAGACCCCAAGAAACATTTCTTTCCCCACAACAGCCGAGTGTTTGAGAAGAAAAGAAGATAGCATTTGAACCGAGGCATCTGGCGAGGCACTCTCTTTTCCGCACAACGTTCAAACAGCAAAAAACTTTTCGAAAGTGTTTCGTTTTCTCCCAAATCGCCTACGATAATGTGGATTCGGCCAGAGGTGTTTCAAATTTTTGAGATATTCTAGACTTTGGACGGTTTGCATTTCGTGATTGGATCCTCGTGTTGAGAAAAACCTTCTTGATGCTGGTCCCATTCTCTCGGGGGCAACTGATGCAAAGTGGACCCGGACACCTATCCGATTCTATCTTCTTTTCTCAGACGTTTCACTTCTGTTCTGTGATGAATGCATTGTTTGTGAGATAACGAGCAAAAATGTTTGAAGGCCCCAGAGAGAAAGAGTGAGAGAAGTGAAGAAAAAGAGAAACGATCAAACTTTGCATTCCAAGCGTCATCATCGCATTGTGAGAATTATGGAAACACTCAGCGCCAGGAAATATAATTTGGAAATGTCGGACTAAAAACTAAATAGTTCAAGCCTAGAAGAGAAGTTCTAAAAGGTAGCGCTCTCAGTTAACATGATAATTTTTCTATAAATCCATTTCTTGTCTTCAGTTAAAGACCAGCCTTTTTTTCAAATTGTTGTTTTTTGGTCTCTCGGCTTGAACTTCTAATTTTTCCCGACAGAGTCTTTGTGAATATCCCATATCTTTTTGTTTATCAGTTTCATGTCTTCTGCAAAATGGCTTTTGGCCTCGCCCACCCCCAGTGCCCCCAGTGTAATCCTAGTGTGTATAGAGTTTCAAGAAAAAGAGAAAAACGAGCTTAGTTCGAAGACTGCCAGTCATTCCGAGTCAGAGTGCCCCTACACCCACATCTCTGAAGTCCCTCAACCATGAAATTGTCCGCGTTTCTATTCGTCTCGATTATTATCTGCCTGAATGCCAGGCTTGCTACGGGCGTTGGACGTTCGCCTCTGAACGGACAACCATTTGATCATCAATTTTACGGAGAATATGGTATAAAAAATGTCTCGTATATTCACGGATACCTGTCTAAATTTGAATCCTATTATTCTGAATTATTCAACTGGCACGAAAAGTTTTTTACATTAACCGAAGCAAACGGACGGGTCACATACATAACCGACTTTCCAATTAAAAGATCAGTAAAGGATGTTAGTTTCAACGAGTCAATTCAGAATCCATATGAAGGCGGAGGGGTAGGACAACTAAACACTCAGTTTTTGACTCTACAGATACCTATTTCAGATCATGATCGGACAGGGAGCCGACAATGTCATCATTATGAACGTCACTCACCCGGACAACAGTTTGGAACTGCTAGTATTCGTATTTAAAGCGGGTAAAGCTTTCGAGGTGTGTAAACCGACTTCTGTTGATGAAAGAATGAGAATTCCTTCCTTGCAGTTCATTTTTTTCCGAGATGATGAAGACATGCCCGTCTTCTCCGTCGGTATCTTCAAATCAAAGAGAGAGATCACAGAGCCTCTGATGACTGCTGAGTCGGAACTCGAAGAATATAGAAATATTCAAACGTTTGCCCTAGTACGTTTTTTAAATAATGTTAAATACCCAAATGAAGAGAAATTGCAGAAGATAGCCGCAGTATTCAGCACCATGAGCCATTGGCTGATTCATGACGCAGAACAGGAGGACCTCGAAGAATATCTGACCTGGAGATATGTGAACAACCCACCAATTCAATAAATTTACATTTTTTCTGATAATGAACATGCTGACGTTAGATAGAAATAAACATTCAAAATTTAAAAGAGAGGAGGATGAATGTATAAATAGAGAGTAGGAACTGCAGAAAGAAAAGGGGGAGGGGGGAGGTGGGAGTAGAAAATTGGGTAGAGAAAAAGCGCTGAAAAACAAATTAGTAAGAAAAAAGAAGAGCGATACAGAATGGAATAGTTTCGAGAACGTCCGAATTAAAGAAATTGGAAGAAAGAGCATAAACGAGAAAGAGATGAGAAACGGGGGCGGATAAAGTAGCGATAAGTTCAAAAATACGAGAATCCAGCTCGCAAATACTAAAGAATGAGAAAATTTGAACTGACAAGGGAACCTTTTAAGTGATTAAAGGAACCAGCCTAAACTAACGACACAGTTCGAGAGAGGGACTTTCAAAACCTATATTCCAGTTTTCAAAAGCTGCTTTCGAGACCTCTGAAATGCTGAAATTCCAGTCCGAAGTTTGACATTTCTTAACCATAGATTTCGCATTTTCATGGCGCGGCGACCCACCCTCACACCCTTGCCACGCGCCACGATTGTCACCGCCCGCAACACACCACGAAAATGTGGTCGAGTGGCGCAGGAGTTAACGGTGGGGATGAGAGGAATGTGGTCACGGGCTCGACTCCCTGGTTTTGCTTTTTCTTTTTTCTTTCTTTTTTTCATATATTTTTGACGAAATTGTTTTGAAATGTTGATTTTTGAAGGGATTAAAGTTGCCAACTGAAGTTCCTCATCGTGTATGCGGAAATTCTTCATCAACACATGAATCTTTTTTGCGATGGTTTTTTTCAGAACAGCGTTTGAGTGCAGTTGATTCTTTGATCCATAACTCGAAGGGGAATTTTTGTAGAGAATAATGCGCAACTACAAAGTTAATCAGCATGACATTTGCTACAACTTTCCAGTTGACCACTTCCTTCTACAATTTTTTGTTTTTGAGATACAGGCTGTTAAAGATGGTAGTGCAAAATCTTGCTGTATCTCGCGAATTGAATGAGATATCAAAAAAAGTCGTCAACTAAAGAAACATTACTGAAGACATTTTTCCATACTTTTTTTAGTTGACAACTTTTTTTTGAAAAACTTGCTGATTTTTTTGTGATACGACCCACTTTTTAATCAACAGCCTGTATCTCAAAAAAACAAAAAAATTGTAGAAAGAAGTGGTCAACTGAAAAGTTGTAGTAAATGTCATGCTGATCAACTTTGTAGTTGAGCATTATTCTCTACAAAAAAATTCCCCTTCGAGTTATGGATCAAAGAATCAACTGCACTCAAACGCTGTTCTGAAAAAAACCATCGCAAAAAAGATTCATGTGTTGATGAAGAATTTCCGCATACACGATGAGGAACTTCAGTTGGCAACTTTAATCCATTCAAAAATCAACATTTCAAAACAATTTCGTCAAAAATATATGAAAAAAAGAAAGAAAAAAAGAAAAAAAGCAAAACCAGGGAGTCGAGCCCGTGACCACATTCCTCTCATCCCCACCGTTAACTCCTGCGCCACTCGACCACATTTTCGTGGGGTGTTGCGGGCGGTGACAATCGTGGCGCATGGCAAGGGTGTGAGGGTGGGTCGCCGCGCCATGAAAATGCGAAATCTATGGTTAAGAAATGTCAAACTTCGGACTGGAATTTCAGCATTTCAGAGGTCTCGAAAGCAGCTTTTGAAAACTGGAATATAGGTTTTGAAAGTCCCTCTCTCGAACTGTGTCGTTAGTTTAGGCTGGTTCCTTTAATCACTTAAAAGGTTCCCTTGTGAGACTTAATATTTCTGGTTCAGCGTAATTATCGAATGAACTAAATCAATTGGTGATAGTTTTGCAACTCTTGTTAATCAGTCGTCGACCTCTCCCGTGTAGATGTCATAGTTTCGGTCAGACGCCTCACACTTCAGTATGTGACCCACTGTCTGCCTGACGATCTCCGAGCGAATCGACTTTTTGGCGGAAGCTATACGTCTAAACATCTCTTTCAAAACGGTGTCCATTTCCTTGATATCTTCGTGGATTGGAAGAGTATTTGTTATCACTGCAAGCAAATTGATGAGGTCGTACTAATTTCAAGCAATTTAGCTCTTACCTTTTTCGACTATTGGTCTGAATCGAGTGCAATACGACGCAGTTTCCTCGTGATCTACTGCTGCAACTTTCGCCAGAATCATTGTCATTTCTTGGATTTTGGCGGTCGTATCCTTGTTGATGCAGTTCATCACAGAGGAGATGTGATGGAAGCAGGGGCGGCTCATTTCGATCGGAAGGGAGTCTGAAAATCAAATTTCTGGCATTTAGTTTGTTCTCTGTGAATTGTTACAATAGCGAACTTACCAATCACCAAGATGTTCGACGAGACTTCCGATACGTCCCTCCAAATCGATTGGATCACCATAGTGATGACGTTGTACTTTATATCTGGAGGGAATTGAGTCCCAATGTCATCTTGAAGCGCTTTGAACAAATCGTTTATTTTGTCGATAACCTTCTTCAACGATGCGTCTACTGAAAACAAATGATCGAGTGAAAAAAGTGTAAAGAAAAACGGCAACTCACAAGACATCATTGTGGAATTTTTTTGAAGTTTGAAGTCAGTTCCGATGAAAGGGTAGTTTGTGCCAACGCCTATCACGTTCGTAACCACTTCGGCGAGAGTCCCCAACAGGTGAGCCTTCTCGAAGACTACTCCAGTGCTGTATTCCGACAAAATATGCCGAAATTTTTGATAATGAACAGGATTGTCTGAAAAGTAGATAACGAATAAAATAGCGTTTCTCATAGTCTCTTACTAGGATTTCTGTCTCTAACAGGCATGATCTCTCGGAAGTGTCGTTTAGTGTTGACAAATGAAACAACTGAAAATGAAAGACGATTAGTATACTGGGAAGTTATGAATGCATGGGTTTATAAATGAAGCGAGTAGACAACTACAAGAATCGTGAATCATGAGACTACGTTAATTAGGAATTGTCTAGTTACGTAATAGTCTACTCGAAGTACATATGATTATCATTGTGACCTTTAACTAGGAAGCTATGATATCACCCTTGTCTACTTTCCCTTTTTCTTTTCCAATAAAGTATGCAGAATGATCCGAAAGCTTTCATGCCTGATAAGAGAGATAACTCTCATCAGTGAAACTGCTGACAAAACAGAAACAAAAAGGAGCTAACCTGAAGAAAGCGTGAGTGCAAAGCTGTGAGAAAACAATGTTTGCGCAAAAAGGAGAGAAATATAAGTATTCGAAAGCGAATGGTTCGGGCTAACTGAACAGAAAGAACACAAAGTGTTGCGACCTTTAGGTTTATGAATCACATGGTGGTACGGTAGTACACCAGAAGAACAAGGGAGCAAACAGAAGGAAGGGCGCCATCGGCCCTTTGTTGGGATTGAGAGAGAATGCAAATGTACCCTTTTTTTCGAATTCTGTCAAGAGATATACTAAAAGAGGCTTCAGGCGTTAAAAAGATGAAGCTTTTTTTATTCAAGATAATCAGAAGTCGCAACCAACCAAATCGTAATCGAGAGTTGGTTAATGAAACAGAAAGTGCCGATAGATTGCAACGTCAGAAAGACTTCGAAAAAACAAATATGACATCGTAAGAGCCAGAAGAGTATTGTCAGCGAACGTATTACAAATCAAATTACACAATTATCATATTATGAATTCTGCCCAAGGTTGTGAATAAGAAGAGAAAAGGAGATATATGGAAAAACATTACAACTCGTAATCAAATTAGAAGAACTTTGCCGAGGAATAATAGCTAGGGGAGGGACACTGAGAAACATTACTTAAAATGGAATTGAAAATTGTATTGTATTTGTATTTTGTTAATTCGTCAGATTGGTTAAGTGAGAGACAATACATAGGGTGGCAAGTGGAATAGGGACGCACGAATAAAGGAATCAGGGAGACGAACTTGAATAAAGAGAGGAAAGTGGGTTGGTTCCTAACTGTGGAATTCTAGAATGGAATGGTTTTATGAAAATATGTAGTCGTTGTAACTCAACTTACGTCAGAGTAAAAGAACATAGGCCGGCGTGCGGAAGAATTGAGGGTTAGGTGGGTATTAAATTGGTGGGTGAACCGAGTTGTTTATAAGATAATGAAGGAGAATGAGTTGGGCTCGGAGCCTACTTGATGTTCTACGCGCACGGGACATGATCACACAACACTCAGAGAAACTTCACAAACCCGTAGACTCTATTATGGAAGCTTCGGGAATATCAGTCAAGGATGGTCAAATGTCGCAATCAGGGCTGGCCACATTGCCGGCTCGGGCTTTCCGAAGGCCTGTTCTGGCCTAGACTTTTGGACCACTCGGAATTTTTATGGAAATATACTTCAATCCAAGTCGAGGAAACCAGCGAAGTTTGTTTCCAATTGGAATATTGCACGTGGTTCAAAGGGCCAGGCCCAAACAGTCTCTCAAAAAGCCCGGGCCGGCTCTTGGTCGCAGGCAAATGACAACGGAGAGTAGGTGAGTGAAAAAAACAGAGAACGTCAAAAAAAGAGATAACCAGGTCGCATGACCTGGGAGAGACTCTAAAGTTGCATATTGCAAAAAGAAAAGCGAGAAACCTGCAGCCCGAAATCACGCATTTTGAAACCAACATTGTGACTGGGAAGAAGAAGGAGACGGATAGACATTTCAACTTATAACTAGACGCCTCCTCATGGGAACTACACTGCTCATTATCGTTAGGCGAGTACATACTGATATTCAAGCTGCGAAAATAGTGTGAGAGAGACAAAAGGAGGAAGAGAGAGAGAAAGAGAAAGGGAGAAAGAGTGAACCGAATAGAAGATCGGGGACAGAAACCAAAAGTAAACGTCTCAAATGTGTACGAGGGCATGAGTAACAATGTGTGTCTCGCTTCACCTTTTGTGTCTGTCTATGACTACGCTGAGAACCTGGTTTTTGTCTCTGTGCACTGATCAAAATGTAGATTTTGTAGACAAAAAGCCGAAAATTCAATTTCCTGTCTTACACTTCCGGATGAGACCTCAATCATCACGCAATACTATTATTTTGTGGTGCTCATGAAAAAAACGGAAACGAGCAAAATGCGGATCGAAAAGCTCACGACTCAAGAAATTTGTACTCCACAAAACACACCTACTTTCCTGATCAATGCAAAAGAAAAGAAAAAGCGCTCACAAAGAGAGATTAACTGACAAAAAAAAAGAGCAATGTGTACTCGTTTGTAGGCTTTGATTCTAACATTAGCCCGCATGATTACAAAACAGAGGAATGTGCTTATGGTTTTTGATCTTCATAAATTGTTCTGGTTTAAGTAAAAAACTTAATATTATCATGTCGTCTGCTCCTTCTTCTTCTCCGTGATAATCTCAAAAACGAGGAAAGGAATGGTAGAGCTCGTGTTAGTTTCGATGTCCAGGTAAAGGAACACACAAGAAAATTTTGCAAATAACAGTTTGGACACACTTCAAACACGAACATCATTATCAGAAAACGGATGAGAGTCATCAGATCAATCATCACAATCACAGACACGAATGTAAGAGGTCCCTGTTGGTTGCACATGCCGCACTGCCGTGTGGCCTCTCCTCTTGTCCGCATTCGTTTGTCCACCGGTTCGGACGTTTTCCAGACTATATTTTTGACGCAATCACCGTCATTTTTTTAACATTGTCACATTTCAAGTTCGCAACACGTTTCCTTCAGTCAACTTTTTGTTTTCTCGCGTTTTTTTCAGAAATTTGCATGTTTCAGGATGTTGTGCCCTGGGCATCCGCTTTTGGAGGGCATCGCAATCGATGAAGACGTGGTGGCGGTGGAGGACAAAGAAACGAAGGAGGAAGAGTCGGAGAAGGAAGAGGAGCCGGAGGAAGCGGAAGAAACGGAGGAGGAAGAGGAAGAGTCGGTGACGGATGAGGAAGATGCTGCGGCTGAAGGGCAGGTGATGCTCCATCGAGTAAGTGAATACCCTAAAACAATCTACAATGTTTTTTGTCGTTCAACCGTTCTGAGTTGGACCGGCGGCGTAGTCGGTCAAAATTACGTGATCGATCCGACACCGGATACTTGAAAGATGTTTGTCTTGATTCGGACCTAGCGCGTTTGGGAAACAATATGTGGTTCTAGAAATTGATTTGTGAAATCTTCATTTTTGCTAAATGACTTTTGTACTTGACACCTAGTTTAGAACGAAACTTGAAAAACAAATATTCACTATTCTCGCAATCAAGAAACATATTCAGAAACTGATGTTTCTCGGAGGAGTCATTAATGAAATGACTAACGGGGGCACGTCTACAGCGCGGGATTGGACAAGCGGATTCAAATGTGGAAAATTGACGACGCCGCCATCAGAGAGGCGGGAGACGGAGCCGCAATCACTCTGAAACCCGAATTCATGTTTATAACTTTTCGTATTGATCTTAATGTATTTTGTTTCGCAATAGCAGATAAAAAGCACGCCAGGTTAAATTTTGTGCGCCAGCAGCAAGAAACCAGCCAACTTGTGCCGTATTTTTATTGATTTCCTCTGTTGAACAAGTGTTCAGCTGATTTCATTTCGCTTCTTTAACATGCCCCGCTTTTTCTCGGCAATGTCGGATGCGTTCCGATCGATTCGAAGCAGGTTCCGGAAGCGTAAGAAGACTAATTATCCGTTCCCATTGTTGCGTCTCCCGATTGTTCCGCTCCTACGCTTCCTGGAAATGATGACTGGTGTTGAACTGTAAGAAACCAAGTGTTTTATGTTAATTTTCTATTTATTTTTCAGATTTAATCTGTCTCTCACTTCCCTAAACGGAAAATGTGCTGTGCAGATGATGAAATCTCAAACGTTCAAAATCACCGTCAATTTTTCAAATCTGCTCGAAGTTAAATTCTACGACCCAACAAATGATGAACTTGAAGATATTCATACTGTTCAAATTGATACTACTTCGGAGGACAAAAGCCGCGAACAGTGCTCAAAACACCAGAGAAATCAACTGGTTGAATTCACCAGAGTCTGTGATCATTTTGTGGATACGTTCCGTACGCCAATCACATATCTGTCCCTTAATCTGGGAGTCTACGAAGAAGGTGTACGCATTCTTATTGAGTGGTTAATTACTCAAAGAACTGCGCCTGAGTATATCAAAGTTTTCGGATATCCAACTAGTTACGAACTCCTTCAATTAATCATCGACAACTGCAAACCAGGAAGACTAATGATGTACGAATGTGACTCCGACTTCAATGAATTCAACTTGCAATTGGCAAAGAACATTTTCTTTTCGAATCCGTCTCACTGGGTCACGATGGAAAAAGTGATACAGATGAAATACGCCATAATCGCGCTGAGAGACTCAGCCCTGAGCAGTGAGGATCTGAACGTGTTCATGCGGCAGTGGCTGGCCGGGAACAACGTAACGCTGGGATATCTCAACATTAAAGGAAATGAGGATATTGTTTATAATATTGAAATTATTCTGAAAGGATTGCCCGTGACTACCCACAACATCAACGAGAGACGATTGATTACAGGGTAAGTTGCACCAAACAAAACAAGCTATTTCCCACAGAAAACCTGATTTGATGTCAACTTTTGCAGCGAACTCTTCGATAAAGAAATTGTAACCAATCTAGTGATTGGTGGCTACACTGTTCGAAGGGAAGATGGAGCCACGATGATCATCGATTTCAACTCGACGGGGACAGGGATTGAGTTTTTCGTTTTGCCGGTGACCGTTGATCACAAGTGGTGTATCCATTCAGTAGAGATATTAAACGACTGATTCGGCATTTTTGTTGAAAATCCATTCATTATTCAAGTATTGAAGAAATATTCTTCAATTTATTTGTATGCATGTGTTTTTTTCAATTTATCTTTATCTTTTGGGTTCACTATCTACATAATAAAGCAGCTATTCACAGAGTCACCGAATCGTGGTTTTCAATGAAACGCAATAATACAAAACAGTTTTTGAGTGCGAGTTTCTTTGAAATCTGCTCTGCAATCAGACGAGTGCATGCTTTGCCGAGGAAATGAGTCATGCGGGACATCAGTTCTGTCAAACTGCTTCTCGACGTTCTTTCCCAGTCAGCCACTAAAATTTAGCATTCCAAATTGTTACGTTAACGGTTAACGGATTACTTACATGGTTTGAGGCAATCCTCAATGACTTGTCTTGTTCTATAAGGCACTTTGTATTCCGGCTTCTCCGAAGAAATTTTGGGTTGCTTCTTTTCCTTCTCGTATTTCTCTTTTTCATCTTTCTTGAGACACTCACAGATAGCCTCGGTTGCCTCTCTGATCTTGTGATGCATACTTGAGGTCTTCTCGACTAAATCGACGTGGTCAATTATCAGCCCCTCCCACTTCCTTTTGGTCGGTTTAATAGGGCTAGCTTCTGTAAATGAAGAAGTTGAGTGAAAACATTTTCCAAGCCAAGACGTGTTCAAAGTCATTGAACTGCCGATGCGTGTTGCGGGTCACGTCCCATGTGTCTTTGCAGACTTTCCAGATGAGAGGCGTTACTGAAAAATTGAAAATTCTTAGAGAATTCAAACGGAACAACTCACTGGATTTCAAAACGTTCTCAGTCAAAACGTTCTCAGCCTTCGTCGTAGAAGTTGCAGAAATTCAGAATTTTGGAAATCACTGCGGTTGCACTCTGAGGAACCTCTACGAATGTGGGAGGTCTGAGGTCGATGAACTTTTTGAGTTCCAGCATTTCCAAGTATCCGATGTAATCCACAATCACATGGCATTAAACGACTCACTTTCAGGGTCCGTGATGATCACATCGGAAGACATACTGAAAAAAGTAAGAATAAGCGTTTCAGACGTATAATTTCTGATGTTACGCATTGACATGCGTGCCATGAGGACAATCGATTGAAAACAACACACATTACCGTTGTCTGGTGTTGTGCAACAGTTCGAAGCACGATGACGGCCAGGCGACAGTAATGAAGACTAGAGATGCGCAGAGAAAAACGGAGAGGTGCTAGGCAGTGCAATATCATGGCTCATTCGGAAAAAAGAAGAGGAGAACATCTGTCTGAGCGAGGAGACCGATTGGATAGTAAGGTTATTGCGTGAGGCAATATGCAGTCAGAATCAGAATATGTTGAAGAGCATGCATTGAGTAGGCATGCTCTGCCACACGTGTAATGAATGTTTCTGAACCTGTTTTATCAGTCTAAATACGAATACTGAGGTACCACGCGGAAAACAGCCAATGATGGAAAAAGGAACTACAATTCCATAAGATCGAGGGAATGTTACTCAATAAATGATGTACATAGGTACCGGAAAAAACGATGAAATAAGAAAATAAAATGTTAACAGTAGGAATAATTGACAAGAAACGCAATTGGATGATCAGTCGTCTTTCGATTCCGCTTCGGCTTCCGCTTCGGTTGCCGCTTCCACTTTCGATTCCGATTCCGCTCCGATTTCCGGTTCAGGATCCGTTTCCGGTTCAGGTTCCGTATCGAAATCCTGTTCCGTTTCACAATCCGAACAAATATCCAATGGATCTAGGAGCTCGCCATTTTGAAGGGCGTAGTTGCGGGTCACTCTGAGATCTGAACAAAAACAATTCGTTAAACGTTTACTTTGAGAACTTCGCCTCAAATTGCACTCACAGTCTATGTTTTCATCAGCGGAAACTCCTAAAATATAGAAGAAGTGATTGATCATTTTGTTTAAGAGTTCCTTGACAGTCGATTTAATCAGAGGACTATTCGAGCTTTTGAACTGATTGAGCAAAACGTCGCGAATATCTTCGAGTTCTCCTCGATAAGTTATTTCAAATCTTCTAGCGCCTGTAAATACGAAAAGCCCTTAACTATACAAATATATTGAATTCACTTTTCAAGAAAAATTTCTTGATTTTTGCTGATGTAGCATCATCGACTCGGAGACCTTGCGCCAATGCGCAGCTTTTCACGAATTCCGTGCAAACTGACGCTTTCTCTTCTGCGCTACTGTAGCGGATGGCTAATAGAGGCAAGAAGCAAATTTGAGGCGCGGTTCTGATTGGAAATACGGGAAAGGCTGAAATAAACAAAAATGAAATATGGCCTGAATTGAGTTTTAAAAATACCAAGAACGATATCGTCATCAATCTCAGTATGACAGACCCACGCCTGGTGCAACCAAACCGATTGAATTGGCTGATCGAGGATCTCGTCAAAATTGAAAATTTGGTTCTCAATAAAGAGGACGCTCATATTCAAATCGGTGTCCAAAATGTCAAAGTAATCATGAAGTTTGGTGAGGACTGAAAACATGACAATTTTTATTAATGAAAATTAAGATTACTCACATCTTTCATCAACCGCATCTTCATTGAGTCCTAAGACTTTTTTGATGTTGGCAATGCACTCGATCATTTTCTTCCTCACTTCTTCCTCGCATGCAGTTTGAATATTGGCGAAATTCAGTATGTGCTGCATGATTTGCTCTCGGTCGTCCGCTAAAGTTGCTGCCAAGTTTATCGACATTATATTTTCCTACCAACTTACGTTTGGAAGCATTTGGGTGCACTTCTTTTTGGGCATCTGGATGATCCATAGTTTTCCTGAAATTAAAAAATCAAAGAACGGGTTTAAGAGAAGCGAATAGTTTATAGAGAAGTCTGTTGATTTAGCCCACCGGATGACCAATCTTTGTCTGCCACAACTCCCGTTATTTAAAAAGAAAAGCATAAAGATAGACGGCAAGATGGACGGAGAACTCTCAAAAAGAACCACAAGGCGATAGACAGCTTTTCACAGAGACAATGATAACTAATTCGGTACTCGCCCGCCGCCGTTTGAATCCCAATGTCGTCGTCCCCCCTCCCACGTGTTCTGGGCGCTGTGATATCGATTGATTTGAAGTAAAAAGAAAAGCATTTTATGTTTCCGATTTTGACGATGGACATGAAACATTATCAGTTAATTAGCAGAGTAATCGAGCTTTGCCACAACGGCGGAACAAGGTCGAAATCGATGAAACGCGGCCGGCAGCAATGCGTTGCGCTGGACAGTGACATGAGGTCAAGGTCGGTAGAGAGGTCGGCAGCAAGCGCGCTCCAGTGAACAGTCCCTTCAGCCAATTGCTTCAAAGGAGTGGCGAAAATTAAATTATACACTTTTGCTGCGACCTCAAAGCGTTAGATAGTGAGTTCTATTGGCAAGCGCCATTCAATGGAGAAATTGGGAGAATTGCAAACACAGGATAAAAGTTTAGAAGTAGTCAATGAGAAAAACAAGGAAAAAACACATTTTCCTACAATCAACAGACGTGCGGACAGTGCTGATTTGCATCGTTTGTTGCGTCAAAAGCGAATGCAAATCGGGTTGGCTTCGTCAATAAAAAACTGCACACGACGGACCTATGGTGCTCGTATTGCATGGGAAACGGACAGTTTGTCCGCCGTCGTTAAAATTTCAAGGTGATCAGTTAATATCGAATTATTTCTAGTCAGTCTCGTTTTGTGTTTCAAGGTCCTTGTGGCTGTCTGACTTGCCAGTCACTTGTAATAAGTTCGTAGATTCGCTAGTTCCTTTAGCCTAGTAGTCTTACAGAAAACATTTAAAAAAAAGAAAGATACGGCCTTTATGAAAGAGAAATAAAATTACTATCCAATCAAAAATGTAGATTCAGAAAGAGAAGGGGCGAAATGAGTTAACATTGGAAGAATGGGAGATGACCACAATTGGATCACGCGGCGAGAGCGTTTCCATGACGGGCAGCTTGAAGATCTGAAAAAAGAAGTATTCAATAAGATCAATACCTTTTTGAAAAAAAATTGTTAACAACTTTACTCACTTCCAATCTCTTCGTCAGAGATCATCGCCAGAAATTAAAGAAGAAAAGACGTGCGGACAGTGCTGATTCCCATCGTTTGTTGGGCCAAAGCGAATGCAAATCGGGTTGGCTTCATCAATAAAAAATTGCCCACAATGGACCTATGCTGCTCGTATTGCATTGGAAACGGACACTTTTTTCGGTGCCGTTTGAATTTCAAAGGATACAGTTGCTCACCTTGTAAAGTGTACAGGAGATATTCAATGTTTGGCTTGTTCTCTAATTTTTTCCACAGAATCGATAAAGTTTTGGTGTTTTTTCGATGAAACAACTGGAAATTGTATTTTCCGAGTGATTTGAAGAAGGAAGATGCTGAAAAAATGACGATTTTTGTGGAATTTCAGCAGAAAAACGAAATGCTATTGATTTGCGGACGAAAAAAGTCGAGTTCGTTTTGACCTACCGCCCGCCAAACCGCGCACTCTCTTTTTTCCCTGCGTCTCACGGCCGGGGATCCGTCTTGCCGATCTCGATCAATTCACTTCATAATGCCCCGTTGCCGGTCCGACACCAAGAAACCCCGGGAGCCGGTAATCCTGCTTTTCGCAGTTTACATTTAGAGTCAAGTCATCACTTTTGTGTAATACTTTCAAGATGCGGAGAAGAGGACTGCTGGTTAACGTTATGAATATCACTATCGCCAAGAAGAGTGATGAAGATTATTATCGCCAAGAAAATTAACAGGATCTATTTTTCAAGCCGTTCACACAGAGGTAAGTGTGCCTTTTTGGTAGGTATCGCCAAGAAGAGTGATGAAGATTATTATCGCCAAGAAAATTAACAGGATCTATTTTTTAAGCCGTTCACACAGAGGTAAGTGTGCCTTTTTGGTAGGTATCGCCAAGAACAGTGATGAAGATTATTATCGCCAAGAAAATTAACAGGATCTATTTTTCAAGCCGTTCACACAGAGGTAAGTGTGCCTTTTTTGTAGGTATCGCCAAGAAGAGTGATGAAGATGATTATCGCCAAGAAAAATTAACAGGATCTATTTTTTTAAGCCGTTCACACAGAGGTAAGTGTGCCTTTTTTTGTAGGTATCGCCAAGAAGAGTGATGAAGATTATTATCGCCAAGAAAAATTAACAGGATCTATTTTTTTTCAAGCCGTTCACACAGAGGTAAGTGTGCCTTTTTTGTAGGTATCGCCAAGAAGAGTGATGAAGATTATTATCGCCAAGAAAATTAACAGGATCTATTTTTTAAGCCGTTCACACAGAGGTAAGTGTGCCTTTTTGGTAGGTATCGCCAAGAACAGTGATGAAGATTATTATCGCCAAGAAAATTAACAGGATCTATTTTTCAAGCCGTTCACACAGAGGTAAGTGTGCCTTTTTTGTAGGTATCGCCAAGAAGAGTGATGAAGATGATTATCGCCAAGAAAATTAACAGGATCTATTTTTTAAGCCGTTCACACAGAGGTAAGTGTGCCTTTTTTGTAGGTATCGCCAAGAAGAGTGATGAAGATTATTATCGCCAAGAAAATTAACAGGATCTATTTTTCAAGCCGTTCACACAGAGGTAAGTGTGCCTTTTTTGTAGGTATCGCCAAGAAGAGTGATGAAGATTATTATCGCCAAGAAAATTAACAGGATCTATTTTTCAAGCCGTTCACACAGAGGTAAGTGTGCCTTTTTTGTAGGTATCGCCAAGAAGAGTGATGAAGATTATTATCGCCAAGAAAATTAACAGGATCTATTTTTCAAGCCGTTCACACAGAGGTAAGTGTGCCTTTTTTGTAGGTATCGCCAAGAAGAGTGATGAAGATTATTATCGCCAAGAAAATTAACAGGATCTATTTTTCAAGCCGTTCACACAGAGGTAAGTGTGCCTTTTTTGTAGGTATCGCCAAGAAGAGTGATGAAGATTATTATCGCCAAGAAAATTAACAGGATCTATTTTTCAAGCCGTTCACACAGAGGTAAGTGTGCCTTTTTTGTAGGTATCGCCAAGAAGAGTGATGAAGATTATTATCGCCAAGAAAATTAACAGGATCTATTTTTCAAGCCGTTCACACAGAGGTAAGTGTGCCTTTTTTGTAGGTATCGCCAAGAAGAGTGATGAAGATTATTATCGCCAAGAAAATTAACAGGATCTATTTTTCAAGCCGTTCACACAGAGGTAAGTGTGCCTTTTTTGTAGGTATCGCCAAGAAGAGTGATGAAGATTATTATCGCCAAGAAAATTAACAGGATCTATTTTTCAAGCCGTTCACACAGAGGTAAGTGTGCCTTTTTTTGTAGGTATCGCCAAGAAGAGTGATGAAGATTATTATCGCCAAGAAAAATTAACAGGATCTATTTTTTTCAAGCCGTTCACACAGAGGTAAGTGTGCCTTTTTTTGTAGGTATCGCCAAGAAGAGTGATGAAGATTATTATCGCCAAGAAAATTAACAGGATCTATTTTTCAAGCCGTTCACACAGAGGTAAGTGTGCCTTTTTTGTAGGTATCGCCAAGAAGAGTGATGAAGATTATTATCGCCAAGAAAATTAACAGGATCTATTTTTCAAGCCGTTCACACAGAGGTAAGTGTGCCTTTTTTGTAGGTATCGCCAAGAAGAGTGATGAAGATTATTATCGCCAAGAAAATTAACAGGATCTATTTTTCAAGCCGTTCACACAGAGGTAAGTGTGCCTTTTTTGTAGGTATCGCCAAGAAGAGTGATGAAGATGATTATCGCCAAGAAAATTAACAGGATCTATTTTTCAAGCCGTTCACACAGAGGTAAGTGTGCCTTTTTGGGAAGTCAGAAAACGATTTATTACTTGTGTTGTTGCCCTAATTTCACCGTAAAAGCGTGATGGCATTTTAAGGTCCTTAAGGTTTTTTACTGCTCAGTATAATACGAAAGGTGAGATTCTATTTTTCTCGTGACTCTCCAAGAAACCCCTGGAGCCGGTAATCCTTCTTTTCGCAGTTTACCATTAGAGGTGAGTCATCACTTTTGTGTAGTACTTTCAAAATGGGGAGAAGAGGACTGCTGGTTAACGCTATGAAGATTACTATCGCCAAGAATTGTTCCGACTTTCACTGAAACGGATGTTTTTGTGTTCCGGATGAGAAGATAATATGTGTTCTCATTTTAACGGTGAAAGTCTGTCGTTTATAGCATATTTCAGACGACCCTATTGGAAAATACCGGTCCATGCCAATTTTTAAAAAATGCCATGGACCGGTGACCGTTATGAAAATATCGATGAGACCTTGAACGTGGATGTTCTGGAGGACACAGAAACTATGTATGCTTCGTTGAGCACGGGGCCACTATGTTATTCCGACTGTGTCGTAGCACCCAAACTTCATCCAGAAGGTGCGTTAGCTTAGCACTCAGCCGAAATACGACTGATTTTGCGAGAATCTTTTTAATTCAAAAACCATCGGTGCTAATTGAAGTGCTGATCAATGGGCAATGCGCGGCAACAGTTCCCAAACATCTCCACCTTATTACAACAACTTTATTTCAAGCCATAGTGTCTTTCTGCCTCTCGTATTGACGGTTTTCGGTTTTTTCAGCTAAAAAGATGTGCTGATGTTTAAAAAATCTGTTCAGATTCTGATGACTAGTACCGCTCCGCTAGAAGAAGGATTCCGAACGAACTTTGATGACATCTGACAAGCAATGTTCAGGCACTGATCCAGAGTTTGAAAAAACACATTTACTGTTTGAATTTAGCCTTGAACACTTTGCAAACACTCGGATGGTTCTTGGTTTTCCGCT